TTGTGCCGCAATTGGAAAATGACCAACATTGCATGTTATTTTTGGATGCATTTTCCCGCGCTGAAAACTTCATAATCTACGTCGCTCAAAATGGTGCATAAAATATAGAATTTTGCGCAGGATTTTAGTACTCATTCAAATTTTTCATCTTTACTGTCTCAAAATGTACAATAGTATTACTCACGATAAGTTTTGAACACTTCAAAAAACTCGCTAAAGCTTCAAAAAACTCGCTAAAGTCTTTAACAAACTCGCTAAAGTCTTCAACAAACTCGGCCAGAAAGCCATCAAGACACACGGCACACGCGGCATCAGAGCGGACTTGGAAACACTTAGTCAAATTTTAAGGCATGTATACTACACAAAAATATATAGATGTAGCTAGGTATCTAATGAACGAGATATAACAAAAAAGAAATGTGTGATAGTGAGGGAAACACGAGATTCAGAACGGAGGTATGAGAGAGTGAGAGTGCGGGCGCATGAGCTGGGAGGTAGAGTTAGGGGATTCCATTTGATCCGGTGTTCGAACGCTGAATGTGTGACAGCGAGGGAGACACAAGCAGTGTAAGAGGGCGGGAGCATGTGCTAGGAGATAACGAACATGTTGGGGGATTCTGTTTGATCCGGCATTCGAACGCTGGACGCGTGACAGCGAGGGACACAACAGCAGTGTGAAGGGCGGGAACATGGACACAGGTGTGTGGGGCTGGCCCAGCCGGGAGATACAACAACAGCCGTATGAGTGCGCAGGTGCAGGCATGTGGGCTGGGAGACACAACAGCAGTAGCATGAGATCAGAGAGGGCAGGAGCACAAATGAAGAAAAATTACTCACATTTACATCCTCAACCTCCCATCCAGCGCCATTGGATACCTCCCCATTATCCACCTGTAAGATCATGCTGGAAGGGGCAAGGGGATGGTGAGATTCGAGCTACGGAATGCACGGAGGATGCAGATGCTAGCGATGACATCTGGCGCTAATCGTGGTAAAAATTTAAACTCCGATTTACACACCGCCTAATCAGTTGGATGATGGATCTCGAGTGTACTGATAAGAAAACACCCCGTTCCAAGTCACAACCATGCCTCCTCAGTCTACACGTGAAGACCTCCTTCGTGCCATTGATCAGGCTTCATTGGCATTAGCCAACTCACAGTATTTGAATATACTCCTGGATGACCAGGGCTCCAACTCCGACTCAGACTCTAATACCGACTCGGACTTAAACTCGCTTTATACCTCGGATGAGGAAGATCTGGCTTTTGCCTCCCCATCCCCTATATCCCCCATGTCCCCTATGTCCCCTATGTCCCACCTTTTGGGCCTCAGTTCAGATATTTCCAGCCACAGTGACCAATCTGACGACTCAGATGACGCTGCTGTGCATTACGACTGGCTCCAGCACACAATTGCTGCTCTTCATGATGAGGTAGAGAGGGCACGTGTATTCCACAAGCCTGATGAGCCTCCTCCTCGGGCACCTCAGCTGCATATGCTGGTTCACCATGAGGAACACCGGCCTCATTTGTTTCGCCAGAAACTGCGCGTCAATCCAGAAATATTTGACGATATCCTCGACCAGATCTCCGGTCATCCTATCTTCCGTAACCAGTCCAACAATCCTCAGCTCCCTGTCTCCATTCAGCTTGCTATTTTTCTAAATCGTGCAGGCCACTATGGCAATGCCATTTCACTCGAGGATGTCGCACAATGGGCGGGTGTGAGTGTTGGGTCGGTTGTCAACTGCACTAATCGTGTGATGGTTGCATTGCTTGAGGAGCACGATCAGTTTATCTTCTTCCCAGAAGATAACTCTGAGGATACTGAGCTGGCTCGGCGCTTTGCTGAGACACGAACCTGTCCAGAGTGGAGGGGTGGCTATCTAGCCATTGATGGCTCAACTATAGATCTTTTCACCAAACCTGCTTATTTTGGTGAGACATTTTATGATAGGAAATCTAAGTATTCCCTTGGCTGTCAAGTAATGTATTTTTATTTATTTTTCATGGGCAACAATTTAATTTAATTTTAGGCGGTTATCATGCCCCATAACCTCATGATTGTAGATTATTCTCTTGGTCAACCTGGGAGTGTCCATGATGCATATGCTTTTCGATCCACTCACCTCTATGAAGAGCATGCCAATCTTCTCCCAGATGATCACTGGGTTTGGGCAGACAGTGCATACCCATTGGAGCCATGGTGTATCCCCCCTTTCAAGAAGCCTCGCAATGGACGACTGACAAAGGACCAGAGGACATTTAATTACCACCTTTCTAAGGTATTTTTATTTTCTGCTTTTTTATTATTATTAATGAATTTAAAGATCCGTGTGCGTGTTGAGCATACATTTGCAGTCTTGAAAGGGCGGTTCCAGTCTCTCAGAGAGCTCCGCATCAATATTCAGACAGAGAAGGACTTGCAGGTTGCTGTGCATTGGATTAAGTGTTGTCTTATCCTGCACAACATGATCATCTGCTTTGAAACTCGTCGTCGCAAGCAGGATAAAGACTATGATCAGTCTCTGGAGTGGGCTCGTACCGAGGGTGAAGCTTTTGTCCCTCAAGAGATTGAGGATCCAGAGGGTAATGAAACAGTGGGTGACAGGTCATATGAAGGAACCCCTGGCCAGGCTACTCATGCAAGGCTCATGGATCAGCTCTTTGATAGCCCTAGATCAAAAGCACAGCGTAGGGAAGGATAAGCATCATGTTCACATTCACCAATGATACATGTACTACTAGTAGTACATCTTGTACAACACATGTAACATCAATCTTACAAGTACCAGCAGAAAAAAAAAGCACCATGTTCACATTCACCAATAGTACATGTACTACTAGTATTACAGCTTGTACAACATCAATCTAACAAGTAACAACAGACTACAAAAGAAATTCATAAGTCAGATAGCAACAGCAGCAAAAAAACGCGACAGCAGAAAGCAGCAATGATGATACAAAAATAAGCCGCTAGCGGACAGTATGATAGGAAGGGGAACAACAGCAGCAAACATGTCAGCTATCAGACGCAGAAGTGGTACTACCGCTCTGTGTCATCTGGTGAAATTGAATCTTCAGGCGCCACATCTCTGCCTCCTTGTCAAGCGCAAGGGCCTGGGCCTCGTGCACTCGGACATCTGTCTCGTGAAGGCGGATTTCCGCGTCCTTGGTCTCCTGCTCTCGTTGATGGCTGGCGGCAGCTTGCATGGCCTCATGTGCGCGCGCCTCGCGAAGATACTCGTACTTCTTTGTCTTGCGATGGTAGTCCTTCTTCACATCAAGCTTCGCGAGGAAGCGCTCGTGCTTGAGGTTATGGCGTGATGTGACGTCCGATTGAATACTCCCAATCTCACCATTGACCCTCTCAACCTGCTCCTGAATGTCGGACTTTGCTTTCTTCTTCTTCAACCCTGTGGTCTTTGGTTGCGCTGATATTGAGGTCTGGAGGGTCGGAGACGCAGGAAAATCTGACGATGAAGTGTTGTGAGTCGTCGACGAAGGTGTCGACGAGCTACGAGTCATCCCTGGCGACGACGATGCAATAGATGACGGTCTGCATCATGCGTCATAGCCAGAGGGCCCCTGAGCGCCGAATGCTGCACGGCTGTCGTAGAAAGGAGTGGGTGACTTCTGCGTGATTGAAAAAGGGATGGGGTGGTTAGGAGGAGGAGACGGCGATGATGGGAGTTGTCGTTTTTTCCCGGCAACCTTTGGAGGGCTGTTAAGGTCATAAGTAGGGTGCGGGGCATCAGTGTCCATATCGTCGTCATCCAAGTGGTCTAGTGCATTGCCCAGAGGGGCACGGAAAGCAGCGGAATATAAGTCGTCGTCGTCGTCAAGATCAGGAACATTGCCCATAGTGGTATCGAAGTCGGCATTTGGAGGTGCAGGAGGAGCAGGAGGAGCAGGAGGAATAGGAAGAGCAGGGAAATGAGGAAAAGCAGGAGTGGGAGCAGTGGGAGGAGCAGAAGGAAAGGGAGCAGGTGAAGGAATGGGAGCAGCGGGAGCAGGCGAAGGAACAAGAGCAGCGGGAGCAGCAGGTGCTAGCAGACGAGGATCAATTTGTGAATCAGTAAATGGGCGGCTATGAGGAGGCAGAACATGAGAGGGGGGCTGAGCCCTGGTAGCACCCCTGGTATGTGCGGAGGGGCCAGCCCTGCTACGCGGACGTACTAGCGCATACATGTCACCAGCATGGTCAACGCCAGGCTTGGACGATGTAGTTTTTGCTGCAAAGGAGGGATTTGAGTGCCAGATGGCGTCGAGTTCCTTGTACCATGGAAATTCGCGACAGACTTCTTCTACAAATTTGAATCGGTCAAACCGCTAAACAAATAAATAAGAATGCTCACCTTGTAGATTTTTAGCGGAGGCGTCATCAAGAGGGACTACACCAGCACCGGTTGCGCTGAATTTAGCCTTAAGGGGCTTATATTTGTTTTTGAGACTAAGGATCTTATCAGCGCATAGTACAAAAAATATAAACATGACATACCTTGTGATACGGTTGTTGACAGAGTCACGAAATTTCTTCTGACTGTTTGCATATTCCAGCCCATATTTTGCATGATGTTCGAAGATGACCTGAGCAATAACAGAGTAGATCTGAGACTTGTCCTTTCCCGAGGGACGAGCAGAAGAACTTGAATCCAGAGAGGGAGGTGGTTTCTTGCCATCAGAGTAGAATAAGATACGACAGTCGGGAGGGTGTTCGGTGAGCCAGGTGACCAAGACGTCAGTGAGAGTGTCATCACTCTGCCACTGAATCGTCAGCTTGGGTTTTGGATCGGGGGGAGGTGGTTGTATTTGAGATGTCGACGGCTCAGGATCCATCGCTCTAGAGCACACTGGAGGGTTGCCTCCAAGTCGTGCAGAACGACGGAGGCGTTGTTGGCGAACAGCAGGCATATTTCGAACTCAGCCATGGTGCCGAGCCTGACTTCCAAATTTGCCGCATGCGGCTGTGCTTGTTTTCAAGCTTTAGCGAGTTTTCTGAAGTGTTCAAAACCTATCGTGAGTAATACTAATGAAAATGCCAACTTTATCATTGACATTTTGAAACAAATCTTGCATAGTGAAAAACTCCCAAACCGCCGGTGTGTAACCAATTTGACCGCCATCCGCTCGGCGACTCCCGGACACACTTTGTCATATTCCACCAGCGTATTCCTTCTCAGTGCTCGATATCCTTATTCAAAACGATACGAGACACATCATTCATTTACCGATCGGGTTAACCTCAGGCTTAACTAACTTCTTGGGTGTATGAGAGTTATGCCATTCGGACGGAACTGGAATGGGTCCATATGTGTGCCATCGACTCTGGTCGGAAGGTAGATTCTACGGTTCGTGCCACATTCGCATCAATATTGCCATGATGACGGTCTTTGGGGATTACAAATAGGAATTTCTGCAGGACAAGAGTACATCGTGTGACCTAGAAGAAACAATAACTGTTATGGACCATCGGTCACAACTTTTTTTATCCTTATTGTCACAACGTAACTTGAATGTGCATCTCTTGCTACGGATACAATTGATGCTGAAAGTATTAAAGGCAGGGCCATTTCTAACGAGCTACGTATCTAACCCTTCCATCATGGCGTCCAAGCTTCCTATCGAGATTATCTTGACCATCTGCAAAGACGCAGCCCAGCCGACGTTTTCTCAAAGGGAGAAATATGATATTAAAAATCCTTACTCTACCGCCCTCTTCCTATGTCTCGTCTCTCGACTTGTCAGACGCATCATCTTCCCCGATTTCCTGCACACGATCTTGCTCCGCCGACGTCACAGCTTAAAGAAGTTCGCAAATGCTCTGCTTATGCAGAAAGCGTACGCTGAGAAAAAGAACGATCTTTTCTTCGACTATACATCCGCTGTACAGAGGATGTGGATTAGTGACGCATTTGACTATTTCGTCTATGCAAAGGCCCGGTCGGAGGACCAAGACTCTCCCTTTTTTTGGCAGACCAGATATTCGGTCCCAAACGAAGATGAGGAGCGCGCGCGCAACATAAGCATGTTGCTTCCAGTGATCCTTGCTGCGCCAGAACTTGCGGTTGACCGTTGCCATTTAGGGTATATCAGGGACAGCGTGCAAAATGCATGGTCTTCTCGCACAGATCTTAATGTCGGCGGACACTCTTCTTTTCCTGGGAAAACCAAAAATCTAATAATAATACGTCAAGCCGAGAACACGGGTGTGTATGACGCCAGTGTCAGAATATCGGTTTTCCTTGCATCAATCCCGCATCTCACTTACCTAATCGATTTGGCCGAGGAATCAAACACTTTTCGCCGCGTCAGCTGTGGTACAGGATCGCCAGAAAGATTGGTGTATTCTTGGATGAGGAACAGTACGTGGAATTCTATGGAGAGCCTTGAAACCTTTTCAGTGGTCTACCCGCATCTGCCTCCCATCCACGATTTCAAGTCAATTACATATGCCGCATATGCCACGGGAATAGACTTACATGTGGAGCGATTCACGGTGTCTGCTGCCCTTTACAAGCAGGATCCTAACGCCTTCCCGTGGGGGCCACCGTGGTTTCCTGTGACGGATCCTGGAAATAAGAGGATACAATCGGATGGTGTTTCCTTCGAGGTTACGCGTGATAAGACCTACTTGTCACAGTATTTTTGCTCTTGGGAGAAAGCTTGGGCCTGTGGGTTACCGACGGATGAGGGGTACTGGATGTCAGGCAGATGATGATAAAGGCTTTGATATGACTATCTTGGAAATTATCGTGCTGACAACAAATAGACGAGAGCCTGACAATGGCTGGGAGAAGTCTTATGCGCACTGTGCCTACAAAGGCAGAGTCGCAGAATGGTGTAGTTACTAAGATAGGCTGCTGTTAGTAACTGACGTTCCAACCTGGGGATGCGTAACCAATTTGACCGTCAAGAATAAGTGAAGAATCTTCAACTGGTGACTGAGGGATTTCTGGGCCATGTTTGTCCTACCTTTATAGCGATGAAGGCCATCAATGGCGGATCTGGTCATGTCTTCCAGTGCTCTTACCTGCAAATGATATATTTGACAGTGCGCGAGATTATATGAAATGGTCAGGAGTGTGTAGTCCATACCAAGGATATTAGAGCCTCATCGGAAAGATAACTGCGCGTTAACCGCAAGTCGTTTCGCAAGTTCCTGCAAAAATCCCCGAAAAAAAATAGGAAGGGAGCGTACAAATTTGTGTTGGTACCACTGAAGTTGCGCTGGTGGTGGCCAATAACGGCAAATGGTGATGGGTATACATACTTTATGCTCCGAGAATACACATGGACTAATCCCGGTATTGCCTCGTGCCACTCTCCTTCCGGTTCCAGATGAGTAGGGAATAGTATTGCCAGTTCTACCAAAGAACAATTTTGAAGGAGCACGCTTTATAAATGCACATCACGGTTTGTCGTCCCATTTCTGCCATATTTGACAGTATCATCGAAACAGGTACTCCTCTATCTTCATCGCTCTTGATCAAGTGACCGTGTGTTGTATTGACATCAGGGAAACGTAATTCACTACAGAATGCTACAGAGCGCTCTGTAGCATTCTGTAGCACAATCCAACCAGCGGATGAGAATGACATAAGAATCGGAACGTAGATTCTAGTGACGCCTACGCTTGCCCTGCGTCCTCTGACCAGACCTAGACACGCGTTCTTGTCTAGGATTCATAATACGGCGAAGCAGGTACCTTAAGAGACCACCAGCATATGCATTATCTCTTGGAAAGAACTTTCCAGTCGCTTTGGTGTACTCGCTCAGCTTCGCCTCCGAATAAAATATGGTCACTGGCTTCCCAGTCACTTTTGTATCGATCAAGTCAACTATATTGACATGAGTGGCTTTGACCACCTAAAATGTGACCATACTTGTCAGTATAACGCAGGTGGGAACAAGTTGGGTTCCTACCTCGCGGCATGATTCGAGAGTGTCAGGAATCGGTGAAATGCGGACGATCTGACACAAATTGCGCCATGACATCAGTGAACTGAGGAAAAATTGAGAAGGATATATATTGCCTTATATAGAGAATAATCAACGAGCATCAGTATAATTCTGCTATGGATTATCACATGGTCATGCATGAGTTTACAGAGGAAAGACGAATTTCTGATCGACGTACGCAGGTTTTAAAACCACCAAAAACTCATAGAGTTGTGCAACTCGGATTCAGATACCAGACGCGACAAAAGCTGATGGTCAGTCTCAACGATTCATCGCCGCCACATCGAGACCAATGTCCTCAATTCGGAAAGTAAGTCGAAAAATAAGAGTCTTGCACGCACGATAATTTGAGCACTGATCACTGAAGAACCGATTTGATTCATTCAAATTGAATGCAAGTGGACCAATGTCCTCAATTCGGAAGGTAAGTCGAAAAATAAGAGTCTTGCACGCACGATAATCTGAGCACTGATCACTGAAGAACCGATTTGATTCATTCAAATTGAATGCAAGTGGTAGGTGGGTCGAAAGTCAATGATTGGCCTCAACGATTCATAGTCGCAAAGTCAGGTCTAAGGTCCACAATTTGGAAGATTAAGTTCAAAAGTCAGTATCTTGTAAATACCGATAATGTGTGTGCTGAGCGCACAGTAACCGGTTTATATGTTTATTCGTGTCTTTCGGCCGTCTCTTTTGAAAGTATATTTTTGCTCTGTAGGACCCAACTTTCCGCTTGATAAACATGTTGTCCCTCGTGCCAACGTGAGTAAAATCGAGTGTCTTTATCCCCTACTTCAGTGATTTCTGATGCGGCCATTACCAAAGTAAATATTCTAACCATCTCATATGCCATGGACGGGACTGCGATGCTGCTGTGTTTTCCATTTGCTCTAAATTCTCAGACCTGTGCTTAATTGTTCTCACTTCGCATTGGACATGATATCGTGTGTCATTGCACCTTGCCTATATGCAAGTCTCGTGTAATCAACTCACGACTTCTACACCATAGTTCTACACCTATACTTAATTGGCCTCACTTCGCACTGTCATTAAAATCATGTGACGTTAGGAGCCCTGCTTAAGTAATTGTTTGCGTGCGGATTTGGAATCCTCAGTTATTGCATTGTCCATGTAAACAATAATGCTATCAATTGGTAATACCAGGAATTCTTTGATAAGTCCCAAACGTAAGACACAAGTCCACGTAAGACACAAGTCCAGACAGGCTGCTAGTTTACCTCATATGTCATGGGCCTGGCTGACATTTCCATATACTTAGCAATTGCTATCACCTCAGAGGTATATCTTTCTATTCTGCAAGCGGAACTATGAGGAAGAAATATATTTGTCACCGCTCTCGTGCTGTATTTTATTACCTCGTGCGTCTCTACTTTTTTTCTGTGATCGAGATGAGGATAAGTACAGACAGATATCACTGTTCTCGTACTATATTTTTGTCACCTCGCAAGTGCATGCTTTCTGCTTGTTGAGCAGAATCACGAGTAGAAAATATTGTCATCCCGCATGTATCTACTTTACCCATTGAGCTAAATAACGAGTAGGAAATATATATACCACCACTATCAATCTGCATTTTATGACCTCGCGTACCTACACTTCCTGTCTGCAAACTGAATAATGTGTGGAATGTGCTGATATCACCACTTGCACGCTGGATTTCCCTGATCCAGCTTATAGAAATAATCTATATTGTAGCAGTACAGTAGTAGTATTGTTGTGATGCTCGATTACAATAGCAATCACTAAAATCTCAAGGACTCATTGGTTCATATCAAACATGTACATTTAAATCGTGACATTAGGATGGCAGTGTAGTAGTAATGTATGACAACGTAGTAGAGAAATAAACTAATCTGAATTGAACATAGCATCGTCCAGTTGCGCTCTCTGTCTTGCGAGAGCGTTTACAGACATCTGGACCTTCGCCCCGTCAGTAAGTTCCGCACGGCGGCTTGTTCCGAAGACTTTCCTGAGGAAAGAATATTAGTTAAGGATTATTGAGTGCAAATGGACACACCTTGTCCACCACACCAAGAGTTGGTCAACTTTTCACTGCGCTGCACGACCAGGGGGCCATTCGAAGAAGTCGACGATATTTTGCCAGAATGGTATATAGTCGAAGTCGCCATCGACTGAATGCCATGACGTTACAGACGACAGCGCAAATCGCAGCTTGTTACATACTGTTAGTGCTCAACAAGAAAAATAGAAAAATTACCACTTACTTGACATGAGACATACGCAATAGAACAACCTGTAACTTTGCGCATGTTGATAATTTGTGTTACATGTGTCTTGACTTTCTTGCCTGAATTGAAATTCTTCATGGCACATCGGTTGTTTGCGATTACATCAGCGCCGTCACCTTCACCTGCAACCTCCTTTGCGGAGGAGGGGGACGTGAATATGGCTTTGAAAGCCTGCTAAGAAGTGAGATCCTGCCGGACTACTCAGGTATCACTAACCTGAAGTAAAAGTGTACCTTTGAAAAGGCCCTCTTCCAGATTGTTCTGATCGGCTGAGTACTTTTCATACAAGAACGCCGGCCAGGACATTTCCGTCACGACATAACCGTCTGCACGATCCCTAATTCCTGCTCTGACACTGACGGGTCCTTTAAGTTAGCATCGCGAAGATCATAGGTGGGATACTTACATTGGATTATTCCAATCTAACTCAGTCGGACAGAGGAGTCTGCCGGACGCATCGTTAATAAAACCACGGTGATGTTTATCCTCGGGGTCAACTGGCGGATTAGGATTGAATTCACGATTAACCCAATCAGCGACGAGGCTCTTGAGCTTCGAGGTGTCATCCCCCCGAGCAGCATCTGCCCCTTGCCTAAGCTAAATAACGGTTGAGTAGAAGGTAAACAGTCCCCTTGGAAAAGTGCACCTTTTTTAGCATAAGCGTATAATCCTCATACTCCATGTCTGAGGCTTTCGGGTGAAACCACGGAAGGGCATGATTAAGGGTGATGTAACCAATTTGCAAACGCTCCTGACTGTCATGACGAACCATATCAGCGAACCGTTGAGTCTTTGAGATGAGCTACCATTCACAAGGTAACATATAAGAAAACTTACTCGAGAGTCACATTGTCATCCTCGTCCTCGTCCAAATCGCACCTCCTGTCATTCTCGGATATCATGTCTTCGACCATATCAAACAACGTAACTATACGTCTGATAGCTCTTCCCTTCGACATGTAGTAGTTTGTCTCCCTGACAATCATCATATTTGAGTGAAGAACCCAAAGTAGACACATATAATTGCGCTCATACCTTAGTTTGACCGCATGCCCCGACTCCAGCACCTGCAACTTTTCCTCGAGGGCAGCAATTTTTCGTTTTTGTCGAGCACTCTCGGACGTCGTCACTGCCAGTGATGATTCTGGAGGCTGCGAGACATCCCCCACCGCCTGAGACATGGATCATAAATAGGAACCTGTGAAGATGAGGGCAGGAGATGAAGGTCTATCGTCGTCCTGCTCCGGTTTTATATAGGCATCAGCAAAGGCAGATGGGCCTATGATACGTACACCTATAAGGGGAGGCGGTCAAAGCGACGTTAGTACTAGTCGACGCTGAAAACGACACGAACTAAAGAGGGTGTGCCATTATGTGGGAGAGCGAAATCTGGCCGACCGCCAGTTTGGGAATAGTGCAAATTTCATGACATGAGCGTAGGTGCTGAAATGCATTGACTATGAAGGAATTTATTCGGGCCTGTCCACGGCGGTGCCAATAACACGCTACGTGCGATCAAAATGAAGGTGAAAATCACATAGTTAAAGTTGGGTGCAGCCGGCACAACTCACGAGCAAATCTCGAGTCTCCGTAGAGTTAAACAAAAACAACCAGAGTTGATGCAGGTGAGAATTTACTGGTGCCATGCTGTACATTCAAACAAGTGGAAACAAGAATGAGGAGACCTTCGACTGAAGACGAGGTCTGCCCTATGCGATGTAGAATGTGAGCCGGACGGGGCAACTTCAAAGTATGATAATGTAGAATGTCGAGCATAAGCTCTATTCTAGTAAGGCCAGACGGCCTCATTGAAGAAAAACCGTAACGAGGAGAGCCTCGGCCAACCGTGACCAGAAGGTTTGCCCCGTACGCTGTGGAGTCTGGAACAGAGGCCAGAAAGACTTTAGCTGCGTATTAGAATCAAATATAGAGGAATCTCACACAGCCAGATATTACAGGCTATGAGCCGAGTCACAATGTATAAAAGTCGTGGTCGCCGTCTTCGACGTCGAGTAACTGTTTGGTGTTGTCGTTAGGGCGCAGATTAAACGAATTTCTTACGTAAGTGTTATGGAAGCTCTGCTATCATAACTACAACTGGAGCCGACTCTCTGATTAGGACTTACCGAAATTTTGAGTGACAATTCAGAACTAGTGCGTGCCAAGTCCGAGCTCGATCCCCCAGTGCATAGCATCACTATATGGTATGATGTACTTACGCTGAGCTGAATCTACTACAAGAGCCAGTGTTCGCCAGTGATCTGGGAACCAGGTTCAATGTTCAACTGTGACCCTTTCGCAATCCACTCACCATCAGACTCGGAGATACCATGAAACCTAGTACTATCGCAATGAAAGATGAACAGCTGAAGGAATCCAAAATGATTGTGAGTTATTGCAGTCATGGTTATGTGTTATTTTATTGTACTGATCTGAGCGGCCAGAAAGCCCAAGCTGCTGAGGTCACGCTTATGCGAGCTCAAGCTTTTCATACTGCTACTCGTCAGAGTTACAAGAGGAAGCTCGATCAAATTGAGTCTGACGACAACTCTGACAAGGAGAACATAGTACTATCTCCGACTCGTTCTGCTCCAGCAGTGAAGCGCATTCGCAGGGAGAAGACTGGTACTGAGTGGCAGACAGTTCTTGATGTGGTTAAGTTTGGCGAGGAGCAGCGACGCAAGCAGAAGGAAATAAAGGCCTGTGCGGCCGTTTTTGAGACGTGTTCTGAATGCTACCTGCAGGTCACTCACATATCGAAACAGTAGTAGAGGCCAAGGCTTGGCTTCATTTATGTGCACCAGAGTCTGACAATCAGTTTATCATTAGTATGATATACTCATGTAGTATGCAAATAATTAATTTTAGCTCGCAACTTGTTAAATCTGTTGTCTCGTCAAATTGCTGATGCCGCCAACCTCAGAACGAATAAAAGTTTAGAAAGAAAGGTCATCAAACATGTCCCCGTCCCATCCTTCTTCGTCCTCCCCATCTCCATCATCATCCCCCTCTTCCGGCTCCTCGTCACTTGACGCATAATCGCCCTCATCCTCCTCCTCCTCCTCCTCCTCCTCCTCCTCCTCCTCCTCCTCCTCCTCCTCCTCCTCCTCCTCCTCCTCCTCCTCCTCTCATCATCATCAAAATCTTCGATACGCTCACCATTGCTGACCTCTTCAGCGTCAGTATTTACAACATTCGTGGCATCGGCTGGTGCCCCCAAACCAAGACAATCTCTTGTTATCCTCCGGAGCATTGTTGGATGTCCAACACCGAGGTGAGTATATCGCATAAACATATCGCAATCAACAAATCTGACCCAAATGTCGAGGGTTAACTGGACGTAATACAAAGTAATATCTGCACTCACATCCCCATGTAATATTCCTCCCAATCATCTAACTCGCCCCCGGGACGAGCCAAGGATTTACCATAGCGAAGTGAGCTTATACCTCGCTCTGAGGCAAATGCGGGTATCAGGTGAGCTCCTCGAATCACTTGTGAGGGATCGAGGAATCCAAATGCGTCCGGGTCTGATTTGTCCACAAACATGACCTTTGGGAGACGAGCGTACTTCATGCCGGATCGATGGCTCCGCAGCGGCGCCAGCCATCTGACCCAGAGCACCTCGAGGCGCTGCTTCGTAGGTTGACCTCCGTTCGTGAGCCACGTTTCCATATGATAAATACCTAGTACCCGTGCATACCAGTATGGGTGGCTAGGCATCAGCTCCCCCGAAAGTACCATAATGTCAGCATGAGTTCGAGGGTTGATGGTGTCGTACTCGCGCCTAAAGTCATAAGTAATGTAATATACTTGCATGGTGTGGACTGAGTAAATTGTATTATTAGGAATGATAACCGTGTTGTGCTCTTCGTCTGTGAAGGTGTGATCACAATAGCTAATGTCTAGCTTCTGAAGCCTGAAAAGGATGTGATCCTTCAGTTTCGGTATAAAATTCTGAAAACCACTGTGAGAAAGTGTAAGGTGCGTTCACGGTGCGAAGCCACTCCTACCTGAACAGCAGGATCACCATCGTATTCTCGAAGGAATGTAAATAATTGGATTGGACTGCCCTGAGTAATCGCAATATGGTGATGCTGTCCGGATGACGTTGAGGGAGAGGCATCGGCAGGTGAATGAGTACCAGGAGGGGGCATATCTCCTGCTTCTGCTACCCGTCGAAGGACACGGCGCCTGCGCTCGTGCTTGGCCAACTGCGCTGGAGAATCTAATTTGCTGGTCAGCGGATAAAACACTTTAAGAGCTCTGTGCGCAAGTTCTCCCTAGCCAAATCCAATGTTAGACAGATAGTGAAAATGCGACTGGTATGTACCATTTGAGTGGTAAAAGAGTCCGTCGTCCCAAAGAGCCGGATGGTGCTCACATAGTCTCCCATCGCATGAAATTTGTAGGTACCAAGATTAAACTTCTTTGTCCTCGCCCTGCTTGATTCCATAGACGTTGCATTGGGTTCAGATCGCTGAGCGAGCCTCCGTTGGCGAGCCGCTTTCTCCTTTGGTAACTCCATAGTCTCGAAGGTGGCACAGGTGTCACGTCGAAACTTTCGCAGCATCCGAGAGAGCGTCTTGAAGGTCTGTTCGAGAAAATTTACAGTAGAATCAGAATGAATCCTAAGTTTCGCAAGTGCATGCCACTGTGCAAAGCGATACAGCAGTGACTGCACGGCTGAATCATGTTCAGCGGGGAACAACCCTTCAAAGACCGCAATAGAACACTAATAATTGAACACCTCAGCCAGCCCAATTAAAGAAATGAATGAACCAAAAACCTGTAGAATATCTTCAAAGTCGCGCGCTGCAATCCTTTTCATCTCTGAGGTATTGTTAGCAAACTTTTGAATCGTGCCGTTACCAAATGTCGGGACCTGGCGAAATCTATGGTGCGATTGAAAGTCGATGAGTCGTTAGCAGATAACAACACTCTGCATAAACCAAGCGTACCTGCTGTCGAGGGTCGCGACCAGTTGACTCCCTCCAGGGAGCGCATAGAGAAGCCTGATTAGATGCGTAAATAACGCCTTCCAGGTACCCAGTTCGCATTCGTGCATGAAGTCAATGACAAGCATGCGGAATGGGTCTAAACCGAGTGATCCAAGCTTGTTGACAAATTGATTCTGTGAGTAACCGACCTCAGCTGATCCAAAATTTCGAGAGACCGTTTGAGCTTACCATCGTAGGTATCCACGAACCCTCTCCAAGAGTGTGTTCAACCTTTGAACCGTCTACAGTGTTTCCATACTTGTAGATAAACTCACGCGCCTGAATAACCTTTGTCGTAGCGTAGACTCGGAGGTTGATCATCCGACTTTTCATATCCTTGATTAAACCAAGAGAACCGAACCTACTTTTCAAGGTAAGACAGTGAGGACACGCGCACGAGCCCATGTCTTTAATGGCCGCAATTAAAACCCTGAAAACATATTAATGATATGAATGTTAATATCAATATAAAGAATAAATTCACTTCTCAGGATAATCAGCCGAATACGTGAATATTCTGGGAAATACTCTCCGTAACACACCATCAGGACATTTCAGCACAATGCCGTGACAATAGACATGGACAAAGTCTTCGTCGAGTAAAATTGACCAGCAAGCGTGAAAAAGTTCCCTGCGGCAGTGGGTATGGAGCGAGGCCATGCTGGTCTTTGATATGCGAGACAATTTGCTCAGTATATCTTTGACGCTGTCCGGGAGCTGATAAGGTTGGTTGACATGAATACCAAGAATTAGTGGTCAGGATGACTTACTGAAGGTAAGAATCCTACTAGGTGGCATGCTCCCGATTGAGGCGACGATCGTACATACTTCGTCAGATTTCCGAAATATAGGTACAGTGGCCAAGCTTTCGCAGTTCCAAAGTTTGCCAGGTGAGTGGCATCGGAAAAAAGCATGAGACCCGCTATGACGTGTTCTAATGAAGAATTGGGCTCCTTTGGTAGTTTATGAAGATTGTCCTGGGCCTCCAGCCAGGCATCAGAGGAATATAGCTCATCAAAAATTCGCTCCTCGTGGTCATCCAATGGATCCTTCCATAGTCGTTTGAATGGAAAGAGGTGGAATGCGCTTGCCTGGACATCCGCAAATGCTGCGCGGATTACTTCAATGAGGGGACGATAATGAAATCCGGGGATGGTGTATGTTTTGGGTCCTTCCTCCCTCGACTTCGTGGGGATGTCGATAGTGACATCTGTTTCAATCCAATCGTCTGGGAATGTGATTTTCTCCCCGCCCTCGTCCTTATCCAATTCTCGCAAGCTCCTCTTCACCGAAAACCCCTCAAGATGTTTTATATCGAAATCAGCGGCCTGTAAGACATCTTCGACGAGGCGCTGGACCTCGGGTTCCGATTTCTGGTGGCTGCCTGAATTCATCCAGGACATCAGGCGATAAACGGTCGTATTAGGAAAGGGGAAGGGCGGTGGTAAGACATTTGCCTCGGAACCAGTGCCTTGGACAACTATCGGACACGACTTTGCAAGTAGTGAGGACGGGATGAACTTGCTTGGCTCGAAAGAAGGACGGCGAGGGTAGAGGCGGCAGATTCCAAATGAGTTGAAAGCAGACTGAAGAGTGTCTCTTAGCGTCAAAAGGACACGTTGGATTCTGGGACGGGTTGGGAGTGATGGGACATCAGGATTGTTGATGTCAATAAGATCTCCGGCTGGATGCTCGATATCATCAAAAGGCTTCGGAATGCGTCTCCTAGAATGCATCGGCTCCTCTGACATAGTCTAATGATCAGCAAACATCAGATACAGATCCTGCAGATTACGCACTCCAGGTATCATGATGAGATCCATCTCCAAAAGCGGGGCCTTCCAAGTCCATCGAAACATCAACATTGTGTTGACCTTGTTCTGAGTCCGAGCTGAGGGGGTGCTGCGAGGACGCAAGGCTGGGGGCATCAAATGACGAACAAGTTGTAGTACTACTTTGAGGCAGCCTCGCTAGGGGTTTGCAAGGGGCGATTGGTCTTGAACAGGCCCTTACTGCACGCACAGCCCTCGCCGGCAAGATTCTCCACTGATGTGCCAAAATTAGTATCCACGTTTCAAGTTGTAGTAGCCCAGTTTCGAAGAGAAACTTCATCACTCACTTGCGTTGAGCTTGCGACTGACTCGGAGTGGCTAAAAACCAGATTTGCCGAAGTTGCATCTCTCGCCCGCTGTAATCTCTTCTGGGTTGCAAGAACGCTAGACTTCTTGAAAAAGTGACAACTCCCGCGGTGCCTATTAAGCCCTCGATTATCTGTCGCCCTCTCCCAAGAGCAACCCTGCACTCCACAGCATACCATTAACAGAAGCAAGAGCCTGAGGACCCAGAGAACTTGAATGTCTGGGATTTGCATGAACCAGGCACCGGCGTTGAACCTGAGCAAGGCTTTCTGAGTTAAAGTAGAGCTACTGAGGTAGCCAGCGAGAACTAACTTCAAATCAGACCTTCAGGGAAGACAGCCACGTTCGATGAATCCTTAAACTTACAGTTCAGATGTTGAACATTGAACGACGATTTGCCAATCAATTAATCGGGTGCATTGAACACGCGAGTTTACTTCCGCTTGAAACACAATGTTTGAAACCAGTCCAGTGTCACATTTGGTTGGTTCCTTTGGGTTATGAATTGATCATACCTTTTCGGGCCTCAGATTTTTGGGCAGTGAATTGTAGGGAAGCCTTACCGTGGGATCTCAGAGAGTTCTTCCAGAAGCACTTAGATTCTTCTCCTGCTCAAATTTCAAACTCGGGGCTGAGCGCTGCGGCGCTGAAGCTTGCTAAGCTGCGCAGCCCGGCGGACGGACTCAGAAGGGTTGTAACAACTTGTTGTGACTCCAATCCACATCTCAAGATTTGGCCTGGAATGTACTAGTCATGGTACTCTAGTAGCCTAGTGACTCGAGTAAAGTTGGCTGTGTATAAATTTGTAATGGTAGATCCGGGCCAGTCTGACTCGATGATTACTAGTAGGAGTACTGGCAGTAGGATGACACTTCTCCCTTTTTGAAACGTTCACGGACTTGTACAAATCATGGGTATTTAATATAAGTAGCTAGCATCTGGTTGGTTTGCTTTGAAACTCAGCCCCCTCCTCTTGTTGTATTATTGAATCCGTCAACTAAAGTTGAACTTCACACATGCACACTTCAAGTCTTACCTCTCCTCCCACCGGCAGCCCTATCAGAGGGCCTAATCCTGACCATCCAAGCAGGAAGGGACGTGCCACTGGTCGTGTTCAGAGGAAACTCGAGAAGGGTTCAGATAGCGCCCCCATTCAGTCTAGGACTTCAAGTCGTCATCTTTCACTGGGCAAATGCTACAAATGTCCAAGCTCGCCACCTTCATCTGACATTACCTATGATTCCTCAGATGATGATGTAATCGCTCCCATAACCCCTCCCCCCATACTTCGCGATCTGGCTCATTATGTCAAGGGCGCAAAAGAAAGACCCGAGACCTATAAGAGAACTAATCCTAATGTCATAGAACGCCTCTGTGGTGAGGAGTGTCCGGGATGCAATGGTTCTACGACTTCGTTGGACAATCCAAGGGTATGTGGGTCTATGTTTGTAATGATGTTGAATATTACTTGACAGTCGTTCCAGGACAAAGCTAGACTGGCACGCAGAGTAAAGAGCCTGTCTCCCGAGGCCCGTGCTCAAGCTGCAGTCGCTATCGGAGCTAATGTTGAATGGAGACATGCGCGTGCTGTGGCAGCAGCTTTGCAAATCGACGCAATTGTACAACACAAAAAGTTCATGTTCTTGACTCTTGAGCACGAAGCTAAAACATACGTCAATGCCCTCTCGGAACCGTTCGAAACCTCGATTGAGATGCTGGTTAACTGTACAGCCAGTGAACTCGACAATCGTGAAAACTGTAGTGTTGCCGCATACCAGGTTGAGTTGGATCAGTTCAATATAGCTGACAAAGAGCTGGATCACACCGAGAGTGAGATATGTGCGTACTTCCATGTGCCCGCGATATCATTTGCTGAATGACAATTGCAAGCAGTACAACTCATGGACTCGGATGCCAGTGCCACAAGTTCGGACGAAGACAATCTTGGCGGTAGTTTTGGCTCTATGTGTGGAACCTCAAGAGATTCCAACGAGTCCGATGACTGACGTAAGTGTGCATATATGTAGTTGAGCTTGTGCTAATTTTATGCAGCAGGTGCTGACGGATTCGACAGCACAATGTTGTACATGATTTTTCTGGTTGAATGAAATTCTTTTCTTTCTACGGACATTTCTCCCTTTGAACTCATATGTTGCAGAGATCGTGGCGCGGGGCACCACATGGCTCTTTTGTCCTCATTGTAGTACCGACAATCATTGAATTCTTGTAATCTATGATCCTGTGTGGAGTGCATGAGTTATGAATTTCGCATTGCCAGTGATGTTGCATTGAATCAATAACTCATGCGCGTATCAGGTATGATTATTACATGTTTATCAACTTTTTGTGTCCATTTTTGTTCATTGAGAGAAATTCAACTGTGTAGACAATACTTAGTTAGATTCGAAGTCTAATGCTCAGTGTCCCTATTGTATCTCTGGAGTTACTAACGAATGCCCTGGTGTGAGTTGTATCATCGTTCCCGCTGATCGTACCTCCTGGAAAATTTTTAACCCTCGATCAATCTACTTGAGGCCCATCTATTAAGCACTGGTATTACTGCCGGGCCCATCAGATGGGATTCGGATCGAAACCTATTTTTAACGGTCGCATTTGGTAGTTTATTTTCAAGAAGTCCCGCAGAGAGCCGCAGAGTCGTGGCACCCACGAAGCACTTCGGCTCCCACATGTTGAGAAGGTATGGAACCCTCAATCACGTGAACTTGAACCATACTACTACCGGACGCTCAAATCAGCAAAAGACCCACAATCTTGATTCTTCGCTTGTCAGAAGAAAGTTTGATGCTTACGGTGAGTTCACAGTGTGAACACTCGTGTTTACAAACACCGTCCAGCTGAGCTACACTAAATGTGGCTTCTCCAGAACAGATCTGAGTCTGACACATTTCATTTAAAGTCATCGAAACCTGTTTTGACCGTCGGCATCTGTTGATCTTCAGCGTTGGCATCAGAAACGGTCTTTAATAGAATCGGAGCCTGACCAGTGACCACAAACCTCTCAGAGGTAAGCATCATGGTTCTCTTACGCTAGATCGCGGCTGTTTAATTTTACCTAGCTCGGCTTACTAGTCGAGGTGAACCAATCTTACCGTGACTAGATAGAACTTCACTCTGAACCAGATGAGTCGAACTAGGTCTGTTTCTCTTTGCTAAGAGTCATGGCGGGAATTAACGATGCGCACCTTTTAGGTCACATCTCAAATGAATTAGATTTAGCTGTACCACTCTATCGACTCAATGGGCCATTGAGTGACTGTTCAGGGGCCAGCCTCAAGGTAAGTGCAAGCAGATTTGTACGAGTAAGCATCTAGTAAAGCACCAGTTCGGATTAGTAGCGATAAGATCATATTTGTTAGCATGACTCGAGTTTGCGGCTGGGTTGTTTCTATACTTTCTTTTCTTTAATTCGGTGACCGTCATCGAGTCGCCGCGACAGCCTCCTACTAGGCCAACTTGACTCAACGGAGTACTAACAACACGAAAAAGGTAAGCACTTCCAAGTAAATCATGCAGCTGCTGTCATTGACCGAGTGCTGCATGATTCAGGAGCCTGTTGTTCACCAGGTCATTTTCTTGGAATGGCTCATTGGGAGCAAAACGGTGGCCAGTGGCCCTATCCAGGACACAGTCACGGTGACTTCGAGTCACCAAGTCACTTGCAACCGCCTGAGTCATCGCTGCCATTGAATACCAACATTCAGTCTACGCCTGGATTCAGGCTGGCGTCTGAAATCTTGCCAGCACACAATGTGACCACAGCCTCAGGCGGTGGTGAGCGCTCAGGTTATTCTGACCCCCACTGGCAGGACCGCGTGGGAGCAGCCAGCAGCCATTCAAGTTTTGACTCCCAATACAACGAATTACAGCTAGGGTATACTTCTCAGGCTGCCGCTGACGTGGCTACCTATGACCACAATAATTCCTATTCACAGGATTCCCTAGGTGGTAGCCAACACCAGCCTTTGGCGTCCGATATTCCCGGAGTGTCAAACACAGCATCCTACAGCTTCCAGTTGCCCCACTCGCAGGATCCCACTGCAGGTGGGAGCCAGCACCCGCCTCCGGTTTCTGGAATACCCACCCTTATTACGTCCTATACTACATATCAGAGTTCCAGCTCGCAGCCTGCTGTAGACTCGGATGGTAGCCAACACCTGCCTCTTGCTCCTGGAATGGCTGCGCCCATTACGCCCTATATGTACCAAGGTTTAAGCTTGCAGGAGCCTGCAGCTGGCCAGTATCAGTTTTCTGTTACGCCTCTGCCCAATATAGCTTCCCACAACGATTACAACCCCTACCTGCAGGAACAAGCCAGTAGCAGCCGCAATATGAGCTTACAACCTGTGCAACAGTTTGCTACAGAAGGCAGATTCTATCGAGCTATCAGCAGTCACCTCCACCACAGCTCTTCTAATGCATGCCAGAATGTCCTGCACGAATCAGCTCCGTCACAAACCTCCCTAAATTCGACGTCTTCCGATCCTATTCAGATTCAAGCGGCTCAAACTCAGTCGACTTTGTCGGGTTTGGGCGCCCACATCCCTAACGACGAAGGTTGCCGTCCCACTGATCTTCAAACTAAAAGTATGTCCGATAGGTTAGGTTGGACTAGGAACGCAAACCAGGGTGTCGCACATGCATCCCAACCTGAAAGTTTGTTCAATAGGTTGGGCCGGACTAGAAACATAATCCAAAGGATCGCACACGGATCCCCATATAAGGCGCCCCCTCCTTCCATACCACCGCAATCCAGTCGATCAATCTTGATATTGTCGTCAACACTCGACGATGTGAAGAAAGGTGCATCAATACGCATGACAACAAGTCTATTCCAAAACTCTCTTTTTCCGTCTATGGAGAACATTAACGAGTGGGCTCAGTCAGCGCTTGAATGTGCGGCTGCTGCGCACGATGAGAACAGTATGTATTTTCATTCGTGTTCATTTCATGACTCATCGATAAAACAGAGAGGGAACTTGGGCAGTGGATAAAGAGGAGAGAAGGGCTCAACACTCTTTCGCAACTCAAGCGCACCGTCAAAAGGCTCCACTCGAACTCCCGGGACTATGCTGAGGGATTTGTGGCAGGAGCATTCGGTCTATCCTTCGACATGTCCAAGGCAGCGACTGATATCACGCCATCGCGACAAGCTTATGCGACCCTTTTGTTGTTGACCAATGAATTCCTAGACACATTCGTCCAGGTAAGTATGTGAATTCACAAGCATCTGCTCACATTTGATTTTTCGCTGCAGCGGATGCAAAATGGGCAACTCAAGTGGTTTCGTGTCCCATTCGCGCACCCTGGCATTATCGGGATGGTGGAATACATGCTTGTTAATCAGCAATTCCGTCGTCACATAGAATTCGATTCTCCTGACTGGGAATCACGCCTCATAAATGTCATCGCCCTGGCAGGAATGATTGCTCGCTGGGTGGTGAGCAGATACTCAGTCAACGGCTGGTTCAAAGAGGCAGAACTTTACACACTGGCAAATGAAAAGTATCATACCGAGTTGAAAACTCGGATGTTTTCGTTGTCAGGTGATGAGGAGATACTGTTTCGCGAACTTTTACATACCATTTGTTCTGTATTGTTGTCACTCCCTGTCTACTAAAGCCTTCTACTAGAAGTAGGAGCAGGTACCAGGCATTCTGATCCATATCGCATTTTGTTTTTCTCTGATTCTGTAGTTAGAATAGTCATATCATATGCATGGAATGGGCAAGACAGATGAACATCTGTATTTTTAACCATTTACGCTCAAGTCACCTAGAGATGATACATTGATGACCAGATGCGGATGTCACGTGACTTTTGCATACTGTGTGACAATCTGTTGTTTGTTTTCATGAGTCATTCCTCTATAACAGCAAGTGAAGCTCATCGCACCATTATGTGTTTTTGGGCAGTGTGTAAGCTCCTCATTGTGTTTTGATAGACTTTGCAATTGATTTACCTGCCTAGGGCTACAAAAATTTCCTCTGCTGAATTTGCCTGCTTTTTCATCCGCAAATGCTGCGCAGATTACTTCAAGGAGAGGATGACAACGGAATACATATCATTGTTTACCAAGGATCATCTTTGAAGCTTCAGCAGGTCATAGACTGTGAAGCAGTCCTGGAAATCATATCAACAATAACCCCACTCGCAATTCTACTGGTGGTAAGTACTACTGCGAGCTTACCCATCGGGGACGAGCTCACTAGCTATCAGATAAGGTTCCTCATCAAGAATCGGCCCAACTGGACTCAAGTGCGGATATTACTTTCTGTCGAGTTAGCCCTCGACATTTGGGTCAGATTTGTTGAATAAGATATGTTTATCTGAGATATTCACTTCGCTGTTGGAGTATCAATCTCTTCTAAAGTAAGCTGTACAACTTGTTCATGTGTAGTACTTCATCACGAAGCAATTTGATCTGTTAATTTACAGTGTTGAAGTACAATGGCAGTACTATACTCAATTACAATAGCAATCACTAAAATTTCAAGGACTCATTGGTAAACTGTTGTGCTGCAGGTATTTGGCACAAAAAGATTGACTCTGAGTAAACCATGGTATGTATCAAATACCAATACCAGTATGCAAGTAGGCCAGGTGAGCTCATTTAATATCCAACTTGAGGCTCGTGCCGATTATAGACTTGATCCCTCCAGATCTCGAACTCACGAGGCTAAGTCTCTGCCTCTTGCACGGGGCTGAAGTTATCCCAGTTTCAGCGTTTTTTCCCATCCTGTCTACACAAAGTTTCCACACCGTCTAGCATCCGTCAAATTGATGCACCGTATTCACCCATGATGCACCTGTTCTTCCCATTCTCTACAAGCTTGTGATCAGAGGTAAATGTCTGTGGTCTTGTTATTGATTATGATCGCTAACGGCGGCAGTTTTAGCATCATGCGTCACTTTACCCAAGCTTTTGCTCGTCTACATGTGCTAAAGAACAAACATGCAACTGGATACCTTAGCATCGACTACTCTGACGCTCGATTCTACAGATGCACCATGCGCTTCCTGTGCACTAACTGGTCTTCTTGATAGTAAGTTGACTCTTTAGTAGATTGACGTTGATTATTACAACAGACTTGTTCGCTCCAGATTTTGAATTCACGAGACTGAGGGACTTGCAACCGCCTGAGTCATCGCTGCCGTTGAATACCAACATTCAGCTTACGCCTGGATTCAGGCTGGCGTCTGAAATCTTGCCAGCGCACAATGCGACCACAGCCTCAGGCGGTGGCGAGCGCTCAGGTTATTCTGACCCCCACTGGCAGGACCGCGTGGGAGCAGCCAGCAGCCATCCAAGTTTTGACTCCCAATACAACGAATTACAGCTAGGGTATACTTCTCAGGCTGCCGCTGACGTGGCTACCTATGACCACAATAATTCCTATTCGCAGGATTCCCTAGGTGGTAGCCAACACCAGCCTTTGGCGTCCGATATTCCCGGTGTAGAGACTCGTGCATCTCATAGTGTGATATGGCGCTTTACACTAGGGAGTATACAGCACCAACTCGCAGCATCACTCTGTGTACCATCCACAGTGATTCCTATATGACGCGCAGCTTTCCCGCGCAATGCGCGCCATGCGCGCACCATTCCTGCGCTTCGCGATGTATACGCGCGCGCGCGTTCCCGCGCTTGCGCGCCCTATGGCGCCAGCCATCCAGAAGCATCCATCCACTGTCCACCAAGCTCCCTAGTGCGTATATTTCCATTTCCTTTATTAGCATAGTTCCACCTTTATTTTTATCATGCATTCTCACTCATATATATATTTACATACCTACTCGGTAGCGCTTCGGCTCCGCTTGACCGCGCTTAGGCGCGCTATATAAGCGCCAGCAGTACATACTATTACTGACCTTACTTTTCCCTTGAACTTACTAGTTATCACCCACTATTTACTTAGCAGTACATAGTAGAAGTCTATTGGTCTACACTTTGCATCTATCTTTTCTTATATTGCTTTATATCATCACTTAAGCTTAGTCTCTTTTATTTCCGCTTACGCGCGCGCGCTTTCCCGCGCTTCGCGCTAATACGCGCGCGCGTTCCCGCGCCTTCGTACCTTGCGCGCACTTGCGCTTTCTCACGCTTCGCTGAAGCGCGTACCTCTAGATCTTCGCAGCACTCGCTTCCCCTAGGGTCGAACGCACTTGTCTCCTCAAGAATAGCAGACTAGGTAACGCGCGACCTCACAACATTTTATAGATACAGTTAGGAGCATCCTTGTTCCTCATTGTATTGTTGTTTCTACAACTGGAGCCCACCGCGAGGGGAGCAGTCAGCAAGATCTAGTTCCGCGCATTTCGCGCATACAGGTCAATATCTTTGCATTTCGAAAGCTAATCATTTTCTAGTCACGCATTCTTGCACCTTGCGCGCGCGCAATATTCCCACGCCTGTGCGCCTCGCGCGCGCACCTTTCTCGCACTTCACACTATTTAACGCATAAAGGTCAATCTCTTTGCATATTCAAAAGCTAACCAATTTCTAGTCACGCATTCTCGCGCCTTGCGCGCGCGCTTTCCCACCCCTATACGCCTCGCGCGCGCCTGTGCTCTTTCACACTGCAATGCCTTATAGAATGCCCATCCGCGGCACAGCAAACGCGCCCAAATTCGACGGCACTACAGACAACCTCGCTGAATTCATTGACGCATATGAGCAGCTTGCTGATGAAGCAGGACTCCAAGGACTCGACCGCATCAAAGGTATCATCCGCTACCTTGCGCGCGATGATCGAGAACTATGGGGAGGCATGCCAGAAGCGGCAGTAGATAATTACAGCGCCTTTTTAGATGAGGTGAAGGTAATGTATCCTGGATGGGATGGTAAAAGACGCTACGCGCTCGCGGACTTGCGCGCCATCGCGCGCGAATACGCTAACAAACCAATGCCCTCTTGCACAGAACTAAGCAGTTACCTGCGCGCATTCAGGAAGATTATGCAGCCACTCATGGACGAAGACCGTATTGGAAAGGCCGAACGCGACCGCTTATTCATGGAAGGAATCCCTAGCGATGCTCAGGCGCAAATCCGCTTGCGCCTTATGATCAAGTTCCCTGACCACCACCCATACGACCCATTCCCATTCATGGACGTCTTCGCAGCTGCGCAGTTCCTATTACCTGCGCGCACTTTTCCCGCGCCAAGCGCACCAGTAAGCGCACCAATTAGCGCGCCCACTATAGCGCCAAACACGCCAGTTAGCGCACCAGTGGCTAAGTGCCAAGATCGCTATCACGCGAGCCACGCAACCCAGGATACGACCACCAGTACTAATGCGACAGCAGGACTCTTCTATTGCGCACCCTCAGAAGTTGCACTTGACAAAAGGCCACCAGTTCCTATTCTTGCGCCTCGCGCGCGCGCCTTTCCCGCGCCTTCGCGCAATTCACACACACCTCCACCATCAACTATGCCAGCATGCAAAACTATACCAGACTGTATCACTCTAGATCACGAACTCGAGCGCGCGCTCGCGAAGCGCAACCAGATGTGCACTGCAGGCGCCTCTTCACCATCATCCTCATCAGCACCATCTCCTTCACAATCCGCATCATCATCACCATCAATCGCATCATTAGTAGTCAGGGATGACTCTAAACATTCATTGCACACTAACGCGCCATCGCTCGAATCGCGCGCGCCTATCGCTATCGCATCGCACGCGCCTACCGCTATCGAATCACCAGAAGTCAGGGATGACTCTAAACATCCATTGCACACTAACGCACCACTAGAAACATGCTCGCCCCTCGCTATTGCATCGCTTACGGAAGAAACCTCGCCAATCGCACCATCGCCATCACCGCTATCACCACTCGCATCATTAGAGGTCAGGGATGACCCTAAACATCAATTGCGCCTTAGCGCGCCTATAGAGGAGCCTCCTATCGCATCAGAGGCTCAAGTCGCACCTTGCATCAACCAGAGTTTGTCTCTGGAAATTCCAGATGTCACTCACGATCACGCACACATCGCGCTTTTTGCTTCCAGTGACTATCGCATGCCGGTAAAGCATCCATGCATCATACCACCTAACCACCAAGCAGAGCATGTCTCAGGCGACCCTGGCGCAACTCAGGCGCACCATATTGCGCCTGAGGACGCGCAATGCGTGCGCCTAGAGGTATTGTATATTTACCCTCATCTCATTTCGCGCTTTTTGTCTCTTTCATGTTTAAAGCTCTTAAGGAGCTATATGACCATTCCAAACACTTTAATTTCATCCTTGCACTACCCCTTGTTCACGCGCCATGATCACGCGCATCGCACAATACGCGCGCGCATTCCCGCGCCTCGCGCACTCATAATTTTAGCAGAGTTTTCACGCTATCGCATTTCTATCATTTCTCCCCCTTTAAATCACAAATTTTTCATTCAACTCAAGACATATTCCATTCAGCCATCCAGGCGCGACATAGGCGCGCGCCTGACACATACATATGCGCCTAACCCCCCTATCATCATCTTTAACTTTGCAATTTCCACATTTATTCGCATTCTTCGTACTTTTGCTTACCATGTCAATTTTGTTCCTGCGCGCCTTGATGCGCACTATTCTCCTTCACCTATGCGCCTACTGCGCCTTGATATACCACCCTTACAGCCCATTGGCGCAACATTTGCGCCTAATACTTCACTATATACATTTCTCACTAACACATTTACAGAGAAGTGGCCGTTCCTCGCGTGTTCGGCCAATATAATCAAATTCGCGCGAAATTGCACCAAGGCGCGCACATCGCGCGCATCCTATCAGCTTGTAGGGTGCCCCTACACCCCTTGCAGCGCCTTCCATTGGCGCGCCTTCAACCTGCAGCGCGTTGTGCAGGAATTCATTCTGCCAGTCACAAGCCCACCCAAGCGCGCCAGCCTCACACATTCCAACCCTACCTTGGGTAACGCGTTAGCTCGCAAGAGACGCGAAGTGCGCTATTACGCGCACTCGCACGCGCTCAAGGAGGAGGATCAAGCGCCTCAGCTGCGCATCAAAGAACAACGTATACCATCGCTGTTTCATAGGATACCATTCGTTTTACCCTGGGTTTCGTCCAGCGCTCTTTCATTTTATTTTCTCTCATTATAACGCCATCCAAAGAACTAATAACTTACTGATATATATGCACATAGGAGTCGCCAAAAAAACAAGAAAACAACCTTAGATTGTGCCCGCCTAGCTCAATAGTATTATTTTCTCTTCGCACGCATGACGCGGCACCATGCCCTTTTTACCTTAGAACGCGCACATATGCGCGCAGTCTTCCCACACTCACGCGCACATACGCGCGCAATATTCACGCGCCCATACGCCTCGCGCGCACACACATGCGCGCTTCCTGCGCCTCGCTCATAGGAAGGTGTAGATGTCGACAGCCGCAAAGTTTACCATTTTTTTCCTTCGCATTTTCACATATAGTTTTACTCACACTGTTCAAACCTTACCACCTAATATTTAGTGCGCCTAGCAGGACTTGGTTTGGACTTGGATTGGATCGCTCTTGGACCGCACCACTTCGCATCATACGCACAATACAACACATGCGACACTCACGCGCTTTCTCGCACCTTGCGCGCGCGCACTTTCTCGCGCTTTATGCCATATGCGCGCCACATCCATATCACTCTCACATCATCGCCTCACACCCAGGGAACACTATTCACACCAGAAGTCACCCTCACAATCCACCATGCTACGCTTCATTCCTGCGCCTTCAGTGCATATGCACGCGCACATTCTCGCGCCTCGCGCGCGCCATGCGTGCAACTTCCCACGCCTTCGCACCTTACGCGCACCTGCGCCTTCCCGCGCTTTGCACCTCGCGCAATAATTCCTGCACTCGCGTATTCATCGCCCAACAACCCAAGCATTGTACATGCATCGCACGCGCATACTATCACTCGAAATCCTCACCATGCGCGCGCTGAGTGGGGACACTCAGAATTTAAGTCCCTGGGAGATGTAGAGACTCGTGCATCTCATAGTGTGATATGGCGCTTTACACTAGGGAGTATACAGCACCAACTCGCAGCATCACTCTGTGTACCATCCACAGTGATTCCTATATGACGCGCAGCTTTCCCGCGCAATGCGCGCCATGCGCGCACCATTCCTGCGCTTCGCGATGTATACGCGCGCGCGCGTTCCCGCGCTTGCGCGCCCTATGGCGCCAGCCATCCAGAAGCATCCATCCACTGTCCACCAAGCTCCCTAGTGCGTATATTTCCATTTCCTTTATTAGCATAGTTCCACCTTTATTTTTATCATGCATTCTCACTCATATATATATTTACATACCTACTCGGTAGCGCTTCGGCTCCGCTTGACCGCGCTTAGGCGCGCTATATAAGCGCCAGCAGTACATACTATTACTGACCTTACTTTTCCCTTGAACTTACTAGTTATCACCCACTATTTACTTAGCAGTACATAGTAGAAGTCTATTGGTCTACACTTTGCATCTATCTTTTCTTATATTGCTTTATATCATCACTTAAGCTTAGTCTCTTTTATTTCCGCTTACGCGCGCGCGCTTTCCCGCGCTTCGCGCTAATACGCGCGCGCGTTCCCGCGCCTTCGTACCTTGCGCGCACTTGCGCTTTCTCACGCTTCGCTGAAGCGCGTACCTCTAGATCTTCGCAGCACTCGCTTCCCCTAGGGTCGAACGCACTTGTCTCCTCAAGAATAGCAGACTAGGTAACGCGCGACCTCACAACATTTTATAGATACAGTTAGGAGCATCCTTGTTCCTCATTGTATTGTTGTTTCTACACCGGAGTGTCAAACACAGCATCCTACAGCTTATGCACCATGCGCTTCCTGTGCGCTAACTGGTCTTCTTGATAGTAAGTTGACTCTTTAGTAGATTGACGTTGATTATTCCAACAGACTTGTTTGCTCCAGATTTTGAATTCACGAGACTGAGGGTTTACGGTTATGCGGGGCTGAAGACATGCCCAGTTCAGGCGTGTTTCACATATCGCCTGCACTTTGTTTCGCTGCGTCCGTCAATTCAATATAATGTATTCACCCATCACTGACATCTCTAGCTCTCTCACTTTGCTAACTAGCACTACCAGCCTACCTCTGTTCTATTCCACGCCAGATCCACCTACACCTGCTAAGGTGTACTACATCAGGTATTCCTCCTAACCAAGACCCGTACGAAAACGCTGATGCGAAGCATTCATCCATTGTCATCATGCCCTCTGCATTCACTCACGAATTCAACACACCCGCTTTCCAAGCGAAAATTTCTTCCAGCACCGGTCTCTTCATTAACCGCCAGTTTCTGGATGGTTCAGATAATCTTACTCTGGATCCGAACGTACAATCTACTGCGCCCGCCAATGCCTAGCCTCGCCTGTGCATCATGGCTGCAGACCCTCGCATGAGTGAGGGAGAGCTAGCCGTAATCAATGCAGCTGCAGTGACGCAGGAATATTGCGTCCAACCACACCTTGGTGCGTCAAAAGCATAAGCATTGCAAGACGCCGAGTAGTTATTGACAAGCCCTCAAGACTACCGCACCGTTTCTGCAATCAATGGGTGAGTGTTGCTACCATAGCCAATGAGTGATCTGACTGTGTTCCTACAGCCCGCTTGTGATGCTTGACAATGTAAAGGTGCGCGGCGTTTTGATATTGGTTTTGATTTTGTTCTGGTCTTACGTTACCTTTGGTTGGGTTGTGCTGACCTACATACTTGCTTTTTTGCGTAGTTTCCTTCATACAATGAGATCGTACAGCTAACCTTACCCGATGGATCGAAGGGAGGCAGCCAGGTTTTGGAAGTTCAAGGAAGGAAGGCGATTGTTCAGCGACGCATGTCGAATTCACAGGAAGCAGTATGAAGTTACTTGTGGCCGAGGACATGCTTGGCCATATTTTCAACGGTTCTGGAAATCCCATTGATCAGGGTCCAAAAGTGTTTGCTGAGGATTACTTGGAATTAATGGTGCGTGGGTCTTGTGAAGACTTGGCCGGCTCTTAGTTGAACAGTGGAGCAGGATACCCAATCAATCCTTACTCGCGCATATATTCCGAGGAAATGATCCAGACTGGGATTTCGACTATCGATACGATGAATTCAATCGCTCGTGGACAAAATATTCCTATGTTCTCTGCTGTCGGTTTACTGCACAATGAGGTACATATGAAGTCTACTAATGATTAAAAAAAGCCCTCAAGGGAGCTAACCGAAATGCGCAGATCGCAGCGCAGACCATACGTCAAGCCTGTCTGGTGAAACGTCCCACCAAAGACGTCCATGATGGACACGAAGACGATTTTTCTGTCGTGTTCGCAGCAATGGGTGTTAACATGGAAACCGAACGGTTCTTCAAAGAAGACTTTGTGTCAAATGATTCAATTCGTTAACGCGAAATTCCAGTCCTACAGGTATGCATCTGATACGTTTCTTCTCATGCATGCTTAACGCATGGTGTCTCCGTCAGCCATTGTTATGTTGAACATGGGAGGACCTTTGACGGTACGTGAAATATCATCTTGTCTCAATTTCTCTCATACCATGTCATACCACTCTCTCACAGGTACCAGAGACCTATGACTTCCTCAAAAACCTGTTCATGGATGGCGACCTCATTCCGTTACCTTTTCAACGCGTTATAGCTCCTCTCATTGCCAAGTGGCGGACCCCTCAAATCGAGAAGCAGTATGCTGACATTGGCGGTGGTTCTCCCATTCTCAAGTATACAGAGATGCAAGGTGCTGGTATGTGTGAATTACTGGACGAGCTGCACCCAGAAACTGCTCCGCACAAACCTTATGTCGTGTTTCGTTATGTGAACCCACTGACACAGGAGACCGCTCAGAGGATCAAGGCAGACGGTGTAAAGAGGGCAATTGCGTTTACCCAGTATCCACAGTACAGCTGTAGAACGACTGGAAGCAGTTTGAACGAACTTTTCAGACGGGGTAGGGCAGGCGAGATGGGGGACATCGAGTGGAGCGTGATAGACCGCTGGGGTACTCATCCAGGATTCATCGAGGCACGTTTTCAAATCAACTAGTCCTTGAATAACACATTGCCAACCTACCGTGACTGAAGTACTGATACTTAGGTTCACACCAGAAACAAAATATTGTTAGGCGTTGTGCTTTGATGTCCCGTTTCAGGTGCGTATATATAGTGTGTTTGCTTGGAATTGCCTCGATCTCATGATATAAATTAGGAACGTCTTTCTCCCTTCTATCAAGGTTTGACCAGGGGAGATTACGACCTCACCCTGAACCCACTCTACAACGAGGTGTTGAATCTCCAGCCAACTGGTTCCCAACTTCTATAACCACATAAGTTCCGAGCGTCTTTCTACCGTTCTAGCAGTCCATCTTTTACCTCTTGCAGTGAATGTGCCTCACTGTGAGCTAGTCAGGCGTAATGCAACAAACAGCCTATGACATGCAACATCTCTAACGGTCTGATTTGGTGTTTGATATTACACCGTGACGGAGCTCAACTTACTTTGCACCTTAAAACGTTCAACACGAACTAAGTTTTTATCAACTCGCAGTTCCAAAGTTTTTTCCATCATATCATTCGAAATGTTGCATTCATATCGTGATGTTTTCCAGACCTTTTCCGCGTATCGGAAGGGATCGCCTCCAGTTACGTCTGACGCTGACCGTTCTCTCGAGTTCCCTCGCAGACCTGGCTCTCAATACAGATCGAAGTTGAAATGCCAATCGGCATCCCAAACAACTGATGTCAGATCAGATAGTGACAAGGAAACTTCATCACTGCCTCTAGTCTGGGTGAGTGATCCTCTACTTTCTATCTGGTGGACAAAATGAAACAATGGCACAGGTTGAGGTCCGAGACAACGTTATCCCGCCTCATGCTGTTCCATTCGCCTCGGACAGTCACAGACCTCTTTTCATAGCCCCAGCCTGATATCGAAGGTCGTTGTCAGCAGTCCCCGAGTCCTGCGGAACATCCGGTGAAGGTACAACAATTCAGATGGTGAGTCTGAACAATGTTGGGTCTATGCAGAACCTAGCTGCTATTCGACCCTAAAGGGTTTCTGGACTAGGCTTAAGGCTCAGAGGAGAGGAAATATACTGAAAACTTGCTGAGCACTCAGACTCATACTGGTAACTGGTGAAAAGATTGATTGCTTATGTAAGCTACAAAAAGTGCCAACATAAAGTAAGGTAAAAACAGTCTCTACAAACCCAGCCAGAAATGAATCCCTACACCGGTTCGCTAAAAGAGGTTTATTGGAGGGTAAAGTACTTGAATGATATCACGCACGAAGGAGACACTTTGGACCCAAGATTGACGGAGGATAAGGACAACGCGACACCGTCGGCGCTCTCATTTATCCTCCTGTCATCGTCTAAGATGGCAGACTTCGACGTGTTTCCATCGATAATCCTGACAGTACGGGAATAGGATGTGAGATTTTGCTTGACCTCGCTTTCCGTCTTTTGATCATGATAGTCTTCTCTCCCCTCCACAGTTTGGCGCTTGCAATCTGTGGATACATCCTCCATCTTACCCTCAAGTTTCGGAATACTAGATGATTTCAGTTGAGAGTAAACACAACGTAGGAAAGACGTACGGGGAGACTTGACTAGACTTTTCCCTGGCTACGTCTTGATCGTAGAGTTCCTCATGTCTGTCAGAAGCCAGAAAGGAACTCTCGCCCCAACCTGGCTGAGTGTGATGGAATTTCTCATGTGCGTACACATCAGTCGCTTCGAGTGTCATGCCCTCACTCTTTGCTTCGCAAGTGCTCATGACGGCATGGAAACTTGGCCCTGCTCTCGCATGCAGTAACACCATTATTCTGAAACCGTCAGTTCACATCCCTGACTGCCATCTGAATGTGCTACCTTATTAACGAGGCTGGCTTCCCACCCGGGGTGCTCAACGTCATCTCTGGTTACGGAAACACTGTCGGTAATGTCATCTCTTCGCATATGAGGATAGAGAAGGTCGCCTTCACTGGCTCAACCCTTATTGGTCGCAAGATCATGGAGGCTGCTGCGAGGAGCAACCTCAAAAACGTCACCCTTGAGCTCGGTGGAAAGAGTCCAAACATCATCTCTAACGATTCAGACATTGAACAAGCTGTCAACTGAGCTGCATCTTCCAGGCTGATGTCAAAGGACCAATACCCAGAACGGCCGAGGAGATGGCAGCTTACTTCCTCGCATCTCTGCTAGGGCAAGCAAACCGTCAATCGATTGATCATTATCGCGACCACCACGTGGGCAAACCCGAACGCAGGGAGGCATACAGAGCTAGTGCGGTGATGGAGCATGCGCCTCATGCGCCCAAGAGTAACTCTTATATGATATCAATCCCGATGCAAGTCAGGGCAGTAATGGTCCGCCGGGTTCAGATAATAAAGGGTGATGTCGCATCCCAAGTGGTGCAACTTGTGTGCGTACCAATTATATACTCATTGTCGATATAACATGTTGATGGCCTCCAAGTGCACAAATATTCCAAGCTATCATGATGGGTACCGTCTTCTATCACCTCCCTGACGCCACTTCTGGTTACTTCTCCCGCAGGGGCATCTTATTTCTGTGTGTCCTTCTGCATTCTTCTGCCCCCGATGTTTCTAATCAGTCTACAGTGCATTGTTTTTTGGCGCCTTGTCCGCTATGGCAGAGATACCCGCTCTCTATGCTCAACGTCTCATAGTTCTCCGTCACCACAAAGCAGCGATGTATTATCCTTTCATCGAAAGTCTGGCTCACACGGTCGTCGACATACCAATTACGTTCATCATCCAGGGCATTTTCTCTGTACTTCTCTACTTCTTGGTCGACCTTCAGAGGACAGCAGCGCAGTTTTTGTCAGTGATTTCCTGTCTACAATTCTATGGCACAGATCTGATATACCTTTCTGATAGCATATTCTTCTTGATAGTATTCACGATGACGACCGCGATGAAAGGATTTTTCAGGCTGGTCGCTGCTGCTTTCAAAGAAGAGTCTAGTGCTACATCAGTAGCTGGCATTGGTGTTTTAGTCTTCTCGCTATACACGGGTTATACTATTCCTCGGCTCAGCATCCCGGGCGCCCTGCGCTGGATTACATACTTGAATGTAGGATGTCGTATTTTTTTTTTGAGTGCCATGCTGAAACATCTTTTCAGCCTCTTGGGTACGGTTTTGAATCATTGATGATGAACAAATTCCACACTTTGAACGGGACATGCTCTACCTTAGTCCCTCAAGGTCCTGGGTACGAAAATGTATCGCTGGCTAATCAGGTTTGCACCACAGTCGGAGCTCAGCCTGGAATGCCAACTGTCGATGGTAACGCCTTTACCTACCTATCTTATGATTACAAGTACAGCGATCTTTGGCGCGTAGGTCCCAATTTTATTTTCCGATGTGAGTCATGACAACTTAAATTATTTTCTATCAGAATTACGGTGTTATCTGTGCATTCGGTGTCGGCTTCCTTCTGTTGTTGCTCTTCGCAACCGAATTCAACACGGGATCTGCATTTGATTCTGCCATCACCCTTTTCAAACAGTCAAAAGGCGCAGGATCTGTTGGACCCGCCAATGTACGAAGAGATACGGAAAAAGCAGGACCATCAGCACCTGATGAAGATGAGGAAAAAGCTGGACCATCAGCACCTGATGAAGACACGAAACAACAAAGAAGAGTATCCGATGGAAAGAAGAAACATGCGCCGCCAGATATCTTTACGTGGCACCATGTGCAGTACGTCGTACCAATTTCAGGGGGACCAGAGAGGAAGTTATTAGACGATGTCTCTGGTTATGTCGCACCTGGAAAGCTCACCGCCCTCATGGGTGAATCGGGTGCGGGGAAGGTTGGCGTCATCTTACTGCTCAATCTCGCTGTAGACTGACAAGACCGTGATAGACTACTCTGCTCAATGTCCTTGCCCAGCGCGTCGATGTTGGTGTTGTCTTAGGCGATCGTTTCATCAACAGACAACTGCTCCCTGCAGATTTCCAAGCACAAACGTAAGGAAAAGTCAAACAGTTGGTGGGCAATACTAAAAACTAGTGCAGGGGATATTGTCAACAGATGGATACCCATCTGCCCCAAGCCACTGTTAGGGAAGCTATTCTTTCCTCAGCTCATCTTAGACAATCGGAATTTGTCCCTATGGAGGAGATTCGAGCTCAGTGTGTCCTCTTTTACATCATACCATTGACAGTTCCGACTGATATTATTCAGCGTTGACAAGTGCGTCCAAATGTGCGGCCTCGAAGCCTATGCAGATGCAGTTGTAGGCACGTTGGGTGTTGAACATAAAAAGTGCACGACAATAGCTGTTGAACTGGCCGCGAAGGTATTTACGTCTTTGAAGGTTTGCATCCTCGAACTTAACGTGCCAACAGCCCAAACTTCTTCTTTTCCTTGATGAACCTACATCTGGTCTCGATTCTCAATCAGCTTGGGCCATCATAACATTCCTCCATGAGCTCGCCGATAGTGGACAAGCCATCTTGTGCACGTGAGTCTTGTATATGTCTGATAGCGTCCACAATCTGAACTTGATTAGCATTCACCAACCTTCCGGGGAGCTTTTCCAACTGTTTGACAGACTTCTCCTCCTTCGCAAGGGCGGCCAAACCGTCTATTTTGGTGAAATTGGGGAAAGGTCTTCTACAATGTTGAAATATTTTGAGCGTAATGGAGCTACACCCTGTAATAAGGATGCCAACCCGTAAGTCCTTTGTTGGTTCAAACATTCATGAAATTGAGTTATGGCAGTGCGGAATATATGCTTGATGTCATTGGCGCTGGAGCAACCGCGAACACATCTGTTGATTGGCATAATGTCTGGCAATTTTCGCCGGAAGCTGCTGCCCTTGAAGATGAGCTTGGACGCATTCACACTGAAGGTCGATCTCGTCCTGTTGTTCAGACAGAACTACGCACACAGTTTGCTACTTCATGGAAGCACCAGACCATTGCTCTTACACAGCGCAACTTCCAAGCATATTGGCGGAATCCAACCTACTTGATGGGAAAGCTCATTCTCAACATCGCCGGTGGTCTATTGATTGGTTTCACATTCTACAATACGAAAGATTCCCTCCAGGGTACACAAAACAAACTCTTTGTATGACTTCCGACATTTGATGAAGTAGCTTTGTTGGCTAATCGGTCTCAGTCCTTTTTCTTAGCCACGATTTTATGTGTCCCCCTTTCTCAACAGATGCAGGCGGTCTACATCGACATTCGGTCAATTTACGAAGTCCAGGAGCGCCAGAGCAGGATGTACAAATGGACTGCTCTCGTCACCTCTCAAATCCTCGTCGAGATACCTTGGAACATTTTCTGCTCGTCGGTCTTCTTTGTTTGCTGGTACTGGTCAGTCGGATTCTTTTGGTATCTTGTGGGTATAGCATGTTATCATACAAGCTACACTTATGGGACATACATGAGATCTCTATCTAACCCTCACGCAGTGCCCCGTTTCAATTTGCGAGATGGACAGAACAATATGGACCCTTATTTCACCAGCTGGAACCATGGTCAGAGTATTTTAGCCTTAGAGGATCGTATCAGCACATGCATAAGTTTTCGCTAGAGACATTACCATTCAGTCTGAGTGCGCCTTTCGCACTCTCAACATCCTCGCTAACTTCTGGCACCAGCTTGGCATGGTGCCGGTCGTCTCCCCTCGTAGCTTAAACACCTTCGCCAACTTTTGGTGCCACCTTGGCGTGGCACCGGCAGTCGTTTCGTCCATCTGTACAGTCCCCACCTCCCCTGCCGTAGTCCCCGCCTCCCTCCCTCCGCGTCTCATCACTCTCGGCGTAGTCCTCGCCTCCTGCTGCCGAGGTCTCACCACTCTCTGTGGAGTCCTCGACTCCTTCCTCGCCTTCGCCCTCTCCGCCATTATCTTTCTCGCGCGATCAGCTGAACAATAAAGCTGATCGCTCACCAAATCAGCATACGTGTGCCATTGAATACCAGGACGATCAACTTACATTATCCTGGGGTCCCATCTTACAGGTAAGTATTTTGATTGTGTTGTGATGTACAGATCTTAACGTTTGGAACGATGGACGAAGGTAACAGCTGTGTTTCCATTTTCGGCGAGAGCGTCGCGCCTGTTTCTAAACCGACTCCGAATTTCGATATGGTACGCACAGCTTTATTTACAGCTATTTACAGATATAATGGCACTGGCCCAGCCCCTCGCCCTACAAATGCACCCCTTGGGCACTCAAACACTCCACCTTTCAAAAGTTTCGGTTTACTGGGCTGGCGCGGGGATGGTGCAGGCGTTGATGATGGAAGGGCGGCCGTTGCACGTAGCCGACGCTCTGAGATGATGTTATTGAAAGCATTATCATTAGGAAGAGACAACACACCTTCAACTTTGCCCAAATACTCTCGGCAGGTAGCACCGTAACGACCAAATGTTTCGTTGTGTTATTACATTGCGAATGGTTAATACGTGAAAATGCTTGTGGAGGCCAACGGGCCGAGTCTTTATTACGGATCGGAAGAAAATAATCTACACTGTTGAGGAAGTCGCCTGGGCTGTCAGAAATTTTATTGAGACGTTGAGGTACTACGCAGTTGTTTGGCAAAGGCTTTGGATCCAAACAAACGCATCCATATTGAGAACAGTCACGTGGGGACACTCTCATTCTCGCTCATTGGTTACTACTTACGGTCACTGGATTTCATGTCTGACGCAGGATACAACCATGCTCGGAAAGCATGGTAGAAACTCGGACGATGATACAGCTCGTCTGCTGGATGGTGAAGACGGTCCCATGCCAGCTACCGACGCCCCCATAAATCCGAGAGGATGACAGCGATGATGATGTTGGTCCTATGCCTCTACCTGCAGGCGCAAATGGTGGAACTAAAAGGAAGCGCAGAGGTGAGTCGTATGATGATCAGTCTATGAATTATGCAAAGCTTAATGGATTTGATGCTGCTGCACAGACTTTGACCCAAGCATTTGACGCGAAGGCTGCCGGCAAGCTGTTCTGGGACCCTCGTGATGATACTACCATCCCTGATGAGCACGTTTTCATCGTGTCTTGGGTGGATTACTGCAATAAATATGGAATGGGTTATGCCCTGATGGATGGGTCTGCTGATGTACACTTTAATGATAGTACGACCCTCACACTCTCAGCGGATAAGCAGTGAGTCCTTGTCTATTTCTGATCTTTACATGACCCAACACATCTCCCAGTCACTTTGACTACATCTCCTCTCGACGCCACGGACCTGTCTACATTAGCAAGAACTTTTCTGTGACCGATGGAGGACCTCAAAAACAAGGTATATCCTCTCGAGCATTTCGAGCGCTACCGTAATCATGGACCTCCTGTACGGCGACTACGAGTACACTTTCGAGGACCATGACCGTACCAAGGGAATGGATTTCGTACAGAAGTATTTGCGCATGAAACACGTTATTGTGTTCAAGATGAGTCATGACGTCCTTCAGGTCATTCATTTCACCCCTTCTTAATGTGTTTGATAATTGACGCTGTGTATGTAGTTCAACTTTTACGATCACTCAAAAGTCATCCTCTCATCTCATGGTTTACTGGTGACGCATATTGACAAGAACTACAAGATTGCACGACTCACGCTCAGCGAAATTATGGCACTATCTTGACAACCTCCTGCTGCAGATCCCGAGCAGGCCAAGTTCAACCAGCGACTTGTAGACAAATTCAAGTACTGCAAGGAGGTACTTACGTCCATCCATAATGCGAGCGCCTGGGCCAACCAAGCCGCAACTGATGACGACGCGGGGATGGGAGGAGGGTTAGTCAGCACGAAGACGTCTAAGGCATCGTTGTGGTGATGCGTGTGATGAATGAAGCGCATTTATACTTGCATAAGCTGTCGGTTGTGTTAGGCCTCCGTAGTTTGTTTTCATTTCCTTTTTTCGCATTCTGTGTCTGCTCATTATAACATATCAAGCAAGTTTTCGCTCTCGTAGGCATCAGTACCATGTTATGAGTTTTCTTTTAGCTTTCGTAAAGCACCACAGGCATATGTGCCGTTTGATTATTTTCTACTCTGACATGGACAGCTTGTCGCTCTCCGAGATTGTCAATTTGTCGATATCAACTTGGATTTTCCACAATTCTGTATGAGCATCACGTGTGGTTCCCAGGACCCGAGGCTAATAGTAAAGTGTTGTTGAGAACAATCAAGTCAGTGCCATCACTTGGTGCTGCACTTGTCCTAGTGGGTGACGCAGCCCATATTCATTCACCCGCAGACGACCAGGGTATGAACCTGGCCATCAGGGCTTCGTTGTTGTCACGAAGTAAGTCCGAGAGAATATCTATGGAGCGAGTATCTCAATCTCAAAACAGGACAGACTTTATCATTACTACGTCGGTTGACGGACATCTAAAATTCTGGAAGAAGCACTGGGACGAGGGTATCGAATTTGTGAAACACTTCACATGAGCCCGATAACTGGAGTATCATCAAGTGCAGATGGACAGCTTTTTGCCAGTATCTCGGAAGATGGGTCTGCAAAAGTGTTCGATGTGCTCAACTTTGGTGCGCAAGTGGCCCACATTTTTTATCTTGGCGCTGACTAGTAAACAGACATGATAAAGCTCGGGTTTACCCCTCACGCGTGCTGTTTGGTACATAGACGAGGGCAAGTACAAGGCCTGCTGGCTGTGTGAGCATCTTGTGCAATTTCCTGGTTAATTTCTAACAAAGTATATAGCTCGGAGCAAGGGACAGGTACCATACGGCTTTATGATGGTCGCGGTAATGATTCCCCACTACTAACAATCGAAGAACTTCATCGTCTTGAATAACACTTTCACCCGATTCCTCTTCCTTTGTTACATTTCTCTTCCAGATCGTCAAATCCGCATGTTTGCCTTCCTGAAAGGCAAACTAACTCGAAAGCACAACGAATCGTTGACAGCAATCCAGGAAATGCAACAGGCCAGTACCTCAATCCATTGCGTAGAGGACATGGAGTTTGGTAGGCGGCTGGCAGTGGAAAGGGAGCTTGAGATGCCAGGCCCCGACGGACGAATCCCTGCAATGTCAACCAATGTAGTGTGGGACGAAAGCGGGGCATTTGTCTTATATCCGACCTTACTCGGAATCAAAGGTTGGAAGTGACTTCTCTTTGGCAGACTCAAAAACTGATATGTTGCTGTTTCTCAGTGGTCAACACGGTGACGAACCGTGTTGTGCGGCTACAGGGAAAGGATGAATCAGTTCGATGGATGAACCTTGCATTGTACCAGGGAGCGCCTGCAAAGAAAGGGCTAGCACCTGTATGTACCTATTCATGATTGAGGAACACTGACAAGCAACTTTTATAGGTGATGACAGCATCTGCGAATCCCATGCTTGCCAACAAGAGTATTCGAGACCCGACCCTCTTTTGCACAGGGTATAAACACCAGCGTTTTTATCTTTTTACCCGATCCGAACCAGAGTAAGCACTTTATCATTTGACCTTGCTACGTCTTCATATCTGTATCACAGAGACAGCGAAATACACGACAAAGACGTCTTTAATGAACGGCCGACGCGTAAAGAACAGTCCATTGCCTCTGCGACTGCCCTTACTAAATCAGGACCATCACCTTTTGGCTTCATCCGCAGTGATTCACACTTCCATGGGCGACATACATATGCGCCCATTTCCCCAGCAATCTCCACATCGCGACTGCCACCCCTCTCGTCCTCTTCGACGTCGCTCTCACGGTCCCCATCAATGAACATGCAGCAGAACACGGCTCAATCCGTCGCCGGACAAGGTTACACGCTGAAAGTGTCGTTCGACACATTTGAAAATCCCACCGCCTCCATGTTCTCATTTACCCTGCACGTGCAATCGGATGGATACACTAGGAGCAGGGCGACGAGGGTATTTCTTTGTGCATCGAGTCCAGACAAAAGCAGATGTTACGCCCTTGACTGGGCGCTGGAGAGTTTAGTGCAGGACGGGGATGAGCTAATCGTATTCAGAGGTATCGACCCAGAGGATTTAGGTGGGTGGCTCGTACTACCTGGGCCTATGCAAATGTTCAATTATAACTTAGAGAAGGATCATGAACAACATACCCATATTCCAGTCGTATGGTTACGATCGGCACTAAAACAATCCTCCCAGCCGGGTTCACCCTGCTTGTGATCCAGACTGGAGACCCATTGGGCGATGGCACAGGGGGGACGTCAATTTGGGACAGGGAATTTGAAGATGAGTTTTCCCCAGATTTGAAACATGACCAGTAATTATTTGGCGCTTGTCTCAGTCAAGATTTCATGGTTGATTGACTACATTACAGCCCGTATACCATCAGCATGGCAAACGCAGGTCCTAACACAAACGGCTCGCAGTTCTTCATTACCACTACAGCCACTCCATGGTTGGACAAGAAGCACACAATTTTCAGTCGCGCTATCTCTGGACTGGAGGTCATTCATAATATCGAAAACGTGAAGACGGACAAGATGGACAAGCCATTTGAAGTCATCAAGATTGTCAATGTTGTTGTCGAAACTGATTGGAGGCGTTTTGCAACACGTTCTGGAAATAATTCAGGGTTCGTCTCCGCAAGTAGACACGGGCAGGAGAACTTGAGTAGAGTATGCGACTGATTAGAGCTTGGTGAGGAAGATGTACATGACGTTGCTGGGACAACCATTGCCATTGCTTCATAAACGTCCAAAGGTCACCTGTCCGCTCAGGAATGAGGTCTGATTAGCCGAGATAGGAACATGCGACTGGATAAATGATTCATGGCGCATATAGCATCTAGCCAGGTCATGCATGAGTTTACAGAAGAAAGACAAGTTCCTGATCGATGTATGCAGGTTTTCAAACCACCAAAAACTCATAAGTTGTGCAACTCGGATTCAAATACCAGACGCGACAAAAGCTGATGGTCAGTCTCAACGGTTCATCGCCGCCACATCGAGACCAATGTCCTCAATTCGGAAAGTAAGTCGAAAAATAAGAGTCTTGCACACACGATAATTTGAGCACTGATCACTGAAGAACCGATTTGATTCATTCAACTTGAATGCAAGTGGTAGGTTGTCAAAAATGCTAAAGTTGTTTGTTACGATAATGCCTTATATAGCCTTGTAATTCAAGACATGATAAGGGAAAATGTGAACGCTCGACAACCTCGACGTGATTACCCTGCTATCCCTTCCAGGTTATGACGGTGTAATGTCACAACGTAGTCATGACTTGTAATGTTCATATATATCTGATGACCAAGGCTAGTGCTTCTTTCCATCATAAAGTCATGAATAGCTTTTTATTGAAAATTTAAATTATGACAAGTGAGCATGGCTAACATAGTGGACCCAAATTCAGCACGATCCCCTGTTGGCCGTCATGTTGCTGTGTTGTACCCTTGTCACGAGTGCCTGAAGGTACTCTAATTTCATAGATGTATATACCTATATACCAAGCAGTCAAATTTATCTGCGTATAAATGGTGATATATGGCAGAAACATAATTATTTCATTCTGTAGTTATCACGGGTACAATATCACGGACTCATGAATTCACTGATGGAAGTGAGATTATTCACATCCGTGCCATATATCTCGTTGAACTGCTGAACAAGGGCGTCCTTGAAATCACAGTGAGCTTGTTCTCTCTCTTTGTCTTCCCTATCCCAGCAAAACTGGTCGCACATCCGGTAAAACTCCGATGAAGCTGACGCAGACGAATCGTAGTCGAACGCGGGATATGTTGCAAAAAAATCATCTAGAGGCGTCTGTGTGTGTGTTTGGGACGGCTGATGTATGTGTTAGCCTGTCTGTGAGATTGAAGGTGGCTATATTGACCTACACCATTGGGGATTTTGAACCCTTCGTCATGCGCAAACCTGCACTTGGAGCCGAATCGACAAGTAGCTGTCTGTGAATAGCTGTAGCACACCTTAGAGGACGATGGCATCTTGTAGTAACAAGTACTACACGTCGTACTCATCCAGAATATAGTCAGGTGGGGGGTCTTTATATTACGGAGTCCTTGAATGCCTCATGTTGTTTCCCCGATCACAGGAAAGTAGTCTTCGCGCCTGACCAGTAGATCAAATTGGGACTCCATCGTGACCATGTGGACCCACAAACACTTCATGTGCCAAGCCAGCTTCTAGACGTACGTGTGAGAGACAATGTCGGAAATACATATTTTGGGTTGCCATTCCTTAAAATAGATTGAAAGGCTTCAATTTGCCGGCAGCATTACGATTGACTTGCAAGAACACCCGAAATTGCCATAAGCCGGTTGGCAGTGACCCATTTGGTCTTGTGTCTGCCTTCCAAGGCAGTGCTAAAATTTTAAGTGACATGCCTTGCAAGGCATCGAAAGACAGTTTCAAGCGCTAAAGTGTCTTCCAATAATTTATTTTTATTTCAAGAGAATTTCGACATGCAGCGCTAGTTTCAATTCGACTGGTAAAATTCAAACTATAGAAATCACATTGAAACTCTCAGAATTGAATTGCGGGTGGTTCAAAATACAGAATGGTTTTTACTAATAGACTAGTTGTTTATGGTATGGTAGACATAGCAGGAGAGCGGATAGGAAGATATAATGATGATGGAGTGCACCAGCGCCAGAAATGATTGAGGGCAGCTGGGAGTAATGGCAACAGCAACGAGAGGGTGTAGATCTGAATCGGGAGTGTCAGAGGCAGAATATTAATTCAAACGAAAAAATACCTGTTTTGTTATTGCTGTTGTTGCTGGAGCTGGAGCTGAATCAGATTCCTAATACCGCTCACAGACTGGTGGTGATGGCAATGAGAGCGGGTGGACAATGGTGAGGTCAGAGGCGACGGGATAAATTTAAAAAAAAATTAACAGTACCTTTAAGACAGTAGACTGCGCTGCTGCTTAGACTGTTGTTTGTTGGTGGATGGTCCAGTCTAGAGGCACATTGATGATTCAGAGCTGCAGCGACGTTGACGTCGAGCGAAATCATAGTGATTATAATGATTGTCGATGGACTTAGAGAAATTGTGGTAGTTGGATTTCAAGAGACGAGGTAAACTTGGCATGACTGGAAATGTAGCTGCTTATTCAGCTGTTTGGTTGTATGTACTTCTAACCTAATTTAGTAGTGATTCTGACTGACGTTGTATCATAGTAAAGAAGATATTTGAGCGTGCAGAAAAAGATTGAGATAAACAGCGTGTGATCAGAATGAATCATTTCTTGCGGCCAGACCTACGGACCTCAGCACCTGTTTCGTCCTGGACCGCCTTGGCTTTAGTACGCCTTGGCTTTGGTTTGGGCTTTGGAGGGATAGCACCAACCGCAATAGCCTCGTCTGCCAACGCAAGATCTTGCATTGCCGAAGAAATGGAGTGAGTTTGTGCCCCAATGATAGGAGTAGGCGAGTGCAAGATGACGGGAGCTGTCGCAGAGACAGGTGGCAGTGTGTCAGGGGTGGTGACAGGAGTAGATGCTGGTAGTGCGACCGAGGCAGATGGGCATGCGACCAAGGCAGATGGCGGGTGCGCAGCAGAGGCAGATGGTGGGTACGCAGCAGAGGAAGATTGCGCAATATCCTGAGGTGCAATGATGGCAGTATCAAATGGAAAAGCAGGCCCTTCACCTCCCTCTTCCATAGCGCGCTCGAGTTCCTCTTCCCAGCTGTTGTAGGAGGTGCCGGTATCTGCCACATCCAGAGCGGCGTGTGAGGATGAGGTTTCAGGAAAGAGGGCGTTGTTGAAAAAGTTTGTGATGTCTCGCGCCCAGGCACCTCCAGTCATTAGACGTTGGCGATAATAGTTGTGATATTGTTGGTACAGTATGTTGCTTTTTTCGCCTTTCGCATACAGATCCTTGTCACCTGAAAGAACAAATATTGCCTATCAGTGGAATATTAATCAGCGCACACTCAGAGATACGACATTAAATGAATACTTACAACAACAGCAGCAGCAGCAATCATACCTGGAGTCGTATTCCGTAATTGCCAAAGTTTGCCCTTGGTCTTCGGGGCTGGAGCGTAGGTGGCGGAGAGGGAGGATTTCCCGAAAAGTGCTACCTTTAAGACCTAAGTGTAATTGTAGAAGCGATCAGGACTTCGTTAATGTACATAGAATAACACACGCACCCGAACAAGCTTAGCCGTTTCGAGGAACTCGTCTTTGTTGGGACGCTCTGGATGAAGAAAGAGTACCGGCGCAAACTTTGTGTATTCGCCGTGGGGATTTACAAGCAAAGTTCGGCACTCTGGCTGGGTATCGCGAGGGTAGCCTCGGACAAAAAATTCAGATTTCAATCTGAAAATAGCACCTGCGCAAGACTTGACATCTGAAACCATCTCTGAGCGAATGCCGCTGACACCCTTTGCAAACTGTCAGAATTGAAATTAGTTGCAAGTTAATTGAAGTAAGCTGAGACATTCCCTACATGCGGTGCAAAGTTCTTGTAGCCCATCAACTCATGATCAATTTCTGGGATGAACTTGAATAACTCAGCCTTTACGCCGTCCTCTATTGACTGTGGCGACAGCCAACGCTCGCTACCAAAGAGTTCAATGTTAGGAGGCACACGCAGAGGAAAAATCCTGGCGTTAATCCATAGACAGTGCGTCATAGAATATTTACGCCCGTGAGCCCGTATAGTGTCTTCTTTGGCAGAGAGTGCAAGATCCTTGGCAGTCAAGTTTTTCCCCCGTCGTCCTTTGGCTGTAGTAGCTTCGAGAAGGGTGTTTCGTTTCAATAGTTCTCGACATTTGCCACGCATATTCAGCAGCAGATTCTGTGCCATTTCAAGCGCCTGTATGTATGTGAGTAGCGGGAAATGACACCGGTCACAACCACAAGACACACCTGTCGGACTTCCTGAATAGTTGCACCATCTCTAGCAGGCGCAATAGCAGCGCGTATCTCCACGAGATCTTCATCCGAGTCAGTGGAGTCAGAATCGGTCGAGTCCTCATTGGCGTGTGAATTGCTTTCGAAGTCTGAATCATCTTCAGCAAATTGGTTTCGCTGTGGTTGAGGCATGGTTCAAAGGGCGATGAGGTGCAACTTGGCCTGAGACTATCAATTTTTCCATAAGATGTTTATATACAGTATAATATACAAACACGTACTGAGGCTCGTGGTCCATTGAATGTAATGTAAACGCACACCCTATTACTTACCTCCATGAGTCTAGACCAGACACGTCTTATCGCTGGCAGGAGGAAGCACGACGTAATCGATACTTAGGTGAGGGTGTTGAAGATTTGATGGGTGCCTGGCGGATTCAGAGATTATTACTACATCACGACTGCAGTTGTAGATACGGGATCACACACCTTGACACTGCATCAAATGAGCAACAAATAGGAAGAGTTGTACGTCATTGTTCGTGTGACTTTGGAGGCAAGGATAGCGGATACGAACAAGCGGTGACCCGGGGATCCCTGGGCAGTGGAATTCCGGGAAAACAAGAATCTGGGCGCTGGAGAAGGATGAGCGCCGTTTTGTGCGGTGTAAGGTGTATTAATGAAAGAGGGAGTTTGACAAGGATTGGGGATGGCATGAGGGAGTTTGACCTTGTGAGTTAGATGAGGATTGGGGGTGGGGGCGCAGGAAAGTGTGGGCCTCCATTACCCTAGAAGGACCTCAAAAGTTTCGCACGGAGGAACATGTCCGTGTCAACGAGATCGACAAGAAAGAAATCACGATCATGATCATGATCTGGCACAAGTAAGGCGCCGCGAACGATAGACTGCAGAGAAATAAATTCCGAGGAGGCTAGAGGTCGTGCGCGAAGGCGAGTCAGCCCCAGATCACGATCCACACCACCTCTGGAACCAGTGGGAGCATCCATGGGTAGGACTAATGCGAGTTCGAAAGTGTGATTGCTGACCGTGAACTTGAACATGAACAATAGCCGAACAAAGATGCACTTGTCGATCCCATCCTTGTCTAGAGTGCGGATCAAGGCACAATCACGACGTTCGCACCCATGGAAGTTCGGATTACATCGGAGGTAGTCAGTAGTCAGTTTCCAGTCGACAATAGACTCATAGTTTACTTTGAGGTAGCGATGTTCTTGGAGCTATGATAAACCATAATTAGCAGATATTCAGAACGATGCGGGTGAATGAACGAACCTTGTCGTTAGCTGTAGGCCACAACCACGTAACACCATCGGCCAAAGGAATATCGTTTGATGCAACGAAAGTGTTGAGAAACTTGGTGAATTTCTTTCGGAAATCCTGGAAGGCACGGTTAGATGTGTTGCCTTCCTCCACTGCAGCGAGAGTGACAGGAACTTGAGGAGCGCCAATATGAAGATGGCCTGCGAATGGTTGATCGTCTAGTGTATCCTCGTCTTCAAGTTGTCCCTGTGACATTGTGCGTTTGTGCCGATCTTCATCGAGGTAGGAAATACGACTGCGGATTAGTTCGGAGACCAGACTGATGTGATCAAGCTTGAGGACCTGTGTGTTGGTGTTGGTGTTGCGGGCAGTTTTAATTAAGGGACAATTGCGCACCTGATTGGCAACATCCTTGCGGTTTGTTTGGCGTAAATATGCTCGCTTCAATGGTCCATGTTGTTTCTCGTTCGGTCGAGTACTGAAGTTGCGGACCGCTCCTTTCGCGCGAATGTCGGGGAAAGCATGTGTCAGAGCATGCACCTTAGGGAAATTCCAGTTCTTCGTCAAATCTTCGCCCTGGATGTCGATATATGCCTGAAAATATGTTAGATACAACTAAAAGTCAAAGGAAAATGGTATATACATACATGTAAGCATGTCCCGAATACTCGAAGCTCTGCTTCGCCAGCAGTGAGTGTTGCTTCAGTATGCACATCGAGCGCTATGTACATAGTCAGTCGCAGGTAGCTACCTATACACTGCATTAGGGCATAGCCAACAGGATCTTCACTGCGCTTCAACACATTTTGTGCTGAGTACAGCATTTGCTAGAGTCCAGAGAATGTTAGTAGGTATATTGATATACAATGTCGAATAATGTACCTTCGCAATATCTCTGAGTTTGTTGCCATCGCTAAATGATATTGTCATGACGGACTTGAAATGATTCAAGTCACGCCATCTTGGAAACGCTTCGAACCTGCAGAGTCTTGTAAGCGATATTAATGTAGAAGGTAATATGAAATATACTTACTGTTTATCGATTTTCGCCTCGGCCTCACGACCAAGTGCCTTTGCACGGACTTTGAGCTCCCCGAAAAGGTGGTTGCCCCAGTTACCAATGTCATTGACATGTAAGGGATCGAATGAGAGCGTCTCATGAGGATCGGAGTTGTTGACTTCCCAGAGCGCATTCTAATGGTAGTCAATTGAGTGAGCTTATGAACGAAATCAAAACACAAACCGCAATGGGGCGTAAACCATGCACCTTCAGGACTTCTGCCCCAGCAATGCGGTCCCTCAAATACAGCTCTAAAAAAGCTTTTGCGTCTTCGACAGTTCGAGTAGGATATGTTGCGTTGAGGTCAGAAAGTTTCGTCGAGGGAATACAACAGACAGGGCAGGGACAATTTGAATGTAGCCCGCGAATTAATGCCATCACGCATCTGTAAAATGTTAGTTAGCATGATGTAATACAAGCCTCAAGAATACACACTGTTCTTCATAATCTGCGGACAGAAGTAGGATTAGTGGGTATAGCCATCGCATGATGGCGTCAAAGCATCTGTGCGCAAAGCCTGTTTTGGAGTACAGGATGATGGATTCCAACAACTTGATGAACGCCTTATGCCAGACAACGCGTTTCATGTTCGTGTAATTGAGTTTTCCATCTTCATTGGAATCTGTAGGAACCTGTTGAATTAGAACTTGTTATGCGTACCTACTAATATTATGATTGATACTCGAACACTCACAATTGGCAGCCAGCCCACCACACGACCTCCTCCAATTCCGTCACTGTTTCTTATGTGAATGGGAAGATTTGCGCAACGAGCTATCACTGGGTATGCCTTCACGTGCCCAGATGAAGTGAGATGTGTTTTGTCGGCGTAGAGGATGAAGGCGAATGGAACACCGTTGTTCGGCAACGATGACTATGATAGATCGAGTACAGATATAACACATATATTAGCAGCATACTACAAAACATGAATACATAATAGTGCATACTTGAATTCGCCACCACCGATCTGCGGTCCAAGGCTCGTGAATAAACCGTTTAAAGTCAGTACCATCGTGCTTGTACAAACGTTGTGCGTCCCAAACGAAGTGCGGTGCCAACAGGGGATCTTGCAACAAGTCCATAGCCCAATCCCACAGCGGCCGTGTATGTACATCGAATTCGATTTCCTCCTTCTTGTAAGGGACGGAGATGACGTGCTTCTCGAACTGTACGAATTATACCTGAATACTCAGTAAGCAGAGTGAATGAAATTTAAAACATCTCACAGTCGTCATTTGAGTGGCTGCTCGATCCCAGGCCTTCGACACTTCAGTGTGAGATCTGAACGTAAACTTCGCTTGTCCCTCAGCAATCTGCCATATCAACTGCAGCATTTTGTCGGTTTGATCCTTATTGAGTGCCGCTTGGTGGGCAAGTTCTGCGAATTCGAAATCTGCGCGGCATGTAAAGGGTTGCCAAGGTGTGTTGTCGACGATGGGCGTGGAACTGGCCTCTGCCTCAACAGGGTGTCCAAAGGTGGAAAAGGTCTCAATGGCAGGGGCGCGTCCACTGTTTGGGTGATATTCGGTTTTGAATGTATCACAAGCGATAGGGACTGCAGTTGCTACCGCAGACCTGCTTGTCAACATGCTTGTGTCTGAGCCCGATCCTAATAATAAAACATTATATGTAAGTTAGAAACAAAACGTGCAAGAGTGATACACATACGTAGACAGGAATCCCCCCCAATGCTCATAACACCATCCTCCACATCACCAAACGCGTTGTCGTCGGCACCTTCGACATTTTCTATGTCATAATTGGCATGCTGATCATCCACTGGCTGTGAAGGTCCAGTAGTGTCAGCCACAGCTACCTTGTGTCCATTTCGGAGGTGTCGTTTATCCTTTCGATGTTCTGATCAACATATGTCAATATAAAATCTGACGCATCGTAACGTTTGAAGTCCAACGAACTAAGTAAATGAATTGGAACGATGGCGTACCTTTCCTTTGGGCCTCAACTACCTGAGCTGCAATATCAGCAAACTCCTTGTCGCGCCGTTTCTTCTCCCGCTTGCGTGAACAGCTCCCCTCGTGTGACTTGATGCCACGAGCAGAAAATGATCTCTGACAGAGCTTACATCGGACCTGTGCAGAGGATTGAGTTGTTGACTGTACATAGGCCCGTCCTTGTGTAGATGACATCTAAAATACAGAATTAACAAGAGATTGATTGATGATTGATGATCGAAGGCGAATCAGTGATTGCAAGTGTGATGCGGCAGTCTAAGGGCAATATGATATTATGATATGTCACCAAGAACGTTGATGCGGCTGATTATTAATATAAACTGTATAGTCCTTCTAAGCCAATTCCAAGCCCCTTGGACCTTTGTCAGCCTGTTGAAACGCAGCACGGCATCTTGCGAGGCACCAAAAGAAGTCGGTGCCTTTGCCAGACACTCGAAATAGACTCGGTCCGACTTGAAACTCGGATGCAATGAGGTTGGAAGGCATCACAATTCAGTCCAAATATAGCAGCCTTCCAAGCCCCCTTTAGAAATTTCCGACAAAGTGTATCCTATCGAGAGATAGAACTGTATAACTTACGTGTCACCGTGTGCACGCAGCACAACACACGCACCCAAACTTCGACTGGATAACGGGATTGCATTTCAAATCACGACTCGTAGCAAGTCACTGTTCGGCGTTCGCAGCCGTCCGAGGTATCTTGTTGCGACTGTGCGACAGGAATTTTTCGTGCCATTACGGTACAGGATACAGAGAGCGGGTAACTGCTTATGAAACGTTCGGGATTCGGGCAAGCAAAGTACTGCATGCACAGGTAAGTAGCTTACAATCCATACGACCACCTTCAACACGTTCATCATTGTGATATTGTAAGGGATTTAGTGATTTGATAATTTTTAAAAAACTATCAAGTCCGACAGTGTAAAAGTTCGGGCACCGGGGCACGCCCACATTCCAGCCGGGGAGTGCCGCAACCCCTTCAATTGAACGTTCAACTTAACCTCGATATTATGACTGATAGCACGCCAAGAATACTGCAGGCCCGAGTATCGTGCCATGCGCGCCAACATCGACATCCAGAAGCTCAATACATACTTGAAATTACATGTGCCGGTTATCGCTCCTACCAAACAGTTCAAGGTACGGTCACAATTTATTGAGATTATTGAGAATGGTACTTTTTTGCCATCTCTCTATTGTATTAATATGCTAAGCCTGATCACCCAAAGCTGGCTCTCCGATCTCGCTATCTGCTCGCTGGCAGCATTGGATTCTCTCGACCCATTCCAATTAGGCCTCAAGAACTTTGGTCCTACGACTGATTACTTCCCCCGTCAAATCAAATCTTTTACACGCATATCGCTTGCTCAATCCCAGGCTATGGATATCGAGACAGGAAAAGCAACAGGAAATACTCCGTATTTTGAAGAAATGGTCGGTTGGTACCAGAGGCACCTCCCGGACGAGAGTAAAACTGGGCTGCGGATTGTCCATGGGGACTACAAGCTTGACAACATGATATTTCATCCAGGATAATTGGCATACTGGACTGGGAGTTATGTATTCTAGGTAGTCCGGTACATGCACCGATCACCGTCTTGATCTAATTCACTGCATAGCTTGCTGACCTCGCGAACCTTACCCAACCATAGGCAATCGACGCTCGTCATGTACCCAAGGATTCCCTGCTCACTGAATTCACAATCATCAGGCCGTTCAAGAATGCTACAAAAGATGTCCCTATATCCTTAGAAGACCTTGAGCACGAGTACTGCAGGCTGACCAACCAACCATATCCCATCAAAGAAATGGTCTTTGTCCGTAGTTGGATACTCTTCCGGGTACGTACTATACCCAGGTACAGGATAGTATATATTCACCTGGTTGTTTTTAAGCTTGCCATAATATCACAAGGTACTGCTGCCAGATATGCGCGACGGCAGGCGAGCTCGGAAAAAGCTTTTCTTCACTCACAATTATTTCCTTTGGTTGGTCGGTTGGCAAAGTCGATCTTGGAAGACATTGGACTCACTAATGATATGAAACCAAAACTATAGCATTGTTCGTCAAGTCCGTGTTATATAACCTATGCAATGAAGGATGTTCTGTATCTACATATGACAATTTCGCCATATAGCTTACTGCAAACTGGGATAAATTCTATCGTAAGAATTCTATCAATGAAGATACAGCTGGTCGCTCCCCGGGATTTCTCCAACAGCGCTCCAGCGCCGGCCATGTCTCCCTTGACACTCGACGGTAACTATTCCTGTTGGGTATTTTCCCTCTACAGATACAATGAATGAGCGCGCCAGTCTCCTTCTGATCGAAGTACGGCACATTGCCAGATAAAATCTAGTAACACACTCAGTATCTGCAATTTTGGTGACAATGATTTTCGAACGCACCTCTAGACCCGTCATACCTGCCGACCAGATGTCCGATTGCACGGTGGGTAGCAGTGCTGATGCCGAAGTGTTCGCGGGATTCATCAACTCTGGTGCCATGTAACGGAGTGTGCCAACCGCATTTGCAGTAGTCGTCGTGAAACCATGAGCATCAAGGACATAGGAAAGGCCGAAGTCCGTCAAAACTGCATTCCAAGAGTCGTCAATGAGAACATTTGTCTACAATGAGTATAAGTCAGTATTCCCGCAGATAAAAATTGTGTGCTGACAGGTTTGAGGTCTCCATGGATGACTTTGTTGCAGTGCAGATAGTCTAATCCAGATAAAAATTGGAGAAGCTGTCCAGACATCATTGAATATGCGCGACTATGAATGAAATAGATACATACAAGTTGCCGTCTCTCGTGGTTGTTATGGATATGCACCAGACGGTCTTTCAGTGTTCCGTTCCTATAAAACGTTGATACTAGACGGGGGATACCATTCCTCTGTGTATCTTGTTCATAGTACACACCGATGAATCGAGCCACGTTGGGATGATCCAGCGTGCTCCAAATTTTTGCCTCTCGCCAAATTTTCTGAAGGCAGACAAGTAAAAAGGATGACCTATTCATAAACGATCTACATACCCGTTTGGTTTTGTCCACAAGACGGTCGTCTGACAGAAGTGATGATCTCAAGATCTTCACAGCTACCTACATCGATGAGTGAATATATACGTCACTAGTGACTGAGTAGCACGTACGGTAGAACTATGACCTTGCCTGGTATAGGTTGCCGTCCAAACGTCTGCAAAGCTTCCACTGCCGATTGCGCGATCAGTGTCGTTCGTCACGACCATTCCCGTCAGATCACGTGGATCGATGTCTGCGAGATTCAAAGTCATTGGAGGATAGTATGGATGGCTACAAAAATGAGTATTGGTGGATGGATTTCAAGTTGGGATGGATAGCAGGCAGGAAGCAGAATCTAGATGATGAGTGTCATACTGCCTGAGCAGGTCCAACTTAAGTATGTTTCCCGGACGAGGTGTCTAGAGTCCTCATGCCCTGAGTGGGGAAAATGACCATAGTGACGAAGTTGTTGTACATGGTAGACAAGAAAAACAAATGCACATCAAAGCTCGCTTCAAGGATTGCCACATTGGGTTGATCCTGAGTTGGATATCGAGTTGCCAAGACGTTTACAATAAGGATTCAAGAGATGAGTCAAGATTCAGACAATTTTTGAGGTACTGTGGGGCCAGTTACTTGTGTTGATGGAGACATTGTACATTGTACAATGACTTGCTAGTTCGGAAGCGTGTGATTACGAGACAAGTCATGTGAAAACCACGAGCCACTTTGAGCACCTCTATGACATACATACTAACTCAATCCAAATATACGACCATTCGTGATGAGTGAGGACCATACGCCTGATCCTCCTGCAGAAGTCAACAAATGCAGCCAAGTAAATGTTGGCCAAAGCCAGGTACGTGGTTTCTTGTGATTTATTGCTGACAGCCCATAACCTGCCGACATAAACTGACGGGAATTGCATAGTTGAAGGATTAGCGCTTCACGTCAACCGTGACGTGTTGGTTACTATGCTTCGAGGGATCTTTCCGAAGGATCTGAGGTCCATTTCCTTCAAGTTCTCGCAGTGTACCTCACCGTTTCTCTCACACTAACTTAATCCAACTCTACGATTCAGACTACTCGTGATGAGTGAAGACCATACGCCCGACCCCCCTGCAGAAATCAACAGACGCAGCCAAGCAAATATTGGTCAAAGCCAGGTACGTGCTTTTTGTAATTCATCGCTGGCAGCCCTCATGTATTTGTTGTCCAGAGCGCCGAACCTCTTAGAGGAGTCTGTCAGTCCCTGCAGAAATTGAAAAATGGGTTAACAAAAAAACTTCCTGTGCGTAGAGCGAATGCAGATTGTCTTGAATGCGGCTGATTTTGTGCAGAAACCCTTCAAGCGAAAACGAAACCGCGCCATTGTGGTCCAGAACATTGAACTTCAAAGTGCTCCAGCACCCGCTGTACAGGTATTTTCGTCTGATGATTTGCTTTTTCTTCTTTAAATTTTAGCGATCGCACAGATTCAAGCCGCTCCTTCTGGCGCGGAGGAAGGTCCTGATCCCAAACTAGTTGATGCTGAACTTCAGGGTGCCCGTGAGGGTACAGAAAGCATGAGGCTACTCGGGGGACATGTGACTTCTGAGGCGTTCGCAGCCAGCAATACCTCGGCAGGTCTCACCACCATGGATGACTTCGAGACGACATATCTTCAACCCCTAAAGATTATCGACGCTGTCCTTGAGAAGATTACGGATGTATGGGTCATTCTCGTTCATGGGAAGCGAACTAATCAAGTTTTATAGGTGCATCCGTATGCAAAAATGGCGCTGGGCGTGTTGTCTGCTGCATCCAAAGTACGTTCGGTTTCTCCCGGAGTTCTATCTCCTGCTCATTATAATTCCATGTAGGTTATCATCACTCAAGCAGAGCGCGACCAATCAGTCCATTGTCTTCTCAAGAAATTGGCTGAAGTTTACCTCTTCATGACCCAAGATGACACTCTTGGCAAAATTGAATCAATGTGCAATATCGTTGGAAACATCGTTCAGCAGACTCTTGAGTGTGCTCATTTTATCAAGAACTACTCCGAGACAAAGAGCTTTTGTGAGTCGCCAAGCTATCGCACTTTGTACATGAATCTTACGCTATTATCATAGGGAAGAGACTTGGGAAAAGCATTCTCTCGGAAACCAACATCATCATTAAGCGGTATAGCGATACTTTGGACAGACTCATGCAACAATTCCGGGACCAAGTTGACCGAAACGTTGCCATCTTCGTCCAACGTACGGGTAAGAATTCTGACACGTTTCTGTCTTCACATTCACTCACACTGTTTCAGGTGATACCCTGGATCTTGGGGATATTGCTTATGCAAAGGGCGTAGGACTAGATACCACGAAACAGTGCCTATCAGGGACGCGCACGGAGATTCTCTCCCAAATTTCCGATTGGATCAATGGCAGTGGAGACGCTGCTGAACGTGTGCTATGGCTATCTGGGCCTGCAGGCACGGGCAAGTCGGCCATCGCTCACACAATTGCCAAGTGGTTCAACGACATGGGAGTGCTTGGCTCATGTTTCTGCTTCGACAAGGCCCAAGAAGCCGAGAAACACCACGAAAAAGTTTTTTCCACCATCGCTCGTGATCTAGCTGATCGGGATCCAGAGATGAGACGATCATTGGTGGATGCGGTTAAAAAGTCCACGTCACTCAAGAACTCGAAGGATATTTTCCAACAGTGGGAGAAGCTTCTCATAGGACCACTGAAGAAATTGTCTAAGACAAGTGTGGGACCTGTCTTGATTGTGATCGAGGCGCTGGACGAGAGCGGCGGAGCGGAGACGCGGCGGGACCTTCTCCGCATACTTACCGGTAAAGTTCAGAACACGGATCTTCCAAAAATTACAGAACTTCCATCCAACTTTCGGATTCTCGTTACCTCTCGCCCACTTCATGACATAGAAGATGCGTTTCATGACGTTCAACATACTCTACGGTTATCAATGGACGAGATACCAACAGCAGTGGCGGAGCGCGACATCTGCGCTTTTGTGTCTGACAAGCTACAAGGGTTGTCGTGCTTTGGGAAGGAAGAGTTTGCAAACCTCGCTGCGAAAGCCAATGGACTTTTCGAGTGGGCACGTCTCGCATGCGAATACATCACGGAAGACCTTCCTGGCGTAAATCCAAGGTCTCGCTTTGAAACTGTTGTGAACCGCGATCCTGGGAAATGGACAAACAAGTTGTATGATATGTATCGGCTTATTTTGGCAGAGATATGGCCACGACATCGGTATGGCGATGTCGAGTACCAGGAAGCACTAGCGGGATTTCGTTCCGTGATGGGGCAAATACTCAGCACGGCTGAACCCCTCCCGTTCGATTCCCTCAACGCCATGCGGGACTGTTTTCCGGACCACAACAAACATTACAAACTGGACATCATACGACATATGGGATCCCTCCTCAGTGGCACAACAGACTCATGCATCCCCGTCAGACCCCTCCACGCATCCTTCCAAGAGTTCCTCACAGACAAATCATCCAGCGGAGACTTTTTCGTTGACGTGACGAAGACGCAACACCACGACTTAGCATTGGCATCACTTCGAGTGATGGAACATGGCCTCCGCTTCAATATGTGTGATTTAGAGTCATCATACCTCCCTAATCGCGAAGATACCGGACTGCCTCAACGAGTCAAAACATCTATTCCCCTACACCTCGCCTATTCCTGTCGACATTGGGCTACGCATGTTCAAAAAATGGACTTCAACGATGAGCTTGCAAAGGCGATTAGATCATTCTTCAACCACGAGCGACTGCTGTTCTGGATTGAAGCACTCGGACTTCTCAACGCAATCAGCGGTGCAATTACTGGGCTTCCACTCGTTGCCAAGTGGCTGAAGGTGAGCACATGCCTACGACGCAGTGTCGGACGAACAGCTCATAAATAAATATAGGGCCATTTTGGATACGAAAATTTACGGACCACCACAATGGATGTACAAAGATTCATTCAAGTGTTTGGTGGCATCATTTTGCATAGCACCCCGCATCTATATGTGTCAGCGCTGCCATTCTCACCCATCAGCTCCACCATGGCTACCAATTTTACTGCAAGGTTTCCGAACATCCTTCGTCTGGCATCCGGCCGTGATTTGAACTGGACGGTTGCCCAGACCATGATCAGTGGGCACTCTGGAGGGATCGCCTCGGTCTCGTTCTCATCAGATGGTACTCGCATCGTATCTGGCTCGGAGGATAAGAGTGTGCGGCTGTGGGATGCGTGGACGGGACAGCCATTGGGTGAGCCCTTGGAAGGGCACACTGAACTGGTTTCCTCAGTTTCGTTCTCCCCGGATGGTACTCGCATCGCGTCTGGTTCAATAGATGCCACTGTGCGGCTGTGGGATGCATGCACGAGACAGCCATTGGGCGAGCCCTTGGAGGGGCACACTGGAGCGGTTTTTTCAGTCTCGTTCTCACCGAATGGTACTTGCATCGCATCTGGTTCCGACGATAACACTGTGCGGCTGTGGGATGCATGGACGGGACGACCATTAGGAGAGCCCTTGGAGGGGCACACTGATTGGGTTCGCTCAGTCTCGTTCTCACCAGATGGTACGCGCATTGCATCTTGTTCCGACGATAACACTGTGCGGCTGTGGGATGCGGTGACACGACAGCCATTAGGAGAGCCCTTGGAGGGGCACACTGGAGCGGTTTATTCGGTCTCGTTCTCACCGGATGGCACTCGCATTGTGTCTGGTTCGGAGGATAAGAGTGTGCGGCTGTGGGATGCATGGACGGGACAGCCATTGGGTGAGCCCTTGGAGGGGCACACTGGACTGGTTCGCTCAGTCTCGTTCTCACCGGATGGTACTCACATCGCGTCCGGTTCTTTCGATAATACCGTGCGGTTGTGGGATGCGACGACGGGACAGCCCTTGGGGGAACCCCTGGACGGACACACTAATTGTATTTGCTCAGTCTCATTCTCACCAGATAGTACTCGCATCGTGTCCGGTTCTTTCGATAATACCGTGCGGCTGTGGGATGTGGCGATTGGACAGTCATTGGGAGACCCCATGGAGGGGCACACTGATTGGATTCGTTCAGTCTCATTCTCACCAGATGATACTCGCATCGTGTCTGGTTCGAGAGATAAGACTGTGCGGCTGTGGGATGCATGGACGGGACGGCCGTTGTGTAAGCCTTTAGAGGGGCACACTGGAATTGTTTGGTCAGTCTCGTTCTCCCCGGATGGTACTCACGTTGCGTCCGGTTCTTCCGATAATACTGTGCGGCTGTGGGATGCATGGACGGGACGACCATTAGGAAAGCCGTTGGAGGGGCATACTGATTGGGTTCGATCAGTCTCATTCTCACCAGATGGTACTCACATCGCATCTGGTTCCGACGATAACACTGTGCGGCTGTGGGATGTGGCGACAGGACAGCAATTGGGTGAGCCCTTGGAGGGGCACACTGGAGCGGTTTACTCAGTCTCATTCTCGCCGGATGGTACTCGCATTGTGTCTGGTTCGGAGGATGAGACTGTGCGGTTGTGGGATGCATGGACGGGACAGCCACTGGGCGAGCCCTTGGAGGGCCACATTGAAGGAGTTTACTCAGTTTCATTCTCACCAGATAGTACTCGCATCGCATCTGGTTCATCGGATAATACTGTGCGGCTGTGGGATGCGGCGACGGGACAGCCAGTGGGAGAGCCCTTGGAAGGGCACACTGATTGGGTTTGGTCAGTCTCGTTCTCACCAGACGGTACTCGCATCGTGTCTGGTTCGGGAGATAAGACTGTGCGACTGTGGGATGTAGCGACCGGACAGCCATTAGGAGAGCCCTTGGAGGGGCACACTGCATTGGTTTATTCAGTCTCGTTCTCCCCGGACGGTACTCGCATCATATCTGGCTCATCAGATAAGACTGTCCGTATGTGGAGTGCAGTGAAACCGCAGCCATCCCCCGAGTCCAGAGACCCAGATTCCTTCGCATTTCCACTTCACCGCAGCACCACACCTCTCACTCAAGAAAGCCGTATCATGCCAACCAACACTTATCACGCTCACCACATCTGCTTCTCGCCCAGAGTTGAAGATGCCCTGCCCAATGCCGCTGACTTGCTCGAACCCACCTCTCACGATGATTGTAATCCAACCCCTTTCTTGCTGCAGGCTGATGGACGGATGATGGGCCCCAATCGTCGGCTCCTTTTCTGGGTACCTCCCGCTTCCCGACACGCATTTTATACTCCTTGGACTTCATTGGTGATTTCAAGAGGAGGTGCCGAGCTCGACTTGAGCCGCATGGCACATGGGACAAACTGGTCTAGTTGCCGTGATGCGTAAGTTCTCAGTCTTTACCATCCATCCCCGCAGTTGCTAATATTGATCCTTCTAGCTCCACGTAATAGTGATTTCATTCCTGCACTATGGAGTGTACCGTTGATTCTTTGATTTTATACTTGGCATTTCGTCTGAATAAGTTATGGTTGTTCCACTGAATGATGTGCTAATGTTGTTCCTGATTCGTGATACATCTAGTACCGAGACCTAATTCATATTGATATACAACCGTACAGTACCAGATCTCTAAATAGCATGTGTAATTATTCCTTGTTCGATCCGATCCAACATGCTAAAATCCAAAGCATTTCCCTCGAGCCCTTCAACTTCGTTATAATTAAAGTTGGTCCTCTTCGATTCCTCGAGAGCTGCAAATTCAGCCGCAACATTGTGAGCCAACTTAGATACACTTCTGCAGTCTTTCCTTGGACTGCAGCTTCGCATACTTTAATTTTCGGACCAGTACTTTTCAATTGTTCATATGCGGTATATGTATGTGTTGTTGGATTTGGAACCATTTTCGAGAGAAATTCAGAGGGTGTCCCTCACCCTACCCTGGCCACACAAGGTGCACTTAAATTCGATGACTATGAATAGCAATAATAATTTAAAGTTGAGCCAAGAGCCGCCGACCCCGATCCTGTATGCGTTCTGAAAACCAACCAAAGTGCATGCTGATCGTGGAGACGAAGTCGGAGATAAACTTGAGTCGAATCTGAGACTGAAAAGAGAGAACGCGGAGCAAATGCACGTTGTTGTACTTTTCGTGACCTTGTTTTATGGTCGACACTTATTCACTGGCAAATAACATTCATGCGTCTCCTTCAAAGTAATACCCTGCTGAGGCCTTGTACAAATTTACATAAATCCGGTTTCCTTGGCTCTCTTGTTTTCATGCTTCTCATCGCGACCTCGTCAAGACGTTCTCGACACGGAACAAGCACCTGATAGTATTTTATATACACGATGGCCACTGGCAGCCTGTTTCATTCACAGCACCATGGGTAACGGTCCCTCTATATTCGTGCGCACGCCTCAAGAGCATCTAGAGCACATGTGGAAAAATCCCAGTCCACTCGCATATTCCTGTCCACCTAGGTGTGTGAGCTCTATATGAACATCGCTTGGTACTAATTACTGGGCCAACAGACACGTCCGCGTTTACCTCCTCCCAGAATGGACTCAAGGTAAAAATCCGATAAAGGAGCCATGGGCTGCGCTAAAAAACGACTTTGCGCTCGAACCTACGGGCGAGTTGAATTTGAAGAAAGTGAAGGGTAAGTGGGCCTTGGAGCGGTGTTCGGTGCGTGCTGCCTACTGGTACTCTGTCTACCAAAATGTTGATTAACGTGACAGGCGATCGATCTGGAGAGAATGCAGCCGTTTGAGGAGAAGTGTAAGGGGAGATTGTCGCCACTTGCTTTAAAAGTGTTGGCTGATTCGAAGGGTGTTGTTTGGATGTACGGTGAGTTTGTGATGCTCTTGAAACGTGCTGGTCGTGTTTGTTTCGCAGGGGAGACTTATTGTTCCGTGTATGCCCTTCCGAGACGTACCTTTTGATGTATCTCATGCAGTTTCATGCCCCAATGCTCATTCTTCGTCTTCCAATACAGAACCAACGCCCTCTGAAGACACCGTTTCCATACGCGCAGACCGCCTACGTATTGTGCGGCAGTACGATGCCGCGGTCGAACGCGTTATGGAAGCGACGCTAGGTCGCATATCAAAACTACTCGATAATGGCGTAGTGGGAGAAAGCGTGTCTCATCACTACCCTGAACACTCTGGTGCTGACACAGGCATTCCCGACGTGCCGCAGGAAGCACACAGCAAAGAAGCACCGGTCAAGGGGAACGCTGGGAAGGCCGAAGGTAGCAAAACAAGCGTAACTCTATATCAACAGCAACGACAACTTATATTCTTTGCGGCGCTTTTGTTCTTATTTTATTCTGGCGCGCTGGGTCGATATGCTCAATTCGGGAGAGATCTTACGTTTGGGTGGTGAGCATTTGATTGACGGTTTTTTTTACTGATAATCATGCCTGTATGCCCTTCCTCGTGTTCACTATGCCTTCTTTTTCATGCCTCATGATTTACTACTACCGCATACTTAATTGGTCCACTTGTAATTTTGAAACTATGTCCTATGCGCAATTTTTTCTTGACACCAGTCCCAGGCCAGGCTTTTCTAGCATCCCAAGCAAGCAGCCTCGCATCCTGGCGTCTATTGAAACACCTTGGGTGTGTTTATACTGCTTTTGTTTACTCAAATATCATGTTCATCGACTAGCTGGTGACACAACTAAGCCTTACCCGCTCTCTGTATCCCGTACCATAATGGCACTTAAAATTCCTGTCGCACAGTTGCAACGAGATACCTCGGACGGCTGCGAGCGCCGAACAGTGACTTGTTACGAGTCGTGATTTGAAATGCAATCCCGTTATGCGGTCGAAGTTTGGGTGCGTGTGCTGTGCATACGTAAGTATACACTCCTATCTCTCGATAGGGTACACCTTTCTCCCACACGAAGCTTTGTGAATTGTGGTTCGGGGTCCCCATGATAATATTGATCAATTGGTGAGGCGCAAAGACTATCCTTTTCTGTGATCCGGATTCCGTGATATATAAAGACCCCCCACACCTGACTATATTCTGGACGAGTACGACGTGTAGTACTTGTTACTACAAGATGCCATCGTCCTCTAGGGTGTGCCACAGTTATTCACAGACAGCTACTTGTCGATTCGGCTCCAAGTGCAAGTTTGCGCATGACGAAGGGTCTGAAGTCACCAATGGTGTAGGTCAATATAGCCGCCTTCAATCTCACAGACAGGCTAAGACAAACGTCAGCCGTCCAAAACACAGACACAGACACCTCTAGACGATTTCTTTGCAACACACCCCACGTTCGACTACGATTCGTCTGCGTCAGTTTCATCGGAGTTTTATCGGATGTGCGGCCAGTTTTGCTGGGATAGGGATGATAAAGAGAGAGAGAAAGCTCACAATGATTTCAAGAACGCCCTTGTTCGGCAGTTCAACGAGATATATGGCACGGATGTGAATGATCTCACTTCATGGCACAATTTGTGTCAGATCGTCCGCATTTCACCGATTCCTGACACTCTCAAATTATGCCGCGAGGTAGGAGCCCAACTTGCTACCGCCTGTGTTATACTGACAAGTATGGTCGCATTTAGGCGGTCAAAGCCACTCATGTCAATATTGTTGACTTGGTCGATACAAATGTGACCAAGGAACCAGTGACCAGATTTGTTTCGGAGGCGAAGCTGAGCGAGTATACCAAAGCAACGGGAAAGTTCTTTCCAACAGATAATGCGTATGCTGGTGGTCTCTTAAGGTACCTGCTCCGCCGTATCATGAATCCTGGACAAGGACGCGTGTCTAGGTCTGGTCAGAAGACGCAGACCCGGGGCAGGCGTAGGCGTCACTAGAATCTACGTTCCGATTCTTATGTCATTCTCATCCGTGGGTTGGATTGTGCTACAGAATGCTACAGAGCGGACTGTAGCATTCTGTAGTGGATTACGTTTCCCTGATGCGCTTGTACATTAGGTGTCGTTGTAAAGCTTCTAGTTGACTTCCCTGTGGTGCATGAGCACACGACCGGATAATCTTTCGGACATTAACGATGGCAATGACTTTCATGTGTGAGCTATGCCAGTGGCCCAGGTTCTCTAGTAGTTGAATGTTGCGGAAGCAACAAGCTTCTCCTCGGGAATGAACTCGGACTTGAAGTGAGGAAATTTCCCTTTCTCGCATTCACACCCAGTATGCCTAGGGCACAATATTCTTCCGATATCAACGCCTGCCCCTTACATACTCTCGCTAAAGCCATGGACGCTTTCAGTGGCATTTGACCATGTAGGTTGAAATAAGGCCCGGCATTTCATCCCCATCAAACCATCTTCAACCCACTGAATCAAAAGGAGAACGAGCTCCTGGTCCTGGATCTGGGCGCGGATAAGGCCTGGAGACTAAACATTCATCTACACGTCGAACAGAAGACACTCAATCAGAGGGTGACATGCGAGAAAGGAATGGACGTCAGATCCTTTGGTTAGATCCCTCAAAGCATAACCAACCCATCACGGTTAACCTGAAGCCCTAATCCCTCAGCCACCCAATTCCCGTCAGTTATATTGGCAGGTTGTGGGCTGTCAGTAATGAATCACAAGAAACCACGTATATACCTGGCTTTGGCGAACATTTACTTGGCTGCATCTGTTGGCTTCTGCAGGAGGATCGGGCGTGTGGTCGTAGATTTGGATTGAGTCAATATGAGAGAAATGATGAGGTGACGCTGTGAAAAGGGAATTATTGGACATTCCAGTCCAGAGTCGGATTGCACAGCAGTGATATCGCTGTGCCATTCGACTCTGGACTAGACTACATACTGAAACTTTTGGGAGAGGACGAGTGGCTCTGTTCCAAGCGACGTCAAGTCTAGCTATTGGGTATGTTATTCCCACAGGCTTTATGTAATTGAATCCCTAATTTCAAAGGGAACACCCGTCGCATACTTTCCGGCCGACACTCATTGCGATCTCCACTCATTTTGGAGCGCAAAACATTATCATCAACCTTACATCGTAGCGGCGCTGGAAAGCGCCAGTCCCCGACTCCAAGAAATTACAATGGATTGACAGCAAACAGTATCAATATACAGCATTTGAGTATGGACAGCAATCAGGCACCAAGTCGCAGGTCAAATGTAGCACTAGACGAATTGAACAATATACGAGTCTACTCATCCTCACTTCCCAGGTCCATGTCGAAGATGTCATGGTTCTTCATTGGCATCTTCGAAGGTGACTGGCCTTGAGGCTCGTCAGCGGCCTTCCTTTTGCCTTTCAAGTCATAGAGAGCCTTCTTCGTGTAGGCTGCGCATGGCAGCAACTGCATACGCCGCAGTATGAGTTGATAAGCACGGGAGCCATTACCATCGCGACTGTTGGGCGGTGCACTTTTAGACGGCCTGATGTTTCAACTGGTAACAGTTGTCAGAGAAAGCCGAGGACATAGTAAATGAACAAACATACAGTTTCAAGATGACTTCAACCTCCACGACATCGCCGTCGTGCAATTTTGTCCTGTAATCGTTAACATTGAGAAGGACTCCATGCTCGTTGCGAAGGTCCGGAGAGTCGACCTTAGTGTCGCCCAGTTGCGCAAGACCCGAGTAGCGATTTTCAGGGTCATACAAATCACGGAGACGCAAATAATCTACGTCAAATCAGATGATGAATCGTTCAGTTAAGTATTAACTCACCTTCGTTTTTTTCACCTGACTGGACTCGGTGCTGCAACGAATTTCTGACCTGACATCTTTGTTTTGCTGGGGCTGAGCAAACCGCCAGATTCTACAAGAAAAAATGGTCAACAAGAAAGTTGCAGCAAACTAAACTCTCGCGCTCACTTCCAATGTCATGGCGGTTCAAGCGTGGCATCGTCAAAGCCCTTGGGTCTGGAAGGTCACGAAAGAGCGAGTCCAACTGCACCAAAAACGTGTACCGATCCTGCTCCATATATGTCCTCCAGAAGTTTGAGACAGCTGGAATATGATATATCACGCATTCATTCTGATGACTCATCATTCAACTGTACAGTTTTAGAACCCGAAAGGTTCCCACACTTCAGCGTATAGGTGCCTGTACGTTTGGATCTGACGAAACCCTCTTCCCACTAAAGTGGGAGTCGGGGATTCTGTGTGTGATCGCCGTCGTTTTTGAACATTCACCTAACCTGATATACATGGCTTAACCAGGCGGAGATTGGGCAGGTTCAGTTTACGCCGCATCTGATGTCCGTCTACATGTGTTGGTGAGTATTCACTCTTCTAGCGAGTCTCAAAAAATTCATCCCACCGTGACATTGTCAGATTACGTAGGCAACAACCCGTCAGCATTAAAGAATGCTTCTTTTGAGTTCAACTCGTTGAACATTTACGAATGAAGCTCGCGTTTTACGTCGAATGTCGTACCCAACAGCCACAAAGTATTGTGTGAATTGTATTACCAGAATACTTACTGTTTTGATCCCCAAGCGTGATATAGAGACGAATTGCAGCAAGGTCATCATTTTTTACATCCAACACGATCATCTACTTCGAATTCACAAGAACGGTGAGATCCGGAACAGTGTGTTTCTCGTAGCGTTTTAATGTTTGTTTATGAAGCAAATCACATTGGCCCCACACTCCGCTATCCTTACGCGTGTGCCTCGAAGCAAGGGTTCGTTCTCTGGTCACTTCTTGATCAGGACTATATGTACATAGTAGTTCTGGTTGCCTCATGACATCCGTGCAGTTGCAGCAGAGATGGTATATTTTACAGTCCGGCTTCGAAGAACTAGCTAAAGACAGGTGTTCCACGGGCCCACAATTTGACCGTGACTCGTACTCGTCAAGATCTAGGGCCGATTCACATGCACACTCATCATGTTACAGTCATTGGATTCTGGACGTCAGTTACCATATCCAGCTAATAACGATCCTTCTCCGCAGGGTTCTTCATCCACGTAAGCCACGAGGCGAACATGAACGCTTCGATATTCCTTGCATAAGAGTCTGTTCGCGATGTAGTACAGCACAGGGGTTTCTCCCATCTTTTGCATTCTATAAGCCCTCCCATATACTATGTCCTCCAGTACAGAGGTAAGCTCCGACCAAATTCCCTTGAATTATTTTTGACGAAAAATATAGCGAAGGAGCGAAAGCGCCGATTCAAGGCGCACGCCCACTCCGCCTCCCGTTGACGAGATGCCCCTCGCCGCCTTTTTCGCTCAATTCGCATCGTTCTCCTTCGACGAGAAACAGCCCTCATACCAGAACTTCGGCCGCCTCGTCAAAGTCCTGAAATGTGACGTCAAAGATCATCAGAAGCGCATAGCACTAGCACGAGAGGGATTCAATGACGCGCTCGTTCATGAATTTAATGTGCGTTTCGGAATTGATCAAAACGACATCTCGAACTGGCAGAATTTGTGCGGTGTGCTGAGGATTGATCCCGTTCCGAATTCTGTCAAGAAATGTCGCAAGGTTTGTGGATCATTATTTTAGGCGAGTCGCAGTGGCTGAGTTGCTTGTGTAGCGCGTTTGGGACATGCATGTCAACCTTGTAGACCTGGTTGATTCACAGAGGACTGGGAAGCCTGTGAAACTGTTTGCATCCTTGGAAGACTTGAGAACATATACTCTTCAGACGAGGAAAATATTTCCGAAGGAGACTCGTGCCTATCAAGGCGGGTTACTGAAGGAGTTGCTAAGGGAGATAAAAAACACGTACTTTGGGAGGCGCGGGCCCGGGAACGGGAGTGCGAAGAAGAAAGAAAGAAAGAAGAAACAGAAGGCCGCAAGGGCAGCAGCGGGAGGTAAATGAACGCGTGTTTAGTGGTGAAGGAGCTGTCCCTTTCAACTCGTTTCGCAACATTCGCTTTCATTACGTTCTCTGTAACACTAGTATGCGCACTATGACCAGCTGTCAACAGTTTGTAATTTATCTCGCAGATGAAATGCCGCCTATGCCAGTAGCCCAGTTTTTCTAGTAGTTGAATGTTGCAGAAGTGACAAGCTGTAACGCTCGTCAACGATAACAGCCATCGTCGAATATTGGCGATGGCAACCAATATTCTCGTTGTTACGATGAGCTTCTTCTTTGGCTTCTTGAGCAGCTCGCCTCACATTAGCCTGCTGAGCTTGTCTGCGACGTATACTGACAGGCAGAGAGGAAGAAGGCCCAGCCTCAGCCTGAGCAGGGTTTTTATTCATAGTACTAGTAGTAGCAGTAACTGTAAGCAGGTAGCAATACCATGTAATCGCACTTACGATCTCTTGCAATGAAGGCAAAAACGAGTGATGCTACGACAGAGATATGGGGAGTTCGATAATATCGATATACAAAGACGCAGAAATGCAATCACTTGCAAACGAATGCATGCAAACAATATCCACACACGAACAACGTGCAATCACAGAACATCACACAAATTTCCATTTCGCGGTCTACATGAAGTGATGACGTTTACGACGGGTACTTGTTGGAATGTAAACTCGTCTATTTCCTTTCTCAGTTTTAACATGTGATTCTTTCGGTTTATATTCTCGCGTCGTTCGTCTTCTGATACCTCAGTTGTTGATCTCCAACACTGAGGTATGTCTGTCTTCATCTTATCTCGCCGACTTTGTCTTATACTATTTTCTCTCATAAGCGTGTTATACTCTTAGGTACTATCAATGTTTAGTTGTTGATCTCCAACACTGAGCGTGTTATACTCTTAGCTTCTAACAGGTTATGAGCCCTGCTTTCAAGCGGAACCACACACGAAGTCACTCAGTCGCAACAACTCATTATACATCCTTCCTGTTTCCGTACTTCCTCTCGTTATGGGAAAACTCGACCATATTCCGGAAATAACAGGTCCGGACAACTATTTCCATTGGAAATGCGAAGTTATCTACGCGCTGGGGGTCGAGGACCTTTGGTGTCATGTCTCGACTTCCACTGACCCTACAGATATACTTGGTGTCGCATCCAATTTACCTGTTGCGGCAATTCCGGGCGCTCCAACTGCTGATGAGACGAAAAATATTCGTGCTTGGCTCGTTGACGACCTAAAGGCCAAAGCAATCATTACTCGGCGTTTATCTACCTCCGTCCAGCAGTTTATTTCAGATGATCATACAGTATCCGCACGTGCAGCGTGGAAGACACTTGCCAACCATTACAGCCGCACGGACGTAGGTTCACAGTACCTCGTACGGAAAGCTCTTGGATCTCTGCAAATGAAGGATACAGCGGATGTCGCCAATTATATTGGGAGTCACACAACCTTGCGTGAACGCCTCCTTAGAATGGGAGGCACATATTCAGATGATGACGCAATCTTTCAACTTCTTCGTGGTCTTCCGAACATGGCGGCCTGGTCACAATTTGAAGTCCTCTTGGAACAGCGCATCCAGGATGCCAACGCAGCTGCGACTCCACTCACGTTTGACAACTGTGTAGCTCGTATTTCTGCTGAGGCATCGCATCACAGCGCCTAGAAAGGTTTCAGTGGCCCCGGCTCCGAGTACGCCAATGCTGCAACGACTGTGGCAAGTGGCACACCAGCAGTGTCTACTAACACAATCACGGGTCTTCGGAAGCATAAGCATAACCCCGAGGGTATTTTTTGCGTCATGCCAGGCTGTGGGAAAGGTGATCATGACCACTCCCACTGTTACAGGAAGGGTGGCGGCATGGAAGGTCAGGCTCCTTGGCAAAAGGCCAAGAGGGCAGAGACAGCTGCCGCTGCAGTTATAACACCCTCACCTACCAACCCACCAGTACCTCCCATCGCTGCGTTCGCGCTCGAAGATTCGTCAATTGAGGCATTTGCTGGATCCTCTGCTGCAGCTGCAGGCTTCTTCGGCGACCTTGCATGCACATCCATCGCGGAAGTTTCAGACGTCCCGCCAACCAATATGGCGGCCTTCATGACAGCAGCACTCTCGACCATCCTAGATTCGGGCACTACGACGACCCTCATACGGGATCGCAAGTATTTCTGGTCTTACTCGACGGCAGACCCCGTGATAGTGCGTACCGCAAATCATGGGAGCTTATCTACTTCGGGCCGTGGCGATTGTCTAGCAGTTTTGACGATCGGAGGAAAGAAGTACCATATACGCCTGACCAACTGTTTACACGCACCGGAGGCCATGATCAACTTACTGTTGGTGGGTTACATGGTGGATCGGGGCTGGGGGTGTAACTTCCTTGGAGCACCAGCACGCTGCGACCTATCATACGGAGGAGCACTTCTTGGTTCGGCCCTCCTCACCAACAAACTCTGTTTTGTCGACCTAGAGTTCCTTCTTCCTCCTGGCCCCACGGCGACCGTGCGCAAAGCGCCATCAGTGGACATTAGTGCCTTTGTGCATGTTCCTTTAACGTTGGACTTGTGGCACGCCAGGATGGGCCATCCAGGTGGAAACGCCGTTCGCTGGCTCCCTCTCTTCACCAAGGGCGCATCTGTCATGTCCGCGGCACCGCTCACCAAGTGCGAGTCTTGCATTTTAGGAAAGCATCCTAGGCAACCATACCCCCCTTCTGATTCGCCTCCGGCCTCACGCTTCCTGGAGCTCGTCCACTCTGATCTCTGCGGACCTATCCCTACAGAGACACCGCATGGGAAAAAGTATTTTGTTGTTTTCCTTGATGATCACACAAACGTCCTTGATCTACAGTTTCTGGCGTCTAAGGATCAGGCGCTTCATGCATGGGAGCTTGTTCGTGCCCGGTGGGAGAATATGTCTGGTCAGCGTGTCAAGGTCTTTCGTAGTGACAATGGAGGAGAGTTCCTCAACGCAGCTTTCACAAGGTCCTTGGAACTTGCAGGCATTGAGCGTCAGTTATCGGCGCCCTACGCACATCAACAGAATGGTAAGGCTGAACGTGTCCTCCGAACGGTTGAGGGGCGCATGTATGCAATGCTTGACCATGCAAAGCTGCCCCAATCATTGTGGGGGGAAGCCGCCTTATGTGTTGCGTATCTTTTCAACCGGTCTGAATCTCATGCACTCCTGCCCAGCAAGACACCCTACGAAATGCTCCATGGAGCCCAGCCAGATGTCTCGCATTTGCGCTGTAGAAACAACAATACTGTGAGGAGCAAAGATAGCTCCAGACTGTATCTATAAAAGTTGTAAGGTCGCGCTGTAGAAACAACAATACTGAGAGGAACAAAGAAATGCTCCTGACTGTATCTAAAAAGTTGTAGGTCGTGCGTTGCCTAGTCTGCAATACTTGAGATGGCAAGTGCATTCGACCCTAAAGGGGAAGCAGGTGCAGCGGAGATCTAGAGGTACGCGCTTCAGCGAAGCGCGAGAAAGCGCAGGTGCACGCAAGGTACGAAGGCGCGGGAAAGCGCGCGCGTGTAAGCGGAAATAAGAGAGACTAAACTTATGTGAAGATATAAGCAAGATAAAGGATGTGAGATGTGTTGTGCTAATGAATAGATTTCTACTGCGACTTTCTAAGTAGTAAGTACTAGGTAAAGTTGGGTGAAAAGTAAGGTAAATAATAGTATGTACTGCTGGCACTTATATAGCGCGCCTAAGCGCGCTCATACGGAGCCGAAGCGCTACCGAGTAGGTATGTAAAAATATATATGAGTGAGAAACTATGATAAAAATAAAGGTGGAACTATGCTAATAAAGGAAATGGAAATATACGCACTAGGGAGCTTGGTGGACAGTGGATGGATGCATCTGGATGGCTGGCGCTATAGGGCGCGCAAGCGCGGGAATGCGCGCGCGCGTATACATCGTGAAGCGCGGGAATGGTGCGCGCATGGCGCGCATTGCGCGGGAAAGCTGCGCGTCATATAGGAATCACTGTGGATGGTACACAGAGTGATGCTGCGAGTTGGTGCTGTATACTCCCTAGTGTAAAGCGCCATATCACACTATGAGATGCATGAGTCTCTACAGCGCGTTGCCTAGTCTGCGATACTTGAGATGGCAAGTGCGTTCGACCCTATAGGGGAAGCGAGTGCAGCAAAGATCTAGAGGTACGCGCAGAAGTGAAGCGTGAGAAAGCGCAGGTGCGCGCAAGGCGCGGGAACACGCGCGCGTATTAGCGCGAAGCGCGGGAAAGCGTGCGCGCGTATGCAGAAATGAGAGACTATGCTTAAGTGATGATATAAAACAAGATAAGAGATGTGAGATGTGATGTGCTAATGAATAGAGTCCTACTGCGACTTTCTAGGTAGTAAGTACTAGGTAAATGGGAGGTGAAAGTTCAGTTCAGTAATAGTATGTACTGCTGGCGCTTATATAGCGCGCCTAAGCGCGGTCATGCGGAGCCGAAGCGCTACCGAGTAGGTATGTAAAAATATATATATGTGAGAGTCCATGATAAAAATAAAGATGGAATAATATGCAATGAGAGAAATAGAAATATACGCACTAGGGAGCTTGGTGGACAGTGGATGAATGCTTCTGGATGGCTGGCGCTATAGGGCGCGCAAGCGCGGGAACGCGCGCGCGCATATACATCGCGAAGCGCGGGAATGGCGCGCGTTGCGCGGGAAAGCTGCGCGTCATATAGGAATCACTGTGGATAGTACACAGAGTGGTGCTGCGAGTTGGTGCTGTATACTCCCTAGTGGAAACTGCCATATCACGCCATGAGAGGCATGATTCTCTACAGCGCGTTTTTGGTTCGCGTTGCTTCGCTCGCATCCCTCCTGAACTTCAGGAGAAGCTTGGACCACAATCACATGAAGCCGTCTTCATGGGGTATCCGCCTGGCGTAAAAGCATGGCGCCTTCGCGACAAGGTCACTGGAGCATTCTTCAATTCGCGGGATGTCATCTTTGACGAGTCCTTCTCTGGCTCACCCTTTTCAGATTTGGATGACGAGGACGACAATACACATTCAGCCACGTCTCGCCCGTCACATTCAACCACAACTCCCCCGTCACATTCAGCCACATCTCCCCCGTCACATTCAAGACCATCTGCGCCCGCCAGTGTTCCTCCACCTGCCCAGTACCATCTTCCCCCACCTCGGACCTCTTCTCGTGCTCGTGTCAACACCGAGCGCGGCCGTGAGTATCAAGAGAAACTGATGGCAGATCGTGCTCATCTGGCATGTCAGCGTGAGCTCTGTTTGGCACGAATCAACGGTGTACCTCCTCCGGATGCTCCTGAAGGATCTGACATTCCCCTCGTTCCTGTTGTCCCTCACCTGACCCATCGGTCGAGGGTGGCCCAGAGGAAACGCCTGCCCTATCTACCGCTGAAAGGACAGTTAATGCACTTACCGATCCCTTCACAGCATCAGCAGTTGAGATCAGCGACGAGGATGAGATAAAGCCTGACACTATGATGGTTGGTTTTCCTATCGCGGTTGCAAATCTGATTGTTGTCGAGCAAGCGTGCATTGCAATTCGCAGTGACACTCGTCAAAACCCGTCGACTCCTGGCTATGATCTCAAGATCCCGCCCAATACTTACGACGAGGCACTTCGCCGTCCAGACCGTGACAACTGGCTCGCTGCTATGCGCAAGGAGATGAATCTGATGTCGGAAATGAGCGTCTACGAACTGGTCGCCTTACCTGCGGATCGCAAAGCCATTGGATGTCGTTGGGTACTGGAGTTCAAGGAGGATCTCAAAGGCGGACCTGCATTCAAAGCGCGTCTGGTAGCACAGGGATTTTCACAGATTCCGGGCGTCAATTTCAGCAAGACCTTTGCGCCTGTGGCCAAGCCAGCTTCGATTTGTATCATTTCGGCGCTGGCAGCTAAGTTGGACTGGGAACTTGATTGTTTCGATGCAAAACAAGTGTTTCTGTGGGGAAAACTCAAGGAAGACGTCTATATGCGTCAAGCGCCTGGCTTTGAGCGCTTCGACGCATCGGGTGGTCGCCTGGTCTGTCATCTATTATCCTCTCTCTACGGCTTGAAGCAAGCTGCATATGATTGGTATGAGTTGTTGAGGGAAGTGCTGACTCGTCTGGGATTCCTGCGTTGTGGAGCGGATTACACTGTTTTCGTCTACGATACCGTGGACAGCAATGGGACACGCACAGTCTGTATCATAGCCTGGCATGTGGATGATGGTCTGGCAGCAGCGAATCAACGCGCCTTCCTGGACTGGGTGAAGAAGCAGATAGGTGAACGTTTCGGCATCGCGGATTTGGGTGCGGTGACGAAATACCTTGGTATACAATTCGAACGCAACCGCACGTCTCGCGACCTTTGGATGCACCAGACGGAATACATCACCTACCTTCTTGACGAGCATGGTATGCTCGACTGCAACTCCGTTGTTCTACCTATGGACCCAAAGTTTCCATTTGGACGAGATACCGATGTTCACCCTTATGTTGAAGACTTGGCGTCAGAGTATCGCAAACTAGTGGGCGAATTACTCTATCTGGCCCTCTATACCAGGCCCGACATAGCGCTGGCGGTCATGCGCCTTGCGCAGTTCAATGCATCACCCGAGCCTCGTCACTATACAGCGGCAAAACATCTCCTTCGTTATCTTGCCGGTACCCTCAACATGCACGTTCACTATGGAGGTGTCAACATAAGCACAGACCTTCACGGCTACAGTGACTCAGACTGGGCATCGTGTCCTGAGGACCGCGTTTCGATCAGCGGATATGTCTGGTTTTTCAATGGTGGTCCGATTTCACACTCGTCGAAAAAGCAGCTTACACACGCGTTATCATTGACCGAGGCCGAATACATGGCACTCACTGCGGCTATCCAGGATGGAATCTGGATTCAATCCTTCTTCGACAGTCTGAAGATCCCTTTTCCTGTACCTATTCGTCTCTTCGCAGATAATGCTGGCGCCATTGCCCTTTCGAAAGAAGCCGCTAATCACACGTGAACAAAACATATCGATTTACGTTACCACTTCATTCGCGCACATATCGAGGCCGGAACGTTCTTACCTGAATGGCTTTCCACGCATCAAAACACAGCCGACATCTTTACAAAGTGTCTCCCGCGTCCATTGTTTGTTCGCCACCAAACCGGTCTATCACTCGTCACTCGTTGAAATTGTCTCGTTTATGGGGGTGTGTTGGAATGTAAACTCGTCTATTTCCTTTCTCAGTTTTAACATGTGATTCTTTCGGTTTATATTCTCGCATCGTTCGTCTTCTGATACCTCAGTTGTTGATCTCCAACACTGAGGTATGTCTGTCTTCATCTTATCTCGCCGACTTTGTCTTATACTATTTTCTCTCATAAGCGTGTTATACTCTTAGGTACTATCAATGTTTAGTTGTTGATCTCCAACACTGAGCGTGTTATACTCTTAGCTTCTAACAGTACTTTATACCCAAAGGTTCGAAGTTGTATGTGTCGGGTTGTCGGGAGGTACTAGGCTGAAACAAAGCGTCATATTAGTAGTCACAAATGTCACGGACTTTGTCTATTACTAATCGTGGGAAAGAATTCGGCACGAACACGAATGGGGCGAATCGGGGCGAAAAGTCGAAGACTGAGACTTTCTGCTTGTTCGACGGCCTACTGTGACTGTGACCTTGTTCGACACCAGGGTCTGTGACCGACGCGTGACTGTCGGATTGATTGCATTGGTACAGTATGTCTTTTACCTTACTCCCAACCCACTCAATGGTCAATTCACATGCAATACAATACACGCTCACTTGATCAAGTGCGATGAAGATAGAGGAGTGCCTGTTTCGATGATGCTGTCAAATATGGCAGAAGTAGGACGACAAACCGTGATGTGCCATTATAAAGCAGGCTCCTTCAAAATTGTTCTTCGGTAGAACTGGCAGTACTATTCCCTACTCATCCGGAACTAGGAGGAGAGCACAAGGCAATACAGGGATTAGTCCATGTACATCCTCGGAGCATAAAGTATGTATACCCATCACCATTTGCCGTTATTGGCCACCACCAGCGCAACTTCAGTGGTACCAACACGAATTTGTACGCTCCCTTCCTATATTTTTTCAGGAACTTGCAAAACAACTTGGGGTTAATGTGCAGTTATCTTTCCGATGAGACTCTAATGCTCAATAATGGTGCGAACGTCTGAGCTGATTTATCTCAAGCGACAGGAACTACACAAATCAAAGGCACCGATCCTGTTGTATGGGCGCTCCAACTTTACGACGCTGCTCGGGCCTGAGGCCTGAGGTTTGTCAAACTTTGACTCCAGCCTATCTTTTGTTCATCGCCTAACCTGGCGATAATAATCCATCTTGAGTGTTAGGGGTATATTGTTTCGGAAACGCACCAGCTACATCCTGGTTGAGTGACGTTGGTATGGAGCACACACTTCTGACCATTCTATATAATCTCGCGCACTGTCAAATATATCATTCACAGGTAAGAGCACTGAGAGACATGACTAGATCCGCTATTGGCCTCCATAGCTATAAAGGCAGGACAAACATGGCCCAGAATACCTCAGTCACCAATTGAAGATTCTTCACTTATTCTTTATTCATCATGCGTATCGACTTTCATTCCTTCGTCATATTAGCCCTCGCTGTAACAATGACGTCGGGTGCGACATACCAAAGGTCGAGCCAGCTCGCAGGCCAGAGCTTCCTTGACGCGTTTGAATTCCAAGCCATCTCAGACCCCACCCACGGCAGAGTGTAAGTCATCCCTTGAATCGCAGTATCTGGGGGCTGATTCACTCCACGTTCCCAGGACCTATGTCAACGAGAGTACTGCCAAAGCAGATAAACTCGTTTCAGTGGCTAATAATACACTCACGCTCCGAGCAGACTATACCACGAAATTGTCCTCCTCCGATCCAGGAAGAAAATCTTTCCGAATCATGTCAAATTCCCAGTACGAAACTCATGTGGCAATGTACGTCTACGTGAACTCGTGACACGAGTTTTACTAATCTAATTCAGTTTTGACATTGCTCATATGCCACAAGGTTGCGGAACATGGCCAGCTATTTGTGCGTTCAATCTCTTGTAGTCGGTTGACGTTAAACTAACTACACGTCAGGGTTAGGATGATTCTTTGTCTCAATGCCTTGACGTCTGACGAGTGCATCACGATGTTATTGATCCAACAGGGTTTGTCCCATTCGCAGCCTAGTTTCTTACATTAACATTTCACCACAGGAAGTGGGGGAAAACTGGCCGAATGGAGTGTGTTCAGATTAATGTTTTTTTGGTTACAACTCATGGTTACAGGGCGAAATCGACATTGTAGAAGGCGTGAATGATCAAACTCCCAATACATGCAGTCTGCACACAAGCTCCAGTAAGATCACGTTTCGAGCGGTGAAAACTATGGGTACTCAAATTGGTTTTCAGATTGCACAATGCCCTCTTCTCGCTCAATGTCAGGGTCAGGTTTATCGAGTCTCTAAGTATTTGGTGGTGCCTGATGGAAATTGAATTTAGCATCGTCAGTGGTACGAACTGCGACGCGTACGCTAACGGTAATGCGGGGTGTGGGGTCCATATCAACGACGACAAGAGCTATGGCCCGCAGTTTAACAGCAACGGGGGTGGCTGGTATGCTTTCCATGTTGGTCATCAGTTCTACCAGAATGACAGAAAACCATGGCCAGGTATGCGATAGAAAAGCGTTCGACTTACATCAAGATCTTCTTTTGGGAGAGGACGAGTAGCTCTGTTCCAAGCGACATCAAGTCGCCTGGATCGAGCATCAATACTAGCCATTGGGTATGTTATTCCCACAGGCTTTTATGTAATTGAATCCCTAATGGAACACAATTTCAAAGGGGACACCCGCCGCATACTTTCCCGATACTTATTGCGATCTCTCCACTCATTTTGGAGCGCAAAACATTATCATCAACCTTACATTCTGTGTGTGATCATCGTCGTTTCTGAACTTTTACCTAACCTGATACACGTGGCTTAACCAGGCGGAGACTGGGCAGGTTCAGTTTACTCCGAGTCTGGATGTCCATCTACATGTGTTGGTGAGTATCCACTCTTCTAGTGAGTATCTCGAAAAACTCATCCCATATTGTCAGATTACGTAGACAATAACCCATCAGCATTCAAGAATGCTTATTTTGAGTTCAACTCGTTGAACATCTACGAATGAGGCTTGCGTTTTGCGTTGAATGCCATACCAGCAGCTACAAAGTATTGTGTAAATTGTATTGACATCACATGTATGCCCAGAAACCAGAATACTTACTTTTTTGATCCCTAAGCGTGATATAGAGATGAATTGCAGCATCGAATTTGGTAGTCTCGCACGTATCCCGACGCGGGCGGATCGGCAAGCGCATAAGTATTTTGGGCTGCGGAAGGTCGTCATTTTTTACTCGTACACACTTCAGATATAACTCATCATCCAACACGATATCATCCACTTTGAATTCACAAGAACGGTGGGACTCGGCACAGCGTGTTTCTCGTAGCGTTTTACTGTTTTATTTGTTTATTTATGAAGCTAATTACATTGGCCCCACAGTCTACTATCGATATCCTTATGCGTGTGCCTCGAAACAAGGGTTCGTTCTCTGGTCACTTCTTGATCAGGACTATATGATACATCATTCTGGTTGCCTCATGGCATCCGTGCAGTCGCAGCAGAGATGGTATATTTTTACGGCCACCCCCCAACCACCCCAATAACACGAGGTTCCCCACAGATTCTGATACCATTCTGGGGTGCTTGTAATTGTATTGGAACCCGTGCATGGTCGTAATATGTGGGTGCGGGAAGCGCCCTTTAGTGCGCTGTTCGTGGGAGCGTGTCTACAGCTTACGTTTTCGTGCTCAAACGAGCCGTGATAATTATCCATGCAATGTACCTTGGTGACTTTCGCGGCGGAGAAACACACGCAAGCAAATGACATGGACATCCAATTCAAAAAACAAGCCAGGCCATACGCATTGTCCGTTGGTTCAAAATAGGTCCAGCTTCGAAGAACTACCTAAAGACAGGTGTTCCGCGGGCTCACAATTTGACCGTGACTCGTACTCGCCAAGAGCCGATTCACATGCACTCATTATGTTACAGTCATTGGATTCCGGACTATCTTCATCAATTTGTGGGTCAGTTACTATATATAGCTAATGACGATCCTTCTTTGCAGGGTTCTTCGTGGGTAACGGGCATGCACGTAAGCCACGAGGCGGATATGAACGCCTTACATAAGAGTCTGTTCGCGATGTGGCACAGCACAGGGGTTTCTCCCGTCTTTTGCGTTCTATAAGCCCTCCCATATACTATGTCCTCCAGTACAGAGGTAAGCTCCGACAAAATTCACTTGAATTGATTCTGATAGAAAAATATAGCGAAGAAGGAGCGAAAGCGCCAATTCAAGGCGTACGCCCACTCCACCTCCCGTCGACGACACGCCCCTCGCCGCCTTTTTCGCTCAATTCGCAGCATTCTCCTTCAAAGAGAACCAGTCCTCAAACAAGAACTTCGACCGCCTCATCAAAGTCCTGAAAATTGACGCCAAAGATCCTCAGAAGCGCGAAGTACGAGAGGGATTCAAAGACGCGCTCGTTCAGGAATTCAATGCGCGTTTCGGAACTGACGGAAACGACATTTTGAACTGGCAGAGTTTGTGCGCTGTTTTGAGGATCGATCCTGTTCCGGATTCTATCAAGGAGTGTCGCAAGGTTTGTGGATCGTTGTTGTAGGCGAGTCGCAGTGGCTGAGTTGCTTGTATAGTGCGTTTGGGACACGCATGTCAACCTTGTAGACCTGGTTGATTCACCGAGGACTGGGAAGCCTGTGAAGCCATTTGCGTCTGTGGAAGAGTTGAGAGCATATACTCTCCAGACAGAGAAAATCTTTCCGAAGGAGAGTGCCTATCACGGCGGGTTACTGAAGGAGTTGCTAAGGGAGATAACAGGCACGTACTTCGGGGGGCGTAGGAACGGGAGTGCGAAGAGGAAAGCAAGAAAGAGGAAACAGAAGGCCGCAAGGGCAGCAGTGGTACTCGACTTTTAGTGGTGAAGACTGACCGGAGCTGTCCCTTTGAATTCGTTTCGCAACATTCGCTCTCATTACGTTCTCTGTACCAGTAGCATGCGCACTATGACCTGTCAACAGTTTGTAATTTATCTCGCAGATGAAATGCACGTTCAAATCCGCAACACTGCAGTTAAATTACTAGCAGTACCCCTAGAATCGTGTATCAAGGCCTACCACTATATCATATTATGCAATATCTATCCCTGTGACGTCTTGTATATTCTAGTGTGAGTAGTCACTCTGCCTCCAAAATGCCAACCTGCAGCGGTTCCCTTGTGCTGGCGAGTATACTTGGATTATGCGGCTTAATGCCCCCGAATGTCCTTTCCAGTTGCCCAATCTTCTCAGAAAGTAAGCGCGCTTCGTCACTGGCCTTGAACGATTCCTTGATAGCGTCGACGACGACCAAATTGTTGCGCTGGAGATCGCTGTGAAGGCGCGCGAGGCGTACTCGAGTATCGAGAAGTATGCTTTCTGGCTGATCCCCCGAAATGCGTTCCGGAGGTGATGATGAAGTAGTGACCCGTGCGTTTGCAAATGCTAGAACTAAATAAGATACCATTCTCTCCGTCAAATGAAGACTCACCCTTTGAAAACACGTCTGGAAGGTCCTGCACAGAAGCCTTCTTCCGGTGCGAGATGAACGCACTATTCTGGCGACCTATACACGTCTGTTCGAGCAAGGATGCGATTCGAAGATCACACAGACAGACCTGATCTGTTCCGCCTTGGAAGACGGCGAGATCTTGACAGTCCATCCTCACCCGACTCTGGTGTAGATTCTATGCTCCGTTTCTTACGATGCCGAGTAGTGCTGGATTCTGCTTGGTCGTGGGGAGAAGACGAATACGAGGAACGATCGCTGTCCGACGAACGACTGCGACGCGAACTGGGGGTTTTCACCACTGGGCTACCACCGCTGTCTTCACCAGTAGGCAGCTCCTTTTGATTGAGGACAGGGGTGGATGGCCGCGACATTCCGCATGCATCAGTGAGGAGACCTTCTGAGATACTGTGCCACCTCGTTAATAACCAAACCATCATCTTCTGCGATGACACCTTCGCCGTCGCACCAAAAATCTTGTGCCCAAAGATCCGCGCGATATCCTCGAATTGTATGCCGTTCTCAGGACAAAGGGGAAGTTGGGTGAAAAATCCGCAGAGGTAAATCAGTAGGGAGAGATTGCCTGTAGGCAGGAAACGGAGGATTATCTGTGCAATCATGATCTGATGGCGCTCGATATCACCGTCGTGACCAAGGTGAAGATCGTCCTGGACTTGTTTCTGATGTTGTCTGGCTGTCATGGGAAGTAAGAGTGGCAGCTCGCCTCTATCACGTTTCTCCTCTTCTTCCGCATCCTGTTGGATTCGCCTTACCTCCTCGCGTTTCACGCTGGGCTTCACACACCAGTGCCAAAATCCACCGTAAAGTTTAGGATCGAGGAGAGGTTGGGGAAGAGTGGAGATGAACGTGGATAAGACAGCGCAAATGTCTGGCATGGTCTGCCCGTGCATGCTGAATTTAGCCCCATAATCGGTACTGGAACTGTAGATGTCGATCAATTGCATGTGCCGATCGAGGTTGGGCAATGCGCGGAACAGCCCCTGTTGGTAAATACCTGATGAGGGTAAATGATGGATCAATTCAAGGGAGAGAAGATGTAGTACCCGTTCTTGTCAGCTCTTCTACACAGGCAACGACCAGGGTCGGCACGTCGTGCTGGTGTTCGCCGATGGTGATCGTAGATGATGCATGGATCAATACATCACGCAACGGCGCTCCTATCACACCTGTCTGAATGTTAGTGTAACACAAAAACCACACGCAAAACATAACAGACGAAATTTTGGATCTCTCTTCTCAGCTCCGCCCTTGCGCTTTTCACGAAGCTTCTCTCGTAAATCTCCTTCCTCTCTATACATTTCCATTACATCCTCGTCAAAAGAAATGTGGTCCATCGCACGATGTTTCTCACGCCGAACGAGTTTGTCGAGCCTAGGATATAAGATATGTGGCTTTGGCCGGGGTGCGTAAGGTTTTCCACGGTCTAACAGCGTCTTCGGCTCGCGCTGTGGCTGATCTTCCTCGAGGCGCCTGCTACCTCGTGGTAGATGGATATTTGAGGAAGGGGGAACATTGTGGTGTGACGTGTAATCGAGTTGCAGTCCGCATGCCCGAGCCTGCCTGTCCCTCTCTATTTCCGCGGACGACGGTTTGGCTATGCGCCTGATGTCTGGCATGGACGCAGAGACATCGCGAATACCATTCTGCTGCTGTTGGAAAGCATGTGGTGGCAGGGATGTACGTTTTTGATGATCACCATGATCGCGAGGTAATTGCTGGTAATCGGCGAGATGTGGAGGATTATACTGCTGGTGTCTCGACTCATACCCACGAGGCATCCACTGTGCCTGACCACGACTATATGGGGTGGCGAGTAAGTGGGAAGAGTCATTGTACGTTGGGGAAAGTAAACTGGGAGTTTGGTACGGGGGATACATATCCATGCGAGGTGTCAAGGCAAGAGGTCGTGATGGTCGAGGAAGTGGAAGAGAGTGATCTATAGGGTAAGGAGGAAGTAGAGGGTTTGGTTTGCGTAAGATGCTGCGCGGACGCAGGCTGTCGTTGGGTGGATGGGCGCCAGGCGTTCTCGGGCTGTCGTTGCCGTCAAAGCTCGGTCGGTCACCCGAGCGAAATGGCGGATAATGAGTATACGAGGTAGATCGCATCCTGAGGCCAGCAGGAAGGAAAGATAAAATCTCGAAATATCAAGTACCAATCGACAGAAATGGACCTTGCTACAAAGGGTGAACGTGGTCTAAGAAAGAGAAATGAACATCCAGTGCTGCGTGAAGAAGACTCTTTTAAGATAGCTTAGTCGACTTCTGGAGACCCTACTAAGTATTCAGACCGGTCGAGGCTGAGACGCCGCACGTATTATGGGATGTGGGGCTTTTTAAGGTTGCTGCAAGTGCAATTTCATTTTAGACTGACTCTAAGGTAGAGCGCGTCTATATCTAGAGATGGGAATTACACAGGGAGAAAACCGAGAGAAAGCTCACAGCGTGTCTGATTGTGATAAATCTGGAGTTTGAAAAGAGGTGAGGGTTACGTGTATGGTTGCACAAACGAAATCTGTACATTTGACGAACCGTGAGTCTCGGAAAACTAGACCAACCTAAAATGTATTAGAGTGATAATCGAGTGACTGAGTCAGGACCCTAGGCTCAAGGGCCGATGATAACATCCAGGCAGGTCCAGGCAGAGCCAGGTCTAGACCCTAGACCGCATATGATTCCCCTTCGTGGGTTCAAAAAATGTGGTGAAGAACTGTAAAGCTTCGTCAGACCGAGCAAGCTCCATGGGGCTTTATAGAACCGTTAATAAGGCGCCAGGACTGACGAAACGTGCTTTCTAGATGAAGAGGATTACTCGAGTCTACATAAGGTTTGAGCAAAAGGAAATGTTCCTGGCCAGGACCGCAGCCTCACTGCGTTAGCCAGCGCCGAGTCTCGGTCACGGTGATAACGGACATGCTACCCGAGACCCCGCAGTCGCTATGTAAGTGCAAGTTTGTCTGCCACAGTGCTATTTGTCTAAGTACTTGATAGGACTACTAATCATATACATATGTGATGTCACTGATCAGTGCGAGCATGAGGGCGAGGCTTAGGCTGACTTGAAAGCAATAGAAAAGACAGCATGAGGGTGTGAAAAAGAGATGGCACGGTGGAATATCCGAGAGATATCTAATTAGGTTGCTTCGAAAGACTAGGGTTCAAAATTTAAATAGATACATGTGAGACAGGAAACGTTGAGTTGAAGCGGCAAGTGACATGATTGGCTGCCAATCAAACTAAATCATGTGACCAGTCTATTGGTAAGCAGGGTCGGGGAGCGAATATGATTCTAGGGATTCTTCAGTGACAGCGTATATTACTCATGCCACATTTCATCCTCTGTCTGGTTACCATGATTATCCTGGTCAACGGTCAGTTTTTTGCCAACCCCGATGGCGACATACTACCTACCAGCTTCTAGGTCGTTCGACCTGTCAGATTATTTTGAGGACATCCATGGTATGATCGTATACAATTGCATCTTTAGTAGTTGCCATAATGTTCAAAGAATTGACCAGCTCGAAATTTGAGTAAAGGTTGCGGGCTCTAGCACGAATGTGCTCTAGGCCACCCGCCAAGTGATTGTGAATATTCACCTCACTAGGTGGGCCCCTTCGACGTAGCAGAGCAGGGTACGTACTCAGCCGCAGGTCCCTCCATGGACTCAGATTTCAAGGCGCGGGGATCTCCTTATATTTATGAAATTTACGGCTTAAAGCGACTATATATGCTACTGTCGGAAATACGGTATAGCTTGTGAGACATGGCGAATCCCGAGACGTTGACGAAGATGACATACTCCGAATCTCAGGCCTTGTATCGATTCTGCACGGACGGAACACATAAGGAAACTCGCATCGCAGATCTTGAAAAAATGTTATCGATGAAATTACGGTGAAACTTCGCCCTCACCAGCCACTGACCGATAAGTTCATAGCTAGCAGAGAATATCACACGTGAGCGCCATTTAAACATCGATCAATTCATTTCTTTCGTTCTGTATTGGACTACTACTCTAGAGAAACCGTTTCCATCCAGGCGAACGTCGTGTTCGCTTATTTTCTCCGACCAGCCAATATTGTTACTGTTCCGCCGCTTTGACACTAGCTAACGACGCTGCTGGCTAGATATTCACGTTTGAAGAATGGTGAGTCATTACACTGAACAATTCTCGCTGTTGGCTGAAGCTACTCCTAACCCCGGATCTACGAGTTACAAACTGGTCAGCATTGTATATTATTACTGTGCTTCATGGTGGCGCGCTGATTCATCGTGTTTTTGGTAGCTTGGGTTCCGACACCGCGGAAACGATGATCCAGTTCTCACCTGTTCAAGCGGTAATCAGTATTTCCGATTTGTCTTCTGCACTCGAAATCCAATGGTTACCCTGCATACGCCTCATTGAATAACGGAAATGAGATGCAAAACAAATACCACCACACGTCGCAAGAACATTGACCCCATTTCTGATACTACATAGGATTCAGATCAGGCTGGCGCTCTTTGATGCACAAGTCAACTTGGCCTGTGCGAATCAATTGATGCAGCGCCGCTCCGGACCATCCTGGGCTCCGGCAGCCGCTCCGCAGGGTTCCGACCGCGTGGTCGACGTCTCAATTTCGGTCGTTGCGGTGATTTTCATCTTGTTGCCACTTGCGGCGTTGTGGCGCTGTTTGTTTCATTAAAACGAGCTTCTATGTACCCGTGGCACCACGAACCGTGTTGTGTCTTTGGCCACAGATGCCGAGTACTCTATACTCGACCTGCAACATAAGTTCAAAGTAGTGGTTGAATATATATATATTTTACAAAAAAAATGTATCTGTCAGTACAACAAAGACCATAATTTAAGCGAGTCTCAGAATTGAAGAGGGACATCGATCATCAGGTGTGACCGTGTGTGGGAGGACAGGTCACAGACTACCGAAAGCCACGTTGCAAGCATTCCCATCACTCACTGAGCTTGAGCGCCAAGTATTTTTAGCAAAAGGTCCGATGCTAGCCCCAGAAAAAACATAAGAAAGAAACAGCAGAAAAAGAAAGAGAAAGACAAGAACATTGATGCAGATGCACTCACTCAAGAGCCTCTCATCAATATATCGTCATGATTTTCGTAATCAGTGTGCACAGAAAGTCCGATGTGCCTCGACACCTGTCGAAAAACCTGCCAGTGGCCAGGTTGCCCTAGATTGCCAAGCTCCTTGCCAGGGCCTATGTAGCCCGCGCATATCGATCGATCAATGAGCATGCCAGCAAGTGCCAGCTGCCCCGATATCCTTCCCACGGTTACACTTTAAATGCAAAGCCCACCTGTTGCCAACTCAAGAATACTACACGCCGATCATGCTTTTCAAGTCACTTTTCGTCCTCGCAACAGCAGCTCTGACTGCCTACGCTCAATCAGCGACCACGACGTCTGATGCCGCAACTGCAACTCCAAGTGGTATCACCCCGTGCATCCTTTCATGCTCGAGCCAAGCCGCTTCCGCAGGAGGGTGCTCCAGCTTGTAAGTTGGCTAGGTTTCAAACAGCATTTGAGCATTCCGAATCTCACATGCTCGATATTAGCTCTGACCTTGCATGTGTTTGCACCTCCACTGCATTCCAGGCCGCTGCCGGCGCGTGTCTGCAGGCTAACTGCACTACTGCTGAGGTCGCTCAGGCCCAAGCACTTCAACAATCTCAGTGCGCGTCACGTATGTCGTTCTTTCCAAAGTGTGTACTGGCGCTGATGAGATTAGTTTCGGGGAACTCTACCACCACGAGCGCGTCATTGACCTCACCCACCACATCTCCCGCTACAACTGCTTCGGGTGCCAAAACTTCAGCAACCTCATCTGGTGCTGCTACCGGTCTTGCACCTTCACTTACCCTCAACAGCGCATTTGGTGGGCTCGTTGCCCTTGCTGGTGCCCTTATTGGAGCGGCGTTCGTCGTGTAGTCCGGTCAGCGTCGATGGCAATATTTATATTCACATCGTCACCGCGGGATAACCTTGGATATCTTCTGTTATTTTTATTCGAGTTACAAACACTTTGCTTGGATGTTTTAGAATCTTGAGTTCGGCGTTAACGTCAGCCAGGACTACGACGTTCGGTTACTACGTACATACCTATTGTTTGGTGCCACTCTCCCCTTCAGGGCTCGAGGTAACCAGGTGCCACCATTCAGATACATACATCATAATTAGTTTTGGCGCCCCTTGGTAGCATCCTCAATTTGACTATTCGGTAAATATCGTGGGTTGATGAGTAGGGCTGATTTCCAGGAGTGGTGCTCAGAGTCACAAATAAGAGTCCACAAGTTCCGCTTGCGCATTGCGCAGCGCTGGCACAGCTGCACCCTAAATACCGATTGCCTTGCGGTTTAGGCCATGCAGTGTTTGATTGTGATAAAAAAATATGGGCGACGTGAGTACGTAGTAGGTGGTGGCACAGATTAAAGCATGATGCATGATGGTTCAATTGATTGCCCGCTTCAAAGTTCAAACCGTAGCTATGAGAAATTAGCGCCCAATTCTCTTTGTGCTAGACCTCGTTGCCGGGCATGCACCGTTCACTCGTTTTCATCTTTTTTCTAGCTTTCGGTTTCTGTGCCGCACAGAACTATACCCTTCCTGAATGTGCGCAAATTTGTGCGGGGACGGCTGCGACGGCGGCTGGCTGTTATTCGTTGTGAGTCTCTAATTTTGAGCCAAGTTTGTCTAAAAATCATTAAAATCATTGCCGTACGTAGCTCGAATAGTACTTGCGTCTGCGCCTCCCAGCCCTTTCAAGCAGCCATTCAGTCATGCTTCAATACGAGCTGCAATATAACAACCCAAGGCACTGCTTGGCTGTATTACAGCAACTTGTGCACTGGCGGTGAGTCTTTTATATGCATTGAGTGAAAAACGTTTCTCATATGCGCAGGTTCCTCGGCCGGTTCGGTGCAAGTATATTCTCAGGTAATTAGCGCTCAGCAGTCATAGTGTGATTGAATTTTTGGGTGTTGACCGTCACACGCAGGCCACTCTACTACAACCACGAGTGTCAGTGTTGCTACTAGTACTGCACCAGGACCCGTAACCTCGAATACATCATCATCAACCCACACGTCCTCGCTGTCATCCGTTGGGTCGGCGAGTGTGTCGTCTACTACAACCTCTGCACACCAAACTCCGACATCAACTTCTGGAGCACTTGTGACTGAAATCAAGATGCTACATGGCCTCATAGCGGTCGTTGTTGGCTGCGCTCTGATCTTGTGATACGCGAGTTGGATGTTGGCTGTAGAGCCGGAGGCGATATCGTGCAGGCGTATGTATACAGATATTCTTGCAGTCGGAGGCCCCTGGAGACCGGGGCGAGCCTAACCCATGGACTTTGTTATATATATCCAAAAGGACCTTTGTCGGGTCATATCCTAATAGCAGGATTAATATAGCCACGTATATCTGTCAGAATGTGTCGACGGTAATACGTGACATGTGCAAAGCGGGAACTAGACAAGTACTGAACCTGTATATGGATAAACAGAATGAGTAATAAATATGTTGCGACCCACCTAAACTTTGATGGTGACCCACTGAGCTATTTTTGAGATCACCAACATTACACCAACCAAGCTTTATGATGTCCGTCGGCATCAAAGAAAGGGAGCACATGGTCATGGACAGGTTTCAGATGGCCCGTAGAGAGCCGAGCCGGTGGGGAAGTCCCATGCCTAATGACATTGACATGCACGGCACGTCGTATTATTGTCAGGGAGGGCTTGATCAACTCAGGGTACCGATTGGCATTTATATATATCGTCAGCGTAACCTCTCCGAATCAACTCACCGATCAAGACTAGTGTTAATGCCTAGTATAATGGATTAGTGGCGGTTACGTTGAGGCCGGTGCACTTTGGCAGTGCTTAGGTCTGATTTGGAACAAGGGGAGAACAGGAACAAAGTTTGGCCAACTTGAAAGTGTCGACGTGTCGTCCATTCAACGACGTGCGCACATGTCATGGCGCCCACTACAGCAGTCTTCTTGGATGATGATCATGAAACTACAGTGGTATTAGTTGACTATCAATTGATGTAAAACCACGGGAGGTTTTTGTGATTGATGAATGAGAACGTAGGCGTGTCACACGCCGTTACACGCTTCGTGTGACAGTTACATCACAGTCACTACAAACAAAGCCGCCCGGGTAGCCAAGGTCCTTTCATTCTACTTGTCCTCGACTTATCATTGAAAGCAATTGCACGGATATATCACATTCAGGACACGACCTTCTTCATTTTGGCAGACTTGTTCTTTAACGCTATCGCAATCAAAGCTCAACAGTTTACCATACACGCTGGCCAGATCATATCCCTCTCACCGATTGACTTTCTATTAGCACGCTCCCCTCATTCCTCATGGGCAACTGCGTATCAGCACAGGACAGAGAGGAGAAGGCCAGGTCAGATGCTATCGACCGTCAGATAGACGAGGACTCTAGGAAGTTTAGGAAGGAGTGTAAGATACTTCTTCTCGGTACGTGTCTTCCTTTCTACCTTACTCCATGTCTATTTCATTTTTTACGAGGCAAATATCTCCGGAGTTGCATCCACTTTGTCTATATCCTTCAACTACCTTTATCCGTTCAACCCTTTCTCTTTGTTCTAACTGCTCATATCCAACCTCAGGGTCCGGCGAATCCGGAAAGTCAACAATAGTGAAGCAGATGAAAATCATTCATCAAAATGGCTTCACCCCAGACGAACTCATGGTGTTCCGTCCGACAATATACCGGAACACTCTCGACTCCGCGCAAGCCATTGTCCTGCAAATGCGTAACATGAATGTGGAATGTGTATTGCCCGCGAATCGGGTACGTTCTTTCTCGTGTTCTCTCCTACCCCAATTCATTGCTTTCGTAGACATTTGCCGAACGCATCGTCGAATACAGGGTTGAAAACACGCCTGAGTTTGTTTTCTCCGCTGATATTGCACAAGCCATCCATGAACTATGGGAAGATCCTATCATTTCCAAAGTGATGGACTGTTCGAGCCAGTTTTATCTTATGGACTCGGCTAGCTAGTGAGTCCTTCTATCCACTCGGATTACAAATACTCACGGTGTTCGCTCTCAGTTTCTTCACAGAAGTGCTTCGTATAGGCACGCCCGACTATACACCAACAGAAAATGATGTACTACGAGCTCGAGCAAAGACAACCGGCATCACTGAAACGCGGTTTAACATGGGACAGCTCTCGTGAGTACACTGGAATATCAAAGTTCCGTTTTTGATCGCGGTCTCGTAGCATCCACATGTTCGATGTCGGCGGCCAGCGCTCGGAACGGAAGAAATGGATACATTGCTTTGAATCCGTAACAAGCATCATTTTCTGCACAGCATTATCGGAATACGATCAAGTACTATTAGAAGAGAAGAACCAGGTAGGTCCTGTTGCACGCGCGATTATTGGGCGTCATCAATTTTGTCAATAGAATCGTATGCAAGAATCACTTATCCTATTCGAGTCGGTTATCAACTCCCGGTGGTTTCTGCGAACTTCTATCATATTATTTTTGAACAAGATAGACGTTTTCAAGAACAAGCTACCGAAGGTATGTATTCATTGTTGCAAACGCATGGAGATCTGTTGACACTTTACAGGTACCGATCGAGAAATACTTCCCAGAATATACGGGTGGCGCAGACATTAACAAAGCGGCAAAGTATATTCTATGGAAGTTCATGCAAGCTAACCGGGCGCGCCTAAGTGTTTACCCTCAGTGAGTGTGATTTATCACGCCTCGCTCATCACTCACTGCGTCATAGCTTAACACAAGCCACCGATACGACGAATATCAGACTGGTCTTCGCTGCGGTCAAGGAGACAATCCTACAGAACGCTCTCAAAGACTCAGGGATTCTGTGACGCCTGCCTTTCTTGGTTTTTGATTCTTATCTATCCGTATGCGCCTCCACACCCCATTGGTTAATTTGTATTAACAAGGGTACAGCTCGCATATATATCTGGAACTTCTGGTTATTCTCTAGCATGTTATCATCTTATCTAGCATACCATCAATTATTCATCATTACCCTGGCTGTCCGCGAGATTGATTTACATCATGGCGCCTTTCGCCTTTACATACCGCACAGCATTTGCTTGATCTGGTTGATTTTAACTTGCTATAGCGGGCAACCCTTCCCTTGTGTGCAACTCTTTTTATACAGTACTTGATGCGCCCTGGACGTGCACAAAAGTGTTTGTACATGTAATTTGTAGCGTGCAATACTATCATCATGCCAGACAGATATCACAAGGCGGAGTTATACAGCACGATCATCATTAATACAAGAAGAAAAAACATTTTGCGAGCCACTGCATAGTATCAGTACGACGCATCCTGTGTGCTAACCATCACTATCACGCTCCTCTTCGCTGTCCCACTGGTTAAATCCTAAATCCCTCACACTCGAAACTGCCACAAGAAGCGGATGTTGACCATCCAATATTTTGAGCAGCTTCTCCATGTCCTCTAGAGCAAACTCTTCTACCTCTTCTAACAACGCGAGCTCCTCGCGATCATCCTCCGGGGACTCTGCGCGTCGTTTCCGTTTGTCTGCGAGCGTCTGAAGCTGATGCTTCGTGGCTTCTATGAGGGTAGCCTGTAGATTCGGCGTGAGCGCTGGAATGCCGACCACGCGAAGCCCATCGGCGAGGGCTCTATACAACGAGGAAAGAAACGAAGGGTCTGTTTCGGCTCGAATTGTGTTTATGAGCTGGAGGAAGGAAGCAGCTACCATCTGCGATGTTAGTGTTCCACTCTGCTTTCCGCAAGAGAAAAGCAAAGGGATCAACCTGTGCGTACGATGATTAGCAGTGAGGGCGGCGACAACGGGGAGCACTTACCTGCTTGCAGCTTCGCGAACGCCGTCGTGGAAGTAGAATTTTAGGGCGGGGAGGGAGAGCTCCAAGCTCTGGGCGAGATAAGGTGCAAACCGGCCGCCAAGTGTCGCGCAATAGACAACGAGAGTGTCGAACGCTTGGCATTTCTCATCGATAGTCGAAGTGCGGATTCCAACGATCTGACCGTCCATCGAGATGGTCTCCCAGCCTTCTCGTGTCTCGCCGACATCGTCTTCATCATCTGTGTAGCAGGGTAAGTGGGTGCCGTGACCCCAATGAATGACATTACCATAGATGGAGACATCAGCTTTTGCGCTAGCTGCGTTCAGTAGTGGAGGCATGACTACAGGAAGGAACGGCTCGAACTCGGTGCCGAGAGCTTGGCAAATTTTAGCCCAAGTAGCAATTAAAAAAGTGGGCAGCATGGTGTCCGAGGGATCGACAGGAGAATCTATCATACATGTTAAACGGTTATCGATTAATTCGGAGGCAGTCAAGAACGAACTTTGGATTTTGATTAAAAGCTCGATGAGTGTATTTGCGTCAGCGCGGAAAACGTTACGTCCAACGGCAATTGCTGACAAGGATCAGTCAAGGAAACTTGCGCTGATGTCAACTGTTTCTTACCTATTAAACCAGCACATTCCATGGCTTTCGCGCGTAGCTTGTAATGGTCAGAACTGTTGGCGTTGCGGAGAACATTTAAAAGAAGAGGCATTATGGAGGCATAGTGCTGTTGTATATGCAAGCGTCAGATAAACAATGGATACGCAAGACTGCAATATAATACCTTAGCAAATGTTGCCTCACTGGCGTCAGCGACCATAGCGAGAGTTGTAATAGCTTGTTCTTGAACATAACCTTTGACTACTTTGCCATCCTCAGCTCCTGGATTGAGCATCTTGAGCAGACGCTCAACGATCGGGTCCAAATAAGGAACAAGAGTGTCACGTTCGACACCTTCACAAAAGTTTATCAGGGCAGCTGCGGCATGCGAGTGCACACTAAAATAGAGGATCAGGTGGAGGACAGGTGACGGAATCAAGGATGTAATAGTCACCGAGGTTCTGGCGCCTCTAGTGTTGGTATCAACGCAGCGAATAATTGCTCGTGGTAGCGATCCTGAATGATTTCCTTGGAGCACAAGCGTCTATGAGGATCATGGTGGCAGGGTGACTAAACTTACCTCCAAATCAGTACATAATTGACCACTGCACCAATCATTGAGCGAGGACATTATGAGATAATAAAAGCAACGTACACGCATTGACATGCAGCATACCGCACACGTGGGTGTGCGTCCTTGAACATTGGAGTAACGAGGCTGGGAACACGATCAATGAAAGGGACCGGACAATAAACTGAAGAACGCGCACTCAACAACCTTCCCAAGTTCCATTTGCATCACCTAATAATAGACGAATGAGTGGGCCTGGACTATGCCATAAATAAGCCAAATGAACCTTGCTCGTGCCTTCGGCTATGGCTGCGATAGCCATCAGGCCAGCGTGCCTCAATCTCCAGTCGTAATTGGCGAGCATTGACGGAATATATTGGAACGCCGGAGGAAGTACTGCTTTGCCTCCAAGAGCACAGGCCACCCTATCGAGGGATTGCTCGTATACATGAGGATAATTCTCATCTTGTGCGTCCTCTGAGGGCTACGATATTTGAGTTGGTGAAATACTTGGAGAAATGCACGATAAGTATCTTACATCAGCTTCGAGCCAGGAATCCAACGTGTCTTCTGGTAATTCCCCCATGCCCTCTAGAGATGCTCTTACCATAGCCGCCGTCCATCCTTCCGAACGCTTCGCCAATGCAGGCTTAGCCTCGGTAAGACTTACCATAAATTCTAGTGCAGCTTTTCTGACTAACTCTTTTTCCTCGTCCTCTGTGACTTCGTCATTGTCGTCTGGAGTCCGACTGCCAGATCCGCCGGGAGGGAACGTGAAACTTGATGTGCCGGGGAATGGCTTAGCAACCGTGGGTGTCGGGCCTGAGTCAACGCTTGGCATTATCAAACCACGCAAGAAAGACAGTAGGGCATCCATATGAGGCACAAAGAGATTAGGATGAGATGAGCATAATGGCGTTAGCGAGCTGAGGAAGGATTTAAGGTGAATGTTGGGAAGGGAAGGTAATGTGTCTAGCATTGGATAGAGTAGTGAGAGCGAGTGTGATAATTGAAGTTGATCACATGCAGTAAGGTAGGACACAGAGGCTCGGAGAGCAGCAAGCCGAACCTGAGCACTATCAATGAATGCCAATTAATTCGACTGGAGGACCACGTACCTCAACACTTTGAGAGTCTTGGAGACCTTTCCGGAAAACTGTCAGGACAGCATCTGTCTGGAGATCCATTACGAGATTGGGACAACCAGAAAACAACCTATAAGCGCATTCTCGGAAGCCAGCTTCACCTGTCTGCGTCATAGTAAATGTTTGTGCCTGTAGTGCGTGCCAAGGGCGCCCTCGAGACATAGAATTGTTTGCTAGATCGCAGACTGTATCGACTGTCTTCCTGCGAACAGCATCTAAAGGCTCGTGGGACAGAGAGTGGAGTAGTAGACGCTCGAGAGTTGTCAACGCATGCGCTGGGAGTTGATCATAAAGCGTTAGACGTCCTTCTCTGGGCTGCTGACCCGGTGCGGTGCGAAAGAGAAGTCTGCGAAGTAAGACCAGAGAGAAGGATCGCATCTACGCTTTATTGAATGAGGGCAGCGGTATTGAGACATAATACACAACAACTTGCCACTTCAGTATCAGCTGCAATAGAGAACTGAGCCAATGCGAGTAGGTATAGGTCTGGGGTCTGAGCCAGTCTATCATTGACCGCCTGTTCTGCACTGCAAGTCTCTCAGTATGAGTCGCGCTCATTGAAAAAGATCGCGCACTTGGAACGTATCTTGTTATCACCAAGTACAAGATTGGCAAGTATTTGTGTGAGCTCTGTCGTGATTTCGTGAGGAACGACAGCCTCCATGACGCTGAATTTGTAGGAAATTGATGTCGAGGGTCTAGGAGTGACAGCAAAAGGGAAAATGATTATCTTAGGGTGCAGGCTGTTCAAATAGGCGATTCCAGTTGTTTGATAAAGCTGTTCACTGCTAGTGATCTGCAATGGAGAAGTGATGCCTGTTAAAACGGTGATCAGCACTGAGCAGATAGACTCGACGAGTCTTTCAATTATCATAAGTTTAAGCTCAGCGGCTTTTTTACCATCTTCATCCCGAACGACGATCTGCGGCTAGAGCTTTGCTCCACAATTTCTCGAATACACGCGAAGTTCCTATGGTCAACATCGAACGCTCTCGATTCTCCATCAAGTTTCGCATCTACCAGCTTTCCTTCTTAAAGGACCTTGGTAACTCCGACGCAATCACTGGGATGCCGATCACATCTCAAAACCCAAGTTCACATGATTAAACGTCCTCTTGATATGTCCAAATCACCTAGTGGCGTGTTTTCCGATATCAGTCCGGTTCCGACATAACCTCCGAGATTTGAGTGCATGCTGAAGTTGAGCGAATTGGGTCAGAGACAGCTATGAGCGGCCTGATAGTTGAAGGTACCATCTTCTTGAATGATTTTAAACAGCATCTTGTTGATGTGTGTATCGACAGTGAACATCTTCCCAAGACGAGTCCCATGGCTCCCGACTTGGTCTGGTGTACCCTAGCCAGATCATACAGAAGGAACAAAGTTGGTATGCCACTTTGTCGTGAAACAAAGACATGCTTATTCAGGTGCAGGCAGAGGACAAATGCTATCATAAAGGAAAGACCATCCATCCCAATCGACATCATCATCTGATGCTCGCAGAAGGATATTTTCCTTCAGACCTCTACCACGCGACTGGTTATTCTCCCAGTACCCGACACAATATAGTAATTGACCCCCAGTAGTCTTGCACACAACATGCACTTTATTTAATGTTTGAAGCATGGATCCACAAGCACATACAACTTAAACTACACAACAGGCTACCTAATCTCCATCACTTGGACGCACTATAACTTTCCTCTGTCGAGAATTTCGCAGGGCTCGTTTAGTCCTCTTCAACTGAATCCGGTTCTACCGAATCACTGGCCTGGCCGCTCTTCGACGAAGATCGCTTTTCATCCTTCTCGTCACTGACTTTGAGCCCCTGCTCTAGGTTCTTTGTGATCTTTTCCACCTCGTCCTCCGTTGATTCCTCTGGTTCTGTTTCTAGTTCTGGCTCTTTCTCACCAGCCTCCAAGCTCTCCTTCGTCTTCTCCCAAGCGGCATCGAGCTCCTCCTCCCATTCAAGTTCTTTGCATAGCTCCCGCACGATATCGTCGCATTTTCCGAGGAATAACACATCATCTGGTTTGTTAAAGTCGCCAACCTCATCGAGATTGATCAACACCCGAGGGCAGTCATTCGGGACAAGGTCCACAAGAGAGGCAAATGGGTGCACGGTCAGCGATGTTCCTAATACGATCAATAAATCCGCTTCTCGCAGATTACGGATAGATCTGTGAAACTGATCGGGAAGCTGCTCCCAAAATCAGCCATGCCGTATGGTTTTGTGAGGCTCAAACATACCCCTTCACCGAAGAAGACGATATCTGGTTTCACCAGGCCCTTGCACCTCCTCCGTTCACACCTCGGAATTCTATCTCCTCGCTCAACACCGCCTTCTTTATCTTCTCTGCATCAAAGGGTGTTTTACAGTCAATGCACTGCTGCGTGGCGAAGCTTCCATGTGCCTCGATGATCTTATGCGCCGGCACTCCTGCGCGCCGCTCGAGCGTGTCTATGTTCTGGGTGAAACATGTGTGCAACAGGGAATGCGAATGGAGGAGTGTTATAAAGCTGTGCGTGGGCGTGGGTCGGAAGCGCCCTGGATATAGTTCCTTGGCTAATGTATAAACTAATAAACACATTTCAGTTCCTTTCTTCGCTCGGTCCAAGTACGGACGGACGCACATGGTATCGGGTTTTTCTTAAAGAACCCTATCTCGAATACCGCCTCCGGGAATGGAAGATTCAACCGTGCGAGGTTGGCCTGTACAACATCATATTAATTTTCCTCACTTGCAGTACCGCACTGCGCACAGCACACTTACGTATAATCCTAGGTCACACGCTGATCTGCATCTCAGAACCAGATGCTATGTATGACTTACCTGTACCAGGTGATCTGAAGTCCGGTATACCGGCAGATGTACTCACACCTGATAACATACGTAAGATAATGTAATGTGGCACTAGCAGTAGTAGCCTTACCAGCCCCAAGCTAGTTTCGTCGTGATATCGGCATTAGAATAATTCAGATCGTGAAGAGATAAAGGAACTCGCCATAAGGAAAACATTCCGACAGCTATCCGACTTCATATATTTCGCAAGTGCCTTGAGGTCATTGCCCTCTAAAATCCTTGGGTGCTGATCTGCAGCGTACCCGGGTTTGGTCATGCTGCCCCTGAAAGTACGATTCCACCAGTCATACAGTGAGTGCATCCTCGCAAGTAGAGAATAATTACCTAAGTACTGCTCAGTGAAGAAACACGGGAAGAAGGAAAGAAGGAGACAAAGGATGTTGGTGCTCTCACTGTATTCCTACTCCGTGCAGTGCACGTGAGCTAGATAAAAATGGGCAGGGCAGTGCTACTTAATACAAACTTAATATACGACAAGCATGATAGGTCAATTGTACAAGATGTCGATGAAACCATAGGGGAGATCATCATTAGAAAATTCATCATAGGCAAAGGACGGTCATGTGCTATCAGTCTCCGAGTCCAAATCATGCTCCTATTTCTCCGTGTTTGCCGCCCATCCATCATCTTCTTCGTCCTGCACGGATTCATCAAAACGAACGAGTTCAAAAGTTACGACGTACCTCTAATGAATAATCCTCATCGCCGTCCTCATCCAGAGGATCCCAGGGTACATGCACGTCTACCCAGCTACCAAGAGCAACATGTCAGATGGAGCGCCTGGAGACAACGAAACCCATGATACTGACAAGTCATCACCTTCGGGATCAGGTACAGGAGACTCTCGCATGAGACGTCGTATCAATGGCAACTTGCGCTTGAGCCCATACAGTGGCGTGAACATATAGTCCTTGTGATGCCCCTTCCGCAGCAGGCTCACGTTCGTATCTGACCACCACTGTGAGGGCTCAGATGCATTCCCGTTGGAAGTAAGTGCCAAGGAAATCTTCTCTCCACCTGATTACTATAATGAGCAGGAGCACGAGAACACAGAGTGTGGAAACATACTTTTGTCCGAAAGGTATATGGTGTAGGCGGGACATTTGAAGATGGAGTTGACGATGTGCATGTCTTTGAGCTCTGGGACCTTGTACAGCGTCTCCAAAACCCTGCCGCGCGGAACGTATTCTTGTCTTGGATTGTGCATGATCAGGAGGGCACCACGCTTGCCGCGCTGAAACTGCCACTCTCCTTTGATAGATGCTTGAGCGAGACCAGCGACGTTTCTATCAAACCATCAATCAGTCTGAGTCCTCGCTCGCATAGTAGACCGCACGCAGAACATACATCTCTCCATCAATCTTGAGGTCTTTCTGCCGGACACCCATCGTACACACTATGAAGTCGCCCTCCACGGCACCAATCTGAGGAAGGAAATCTGCTAGCTTCAGTTGCCCGTCCACCTTATCCAGCAAGACCTGGAATTCCGGATCATAGATATTGCCTTCGATGTCCAATTCGCCCGTCTCGGTATTCAGCCTGCCATATGCACCGACCTGCATGCGAAATTATAAACTGCAGCCATGAAACCGATGAGAAACGAGTCGCGTACTGGTATGGGTATAGGTGGATCCCAGTTGGCCCACTTCGCTGTGGATTGTCTGATGAGATCAACGAACTTCCGAGCTGCGTTTCCCATCAATATGGTGCAGTGAGTAGTTTAATACTAAACAAAAATCGCTGGCTACTGGAGGTGACAGTCATATATAGACTTGTCACATGGATAAATGATGGATATCCTGTGCTTGCGATCGTGGGCCGTGGGCATCGCAAATTGCAAGATTACGACACGAACAAACCTAGATATGGGCACTGCATAAATAGTCTTGTACTCGAACATCCACTACACAAGTAATTATACATCTCATATGGCAACGTCAACCTAATATAACAAGAAGGAAAGGTCCCAACAGGTCATCACTCATCGTCACTGTCGTCTGAAATAGGGAATGGCACAAATTCAGAGTCTCTTCGCGGAATGTATACGTTCGGGTCATCCTTGGTACACAGCGTTGGTCTCCGATGTCTGTTGCGAGAAATTTCAAGTACACACCTCTTGATTATCATCATATACTGGATCGATCTCTCCATCGTCATCGAGTGGCTCCCAAGGCGGGTAAACATCCATCCAACTTTTGTTCGATTAGCAATGTGGTCGAAAAACAACAAGAGACCTACAAGTCGGCGTCCTCAGGGTCTGGAGTAGGTGAGTCGCGCATCAGAGGACGAATCAAGGGGATCTTGCGCTTGCAAGTGAAAAGTGGCGAGAACACGTAGTCTTTATCTGTCCTGGTTTGAAGGTTTTCTATCTTTGAATCAGTCCACCAGTTGAGCTGCGTCTCGTTCTCTTTGCCAGATTTTGGGAGGAGAGCCAACGAAATCTTCTCTCCGGCTTGTCATTTCCCTTAGATTTGAGATGTACATCGAACAATAGGGATAGACGTACCCTTCTCGGACAAATAGGTAACATATGCACGACACTTATACACCGATGGGACGACGTACTTGTCCTTGAGCTCTGGAACCTTGTAGATCGCTTCAAATACCTTTCCTTTAGGAAAATGCTCTAGACGGGGTTTGTACATCACGAGCATAGCGCCTCGTTTTCCTTGCAGAAACTGCCAGTCTCCTTTATACTTTGCTTTGTCGATGCCCTCAGCACTATCGTAGCAGAAATAAGTGAAGTCCTCAAGGGTTGACTGTGTCAAAAGCTCACACGTTTGATCCAAGACTAAATTCCTTAGGCCTGACGCCCATAGATCCAATAGCAAAGTCTTTCTCCTCGTCATCGAGCACGGGCGGATGATCCGAAAGCTTTATCTTTCCATCGGTGGCGTCAAGCAGCTTCTGAAACTCGGGATCGTACACGTTTCCTTCAACCTCGAACCTGCCTGTCTGGGCGCTGAATAGACCATACGATCCGACCTAGATCATACCAGTCGGCATTAAGACAAGGTCTCGCAAAGAGCCACGTTCAACTGACTCTGATGTCCTGTGTTTCGGGAGACAAGTTTGCCCATTTTGAAGTGCGTTGGCGTATAAGGTCTACGTATTTGAGGCCGGTGTTCACCATCGTGGTAGAGGGCAACTTGAAGGAGTGAAAGGCGCTCAGTGGCGTAAACCCGAATATGAACCTAGATCTATATAAGTAGCGTGAGCATAGGTAAATATCAACACCGACAAGTAATATCTTACGGGAGTCGTATCGTGCGTTCAAGACGCAAATGAATTTGTAGAATTCAAATAGATTGGATGCTGTAGTTAGACCACGTACTATGTAACTGAGAGATCGCAGCACAACGAGGGCGGTATGGACACTCTAACAATTGCAAGGATTCAAATGATAACAATGCATTTTAGACGAATCAGTACGAAATAGTATGTACTGGTAGAACGCACGTTGATCTGACAACCGGATACGGCGCATCCCCGGCACCTCCAACAGGGGTCAGGTAGACTCGTCTTCGCCCCTCGGTATGTGTAAGTTGTTGTTGTCGATCAGTCGTCCATCAGCAGTTTCGGATCAATGGAAAAAATTGTGCCAGCATTATTGAGAACACCTTGCTCCAGTGCGGCCCAAGTGGACGGGGAACCTGTTGCCATGCTGCGAGGTCCTTGACACTTGCAAAAATTAGCTTCAAGTACTACAGCGTGAGTACGAAGCAGACGGCGAGTGGTGGCAACATCACGACTTGTCGATGGCGTCGTTTTCGGTCGATGGCTTGCCTCATAGATGGACTGGTCACGAGTCTATTTCGCACTGGCATTGCTCAAACATTGTAACACATCCTATGGCCTCAAATGCTACTATCGAAGCAGATTTAAAATTATCATACATGTAAAACGGATGGGCCTAAATTTAGTGCACGTATATCATACTAGCGAGAAACATATCACGATCTGGGTAGGACGTTTCCTCTTATGACTGGACACAGTCAAATGACAGTTTGTGGGGAATCCGTGTAGAAGCGTCCCCCGTTATGGTCGTGACGCAATGAGTCACTACCATGCTAATGCATGAAAACGCGCATTAACTGGCAAAAGATGAGCGCTCATTATCCATATCTGTAGCGAATGTTTAATACTAGGTAACAGACAAGGAGATATGAACGGAGAGTACATACATTGTACAGGCGATAGGTTGACTGGTCGCGAATCTCGTCGCGAAAGAGATAGTAGCGAATGCCGACCCAAGAACCCATAGAAACAAAAAGAAGACTGGAGAGAGGCCCCAAACTCCAAACTGAGGCAAGTGCAAAAGAAAATAGCGGGAGTGCACAAAGTATATAGATACGAGATCCTTCGGGCGCTATGATCGGCAGAGTTCGTCGTCCTGACCTGCGGTCACCATTGACGTCGGCAAAATCCTGCGCATGGACTGTCAGAAGTACGACAAGCGTGCTGCAGACAGGTTCCTTTATGCTCATTCCGTCGAGTGTACATTCTCTTGCTAGAATACAGATATTGTCAACGAAATACTATCGCTCAGATGAAGAATACCAACACAGAATCAACAAAGAAGCGAGTTCAACTATCACATAACCTCCTGTGCTGCACAAAGTCTTGAAAACGGGATGGTCACTGAGACGAAGATCATCGTTCACGATGATAAGGACAGTGGCCATCACGCTGGTTATAACGACATTTGAGCCGAAAAGAAAAGAAAAGCCTAAGCAGAACAACATGAGTGCCCAGCGCAATTCGCGAGCATCCTTGACGCTGATGCGCCCAGACGGCACAGGACGCCATGGTTTGTTCAAGACATCTTCATGGGCAGAATAGGATTGATTAGACGCGTTGAATTGAAATACATGAAACCAGAGCCAGCAGAAAGTATAAAATAGAGCTGGCATGTCGTAGTGAGGAGATACAACAATTGCAAACATCATCTACCGCAAACAATCAGCGTCGTGCGGTGATAGTCATTGCCGAAATAAATACCACAGGGAAAATCATTGTCTTGAAGTCAGATCTCGTGAAAAGCCAAACAGTCTCGAGGTGATGCAGAGCACGGTGCAAAGTTGTTGCTGCGAAGTAAGACAACAGTGATTTGCTGTCTTTTTGCTGTACAGCATCATTATATAGTTCGAAAGGACAGCCAAGCTGAATTTCTCGATTCCAGTCGTTCCATTTCACATGAACGGTGACAGGCAAGCATGGATGACCCGAAGTTTATCACCAGTGTCGTATTGCATGCTGTATTTGCAGTCATACTAGCCTCGCTTTAAAGTATTCATTTTGAAGGATGTTACGGTTACGGTTAAGTTACGTGTAGAAACTAGACTAATCACAGTCAGCGATATGCGAGTGAGAACGATAATATACCTCAACATGGTGAGAGAACAACGTTGTTTGTTTTGATGATGTGATTGCTTCGACCCCTCGAGGTGCCACTCTCGGTAAAGTGGCGTACGGTTGACCGCAAATGAAATTCGGATCCATTCAGAGGTGGGCCCGGGAGCTGTGCACGGGTGTCAGCCCTCAATAGCCACTCCGATATTGTTTGCGGCGAATGTACCACAGAAGATAAGCTTACGAAAGGCACAGCGCGGAGCGAGATGGTGTTCGGATGGACGCTAGTTCGATTGCAACTGGAACATATAAATGAACGATGTGCGCCAAGATGAGGAATGTGTTGCTATACAAACCAACAGGCACTTGCACTACTGAAAGTTGATCAAGTTCTGTGAATAGGGTTTCTTCCACAGCATTGATAGATTACTGCCAGATAACTACAGTGGAGGATGACATACTCAGTGTCCGGGTGTCCCGGGTGTTCGAGTGTCCGATTCAGAGTTCAAGCGTAAAAAGGTTACATTAGTGTGGATGGTTAGCATGATTCGTTTCACAAAATACCTGATATGGGCTTATCTTGGTACATGTGATGATACAGAAACGCTCGAGAACCCATACAGCTTTAAAAAAGTTCCTGACTTGCGCAACGTGTTTGCATGTATTGGGTGAGTGGGCCGCCACCGGTACCTGCCCTAACCATAACACTGTTACACTGCGTGAAGTTCTATCGTCGTTGATCGGACAAGCCCCGTCGGGTAACAATACTGCATGTATTATCCCCTTCTGAGCTGATAGTCTTCATTCTTAGATCTTGTGACACCCAATCGCAGTCAATATCAAGCACGAGGCCTCCAATTGGAATGTAGCTTCAGTCTATATTGCCACAGACTCACTGTATGAACTCTCCGCCTTTCTTTGAGGGCTTATTATGCGGTCCATGGGGTCACAGGAGTGACGGCACTGGCATGCATCACATTCCTGAGCATGCACGGGCCTAAGAGGAGATGGTAGTCGTGAGCCTAGATGAGGTTGCCCGGTTGGCGCATGCTGGAGATGCGGTTGCGGATGCTTGGTTGGCAACTGTGGGTTGGATTAGGGTTGGGTGAGATGGCTAGATGTATGAGTGTAAGATGCGCGAGTATGGTAGATAGATGCACGGTAAGATGAATAGATACACGTCAATAGCATCAGATTAAACATACTTGGACAAAGTATAAAACGAATGAACGCACCTGCTCATAGCACTCATGATTAGCATCTGTGTTTGCATGTTCCGTCGCTACGTAGTCCTTCCAGCGCAGAGATCGAGCAATGTACAGCTTTGTCACTGGATATACTGTTTGGTCAGTCATAGTGGAGAGCCATTGGTAGATGAGTAGTCGTTGCCGTCATCACGATCGTCGAGCTCGTGCTGTGTGCCTCAATTGCAGGAAGATCATCCGAAAATCTGACGACTGAATATTGAGTGACATGGTGGCACTGCAATAGGGCTAAGTCGCTGTTGAAAAAATTGAATGGCGTGGATTATTGAAGTCATACAGATGCTGCCGGCAGACGTTCGCAGCCAGCGCGTTGCAGGTCTGCATCCCAACCTGCTCAGAAAGTTGAATGTTATGTGGTCTGCATTGTCGATAAAGAAAAGTTAACGTACTAGTAAAAATGCGAGAAAGAGATGTCTGGCGGATGGAAGCAGAGTTAAGGTGATCAAGTGTCGTTTCGAATACGGACGGGATACGCGGGAATGATGACGCCGAGATCATTACATGATGGAGCCTGGCATCGGCGAGATAGGGAAGGCTGAGAGAGTCATTGAGGGATTTTCGTAAGCGGTGTCTTTTCTGAAGATTGTGTTATTGCTAAAGCGAATTGGTATCACATGGAGAAGATAGTTAGGCAAACTCACAGGAACCTAGTGCGCAATCAGTGCCAATCACACACCACAACTACGTCGCTCCACTATCCATCGGCGTGTGCTTGTACCCATAATGTAGGAATGGACGAGACCTCGAAAAATGGGTACAGGTACGCCCGGAAGGTCATTATGAATTTAAACTTCAAACAAGCATCTGAACTAGTTCTTCCGACATAAAGCTTCCGAAGGCAGAACGGCTAAGATTTTCTCGCTGGCTTGACATATGTAACTTATCTAGTCGTCCATCAGCAGTTTCGAATTGATGCAAAGACGGAGGAGCACCTTGCTCCCAGTGCAGCTCAAGTGGGTGAGGGAGTTTCATACAACTACAGAATCCTGAAAACATTTGCAAAAATCAACTCCAAGTACACGGCAAGTGGCATAACAACGCCGTTGTCGGTTTATGTATTCAGCTTTTGCATCGCTTAAATATTCTGATACATACTATAGCCACAAATGCTACATACTAGCTATCGAGCAAAGCAGATTATCATGCATGTAGAACGGATGGGCATAAATTGAGTATCATACCAGCAAGTGACATATCACGAATAGGTAGGATGTTTCGTGGATGCAGTCGAATAATAATTTTGTGAGCTATATACTAACTCCCCCCGCCATGGTCATGACGCAACGAGTCACTACCATGCCAATGCACGAAAACGCACAGTAGCTGGCAAAAGATGAACGCCCATTATCCATATCTGTAGAGAGAATTATCAATGCCAGATAACAGACAAGGAGATATGAATAGAAAATACAGACATTGTACAGGCGGTAGTTGGCCTGGTCACGAATCTCGTCGCGAAAGAGATAGTACCGAATGCCGACCCAAGCACTCATAGAAACAAAAAGAAGACTGGAGAAAGGCCCCAAACTCCAAACTGAGGCAAGCGCAAAAGAAGATAGCGGAAATGCACAAAACATATAGATACGAGATCCTTCGGGCGCTATGATCGGCAGAGTTCGTCGTCCTGACCTGCGATCACCATTGACATCGGCAAAATCCTGCGCATGGACTGTCAGAAGTATGACAAGCGCGCTGCAGGAAAGTGCTTTTATGCTCGTTCCATCGAGCCAAGATTCCCTTGCTAGAATATAGATCTCGTTAACGAAATATGATCCCTCAGATGAAAAATGGCCTACATAGAATCAACAAAGAACCAAGTTCAAGTGTTACATAACCTCCCACATTGCACAAATTCTTGAAAATGGGATGGTCACCGAGATGGATATCATCATGGACGATGATAAGCACAGCGAACACTGCGCTAGTTATGACGGCATTCAAGCTGAAAAGGGATGAAAGGCCCAAGCAGAACACCATGAGTGCCCAGCGCAATGCACGAGAATCCTTGGCGCTGATGCGCCCAGATGGTACAGGACGCCATGGTTTGTTCAAGACATCTTCATGGATAGAACAGGATTGGTTAGACACATTGAATTGAAAGAGATGGAACCACAGCCAGCAGAGAGCGTAAAATAGAGCTAGCACGTTGTGGTGAGGAGATACAACAATTGCAAATATCATCTACCGCAAAAAATCAGCATCGTGCAGTGATAGTTATCGCTGAAATAGATACCACAGGAAAAATTGTTGTCTTGAAGTCAGATCTCGTGAAAAGCCAAGCAGTCTCGAAGTGATGCAGAGCGCGGTGCAAAGTTGTTGCTGCGAAGTAAGACATGAGTGATTTGGAGTCTTTTGCTGTCCAGCATTATTATATAGTTCGAAAGGACGGCTAGACTGAATTCTCGTTTCCGGTCGTTTCGTTTCATATGAGCGGCGGCAAGCATGGATAACCCGGAGCTTGTCATCAGTGTCGTATTGCATGCTGTTTTTGCAGTTATACTCGCTTCGTTTGAAGTATTCATTTGGAAGGATATCACTCAGCCTGAGGTTATGATTGACCGCAAGTGAAATTCGGGTCCATTTAGCGGTGGCCCCAGAAGCTGTGCACGGGTGTCAGCCTCAATAGCCATACTGATGTTGTTTGTGGCGAATCTAGTCCAGAAGATAGGCTTACGAAAGGCACAGCGCGGAGCGAGATGGTGTTCAGATAGACGCTAGTTCGATTGTAACTGGGACATATAAATGAACATTTCGAGGTGTGCCGAGATGAGAAATGTTTTGTTATACAAATCGATGTACAAGCGCACTACTAAAGTTTTGTGAATAGGGTTTTTTCCATATCATTGATGGATCACTGCCAGATAGCTACAGTGGAGGATGACATACTCGGTGTATCCTGGGTCTTCAAGTGTCCGACTCGGAGTTCGGGCCAACGAGCAAAAAGGTTACATTGGTGAGGATCGTTAGCATCGGACATGAACAAAGTACCTCGTTTTGGGCTCGTGTGACGTTCAAACGTTCACGTTCAGTCCTTACGCAACCTGTTTGTATGTATTTGGTGAGTAGGCGGTGGCTTAAAGTTCTAGAGTTGATCGGAGGGTTTCTTATGCCGTCCATGGGGCCTTTTGATAGACACGAACTTTATATCCACAAGGTGATGCCGGAAAAACGACCATCACAAGTTTGGTTATCGTTCTTAAAAGACCTTACAAGGCAGGCCCCGTTATTGGTCCGAGTAGACCAAGCCACGGCTTTGGTTCGCGAAAATTGATCGGCCTGTCGATGACCGGTCTCGATCGAGGATGTCAACTCTGACTATGTTCGCGGTAGTGTTGCCGCCGGTGTGAGTTGGAATCAAGTTAACATCGACTCGACTCGGAAATTTACGCAACTCGTGGCAACTGCCCCATGCGGTGTAAACATCGAGTTGCACTGCGAGTTGGTGATTGACATATCGAGAAGACTTTCCCATAAGCTTCCCTGGTATCTTATCAATGTTACTGTAAGTCTCTATAATCTTGCCGACTGTAGCTCGAGTATTTCATGCAATCTTGAGCACTTCTCCGGTGCTTTACACCTCGCCGTTATACCTTGTCAATATGTCTGCCCTACTTACTTCGTCGGTCCATAAAAAATCAAAAAATTTCTACTTTTTTACACATGAGTTTTGTACTACCATGTACATGCCCATAAGTCTCGCACTCATTGTTTTCACACATGGCGCTAATCGTGATTAGGATGCGGAACGAGTATATCCACTCTCATACAAAGTCGCCCTCGACATCTTACCCATACAGGCTTCCTCCGTGCCGTGCGAGCGAGCCTTCTCATCAAGCGT